GTATTAAAAAGTAGTTACTTTACCCCTTTGGGTTTTTATTAGTATATAACCTTACATATATTTTTTTTTAATTCATTAAAGTCAACAAACTGTAATATATTGTCATATTTCAATTTTGTTACAAATTTACTACATGATCATGATAGATTTAAAATCTCATCTGATTGAGAAATGTATATATATTTCCATGAATTCTTTAGTGTCCATAGCACAAACTCCGCTTAGTTTTAGACTAGATGACGCTGCATAATTTGTCAAGATTCATTTATTTGTTTATTATAAATTCATGTCTTTCAGATTATTTATGTCGATTATTGTAATAGTTAAAATAGTGATATAGCACCGTTAAACTCACCCTTCATTAATTCAAAATTGGAACTGACATCTAACTGCTGTAGATTTGGATGAGGGTTCTTGACAGGAAACGGGGTAACGAATGTAACCTGAGTATAAGAGTATAGTTATTATTATTTATTATTTAAAAATATTTTCAGTTCAAATTAAAAATATTTTCAAAGTTGATAATTATTATGATACTTTGCTACCGTAGACACGAGATAAAATTTTTCTTTGGAAATTTGATATTTCAAAGATGCTCTTGTGCCTAGAGATGTTGACGGTATATGCTCTCATATTTGACGGATGGATAGGATGGTATCAGGATGAGTGTTATAAAACCATCAGATGAGTTCTGGTTTTTATGTAATTGGAATAGTAAACAAAGTCATTGTTTACCATTTAAATTTTATATTTTTTTATACTATGATGACCGCAAATCTGCATGCGGCCAATCTGATGGTAAACAGTTACCATAGCCTATTGACGTCTGAAACACCAGGCGTGATGCGTGCGCGCTGCGGACCCTTAATGCCCTTCTTGAAAACCCCGATACTGCAATCTTTCAAGAAAACCTCCGCAGATAATTCATTTCAAAATCTAATTTCGAGACCACTTAGATTCTAGCGTGTAGAGATGAATTCCCTGACGATGGTGAGCGGTGCTATGGTATATAAAAAAAATGGCAAATTACGGCAATATTATATTTTTGTTTTATATTTTCATTCTCTTACCTCATGTCCAGCTTGAAGTAAATGGTTGACCACATTACTGCCGAGAATATTATGACTTTTTCCAGGTAACGGAAAAATGACTAAGAATCTATATGCTTCACTCAAATTTGAGAACGCTGCAAGAGCGAGAATTAATCCTAACCACCGGGCCATTATCTGAAAATAAAACGGTTTATGTATAATAATAGAATATAATAACTTTCCTTATACAATAATAGTAATTATAACCCTGGCAATTCAAAAGACGCCATCTAATCACAAACTAAGCCGAGCTTACATTATAGATACTAAAGAATTGATAGTAATACTTAAATATCTTATATATAAAAAACAATCAGCTTGACCGAATTTTATAACATTTTATATGCATATTCAGTAGGTCTGAGATTCGGCTACTATCTATTTTTATTTCTGATTAGTCAGATACAACATAATATACAATTATATATACATACTAATATACATATAACATATAATACCAATAAAAACAATAGTTAACATAACATAATATCTCACAACAATTTACACAGCGCCATCTATACCCAAGCTAAACGGATCTTGCTTTATTGGGTACTAGACAATTAATATACATACTTAGATACATTTTACATGTAAATACATACATAATATACAAAAATACACCCAGACCAATACAAACAAACTCATTAATATAAATATTCGTATCGTTCAAGGAATCAAACCCGCGATCATTGGCTGTAAGCTAAACTGACTAGGCTGTCAAAAACATTCCTAATAAAATAGAATTCACAACTACTTCTGTTTCTATAGTTATTAAATGTAGAATTTAACAATTTTAATTTAATTTTTAAGCATAATTCTGATAATTAATTTGGATATATATGTATATACATATATATATATATATATATATTTTTTAATGATAATACTGCTATCAGTTAGTCTATTTATAGTAGTACTAGGTACTAAGTACTCGAGGACATGGAGATATGTTATCTTTGTGAATGTGACTCTTTAAGAAAGTTTATTTCTGTACAATAAATACCTAAAGGATGTATCCTGTATCCTGTATGTAATACTTTAGGTATTTAAAAAAAAGCCGGAAAATTCATAAAGAATTTTTAAGGCCAATTTTTAAGCAGAACTTGTACATTAAACAACTAATTATGTTTATATTGACCTCATAAAAAAATGTGTATAATAATCACCAATTACCTACATAACACTAATTAAAGTTTTGTGATTAGAGAACTGGATAATATCAAAATATAAACAAAGAAATTGACAAAATAAATAAATGAATAGTCTCTTGAATGTAAACACACAAAAATATAGTTAACAAAATAAATTAAAACAATTCAACTTTGTCAGGATTAATTAGATAAAAAACAAGTTTATTCAGCATTTAATTAATTAAATTACAATGTCACAAAACATTTGCCTTACTTTGTAATATTTTTTCTGTGGATCTAATTCTCCTTACTCACAAAAACTCATCAGACTTTCACTTTTATTTCAACAGTTCACAACTAGCAAGCATTTAATTTATCACATCAATAAAGTACTATATTTCATTATAATATATATATCATATTCTATTCAAATTAATTCACAATTCAAACTCATAACTTAAGTGCACACTATATATCTCTACGAAGCATTAAATATGAGTGAAGCAACACATTAAAGTTTTTCCGGTTGAGGTATTAAGTTGCGTCATTTGACCTCGAATTTTTTTGGATATACAATATCATCGTGTCAATTGACTTACCTGACCATACTATAGTTTGTTTTATCAACAGTACAGGAATATATCTAATCAGTTTGTGTCAGCTGATTATAAAAATAGACATAGAAACACATGGATATATGAAAATAAGAAACACATGGATATATGAAAATTAATTTTTAATTGATAAAATATTTTTCAAATATAGTTGTGCAACTTATATATATATATATATATATATATAGGCAACAAAACTTACATCTAGATATCTATTCATATTTTTTATATATTAATTACTAGCAGGTTTAAATATAGCTTTTATTAATCTATACATTATTATATTACCTGCAAATATGTACCTATCTAGCCTTATTTATGAAATTACGCCTACTGTAAAGTATAAAACTTTCTTGAATTATTAAAAATATATTAAGATAATCAAAAATATGTACACACGCTATTATCTTATATTGGACACACTGGACTGGATTTCTGCGTTGTCACTGTCGGTAAGTGTCAGCAATTTGTTCAACTACCGTCACAAGATTGTCCAACAAAAGATAAAAAAAAAGAATATTGGGGTCATTTGGCTCCCTAAAATATGGTCGACCGCAGTGATAACTGGCTCATCCGTAATACTCGTGAACGAGTGCTGCTTGTAAAGACTGGTCTACTCTTGTCACTACGACTGATTTAATCTTATTATGTATCTATTTATATTTAACCCTAATAAATTAGTGCTAGTTAGTAGTTTGTTTTCACACGTTTCGAATTGTATAATGTGAACTTACAAGGACTGTTTCAAAGAGCAACACACAAGTTTCTTGCTCGTTCTTCTTGTGATGAGACAGCTTCCCGAATGAGCGGTAGATTAAAATAAACCTTGTTATGACTATTCAAAAGTGCTTAAATGAAGTTTATTTGATTAAATGATTTCCTATTCTATTCTAAAAGAAATAATATTTCTATTACAATTTTTTTATTAACTCAAATTTGTTACGTAATGTTTCATAATATTAATATTATCTTGGTTGGATTGTTATGATCTAATTAACTTATTTGTGCTAATGACTGAGCTACTATTTTACTTCAAAATTAATGTCAGTCATAAAGATATCATTATTAAATTTTTATTTGGTTACGCGTAAAGAATAATGATTATTTCACAATACTACGTCAGATTACAGGTGGCCACTAGTATATGTAATTTATATAAGATAACACTTTATCTATAGTACTACACTATATTGTTTATTCCTTATTACTGTACTATGTTGTCCTTAGCAACATAGTACAGTAATATATAATCCTAGCTTGATAACCAGCTCGCATGTAGGTATAATCGTATATATTACTAGCTGTTCCCGCGACTTCGTCCGTGTGGAATTTAACTTTATTTTTCGAAAATAAAAGTAGCCTAAGTTTCTCCTTATTACTTCAGCTACCTACCAATAAAAGTCTAGTTAAAATCAGTCTAGCCATTTCAGAGATTAGCCGGAACAAACAGACAGACGGACAAAAATTGTAAAAAATCTTATTTTGATGTATTTATATTATTATATGCATGTAGTAAAAAACGATTATTTTAATATTACAAACAGACACTCGAATTTTATTTATCTGTATAGATTACTTAATGGATTTGTGTTATTTTGTTTAATTCCAATACTATAAACATGTGTCAACTGTTAATACTAGGCTCCCTAAGTATATCCATCTTATATTCCTGATGATGCCTAGCTCAGAGGCGAAATACGTGTAGCAGTATATACACGTGTGTATATCCAATAACGGTTGGAGTTTGATCACTAGTGGGATAATGGTCTAATTCGATATATTACTGTTAATAATTATTCTCTGTTTAGTTGCTTTCTTTACTTATTATACACTCCTTATGCATTCATTCCCGCGGAGTAAAGTTTAATATCTCCGTACTCTGGAGTTTCACTACCATATCTCACTCTTAAACCGAAATACTCTTACAAAGTAAGCTGCTTGGGATAAGAAATATGTGAGACAAAGTCGTATGTCATACTGGATGTTAAGCTGACATCGAATATTTTTTTCATTTCCTAAATAATAATGGTTGGGATCCACGTTTAGTATCATACATTATTGATTAGCAAAGCTTAAATAAAAAACATCGATTACTTTTATTTTATACAATTATTTCTTCATAACTTACACTTGGTTTTATATTTATTTGATTTCAAAAACAGGCATCGCTTTATATTCTACATTACATCTAACATTATCACAATTATAGCATGTACCTATCATTGGTTTTTCTTTTTTAAATCTTTCTTACTAATTAAAAATACTCGCAATAACAATTTTACTGCAAGTACTAATACTAAAATGATTGTTACAATAAGTACTAATAGATCTAAATAGTATTTCTGATAGAACGGAACGTGTAGCGCCGGGGATCGAAGATGCGGTGCTCCTCCCGTGCGTATCACGTGCTCCACCCAGTGCACCAACTCCTTACCAGGTGGCATGGGACGATCGTGGTAAATTGCTGAGAGCTCCTTCGCTTTATTTTTGTATCTGAAAAATTATTTATCGAATTAATTAATAAAATAGATCAAATAGGTCGTATTCATTTCTATTTTCATGAATACATGAGTAGGATTCTTCGTATTTATTTTTTGCATATATTTAGTATGTATTATATTTACAATAAAAATGTATTATGATATTTAGATATATTAGGCTTATATTAGGTACTAGAAAACAGGTCTAGTGCCCATAACACAAAATCTGCTTAGTTTGGGGCTACACGACGCTATGTGAATTGTGCAGAGTTGTAATGTAATGTACGTTGGACTCCCATTTTCCGCAATCAGCCTCTCACATTGTACAATAGGGTTGTAGAAAGTAAACCACAAGTCCAAATTAATAAGATAGCAAAATCTTTTTATATAATGACTTACTTGGGATTACTGAGAGCTTCATCAATAGCTGCTTTAAACTCGTCCAACATTGTGTAAGACAGAGTTACTTTTATAGCAAACCCTCTTTTCACGGCTCTTTCGATGTTAGTGAACTGATCACCAAACACTGGAATTCCAATAATGGGTTTTCCAAAATGAACAGTTTCGGTTGTGGACAGCATCCCGCCGTGTGTGATGAACAGTATGCAGTTTGGATGTGCTAAAATTAAATCGTTCGATATTATGATATAATAATAATAATCTCAGGACACAGCACACAGCGCCATCTAGACCCAGGTTAAGCTAGCTAAAGCTTGTGTTGAGTACTAGATAACTGATACAAATACATAGATATTTTTTTTCTAAATGCATACATATTATACATAGAAAACACCCAGACCGACATAAACAATCATACTCATGAGTACAAATATTTGTGCCGTGCGAGGAATCGAACCCGCGACCATCGGAAGTATTAAACCACTAGACCACCGAGGCCGTCAAATATATGAATATACGCTATAAAGTAGAATTAGTGTAAAAGTAATAATAAATAAATGTTATTCCTTGTTCATATTCTTTCCCTGTGATTAAACGCCGTTAAGTAAACACTTGTTTTATTCCTCGACTTTATAGAACATTTGAGTTTTTCTCAAATATATAAATATTTCTTAAAAAATACTTTTTCTACAAAATATACTTCATATCATATATAATATGTCATATAAATGAACTAAGAATTATACTTTATATCAGACCTGATATTAATAAAGTAATTGTAGTATTAGAAAATCATAAAATTTTAGTACTTTGCATGTATTGTATAATTTAAATGATTCTATAATATAGAAGAAGATTCATAAGTTTAAAGATTTATACAAGTAAATTAACCTTGGTTTTTAATAACTTAATAGTTACCTAATATACTTGGTTGCGGCGCCCATGAAACTATATGAACATTTTTAGGTAAATTCGGAAGATCTTCCTCAAACTTCCATAGCACTGTGTGCTTTAGTTCACTGAAAATTTTCAAGAATCCATATTTCAAATTATCTGGGAGATCCTTGCTTTTCACGTTTGATCCCAAGCTAAAGTAAATCAAGCCATTCTTCGCATTGTCCAACAGTTTTTGCAAGTCCTGTTAAAATAGATAGTGTTAATTTTATATTTCTAAATAAGTTTGTTTTATATTTGCAAGTCCTGTTAAAATGGTTTTTATTAATTTTAAATTTCTAAAATAACTTATATTTAATAAGTATTTTAGTTTTGCAAGTCCTATTAAAGTTGAGTGTGTTATTATTATATTTCTAAGCTAATTTATAATTTATTTAGTAAAATGATCGAAAAAGAGAACCGTGGCTTATATACTAGATGGATGTCACGTTGGTATTGTTATGTGAAGTCCGTAGTACCATATTATTATTGTAGTAGGTATTAGGTTTGATTCAACTATAGTAATTGTAAAACATTATCTTTATTTAAATTATAAAATTTTGTTCTAAAAAAGTCGATTGTAGGCATGAATAAAATAGAAATAATAATAATAGTCTCAGGACAATTCACACAGTGCCATCTAGTCCCAAATTAAACTAGCTAAAGCTTGTGTTATGGGTACTACATAACTGATACAAGTACATAGATATATTTTGTATGTATTTACACATACATATACATAAAAACATCCAAACCGATACAAACAATCATACTCATGAATACAAATGTTTGTGCCGAGCGCGGAATCGAACCCGCGACCATCAGAAGTAAGGCGGTATGCTAAGCCGCTAGACCACCGAGGCCGTCAAATATAATCAATACCTAGCGTATAAAAAATGCAATATATGCAGTTAAAATATAGACGGTTTTTTCATCTCTGACATGAAATGACACTTACATCTGGCAGTGGTTTTACTTTTGTCTCTATATGGTATCCTCCAATTGGTATGTAGTTTTGCGGTAATCTTATTGGTTGTCCTAAAGATACGTGAGAATTCCCTAGAAATAGGGATACATTGTAATTAACATCGTAGAATGAAGGTATTTCTTTTCCTCTCAGCGTTATGTATGGCCCAATCACGTTTCTAAATGACTCTTCAACAACTCCATCCCAATAACTGAAAAATAAAGTATGTTCAATTATACAATCATTAATCTATAATGATGTTTATCTATTTTTAATTTTATATAATCAAATGCCTAATGAACATTGTTATGTTATGATAACAATGTTCAATGTTTGAATAATCATTTTGAAGAGTTTTATGAAATAGAAATAAAATTTATTCAAATATTCATTTTCTTATTCTACTACTTATTCAAAATACAGGCTCATCACAAGAAGAATGAGCTATATCAAATATAATTATATTAAACGTTACAATTATATTTGAGAATTCATATGAATACAATAATGTAACCCAAATACTGAAAAAATGTTATTCAATAGGTATAATTAGTAAAAATCAAGAGATCCTACCACGTTTTTTATTTATTGGGATCAACCATAGCAGAACACTTGTTGGGATCGAGATAAATCACTGGGTTGAAGTACACCAACCAAAAATATTAACATCAAAACGGCATTATATCGCAAGAGAGGCCATTGAAATACAGAAATATAAAATAAATATATACTGGGAAGATGGTTATAGGCTCTCTACTTATCATCATCTGCTTCTTCCTTATCCCTTTTATTTGGGGTCGGCGTAATATGTTTTCTCTTCCATTCATCTCTGTTCGCAGTCATCCCGTTATTTACTCCCTTTCTCACCATATCATCTTTCACACAGTCCATCATCTCTTTTTCGATCTTTCTCTAATTATACTTATAAATAATGACCGCGTCAAATTTAGACCAGCATATAATATTATTGAATAATAGATTAGTAATTTGTAATAAATACAAATAAATACAACCAACATATATAGATTATGTATCTTAAGTTGAATTCCTATATCAACATATATACTTACAAATATTGGAATGCTGAACATACAATCTGTATGAAGAGTCCGGTTACTCGTTCTTTGAAATCGAATGGTGGTATCGTGCTTGAGAGACTGTCGGGCACATAGGCTGGATTTGTACTTTCATCAATTAAACTAAGTACAATCCAATGTGGATCGATAGTGGAGAACCAGATTAAGGGACAATCAAATATAGTAGCTATCCTGAAACAATTAAGTCAAAATTACAATAATTAATCTGCGGCTCTTACAAAGTTATGCACTTTTAAGGAGTTATTATAATTATTGTACTTGTCATTATGGATAAGAAAATTGGCCGCAATGAAGACATATTAAGACTTCTAAAGGACTGTCAGAATATAAAAGAAAAGCTCATCTCGAAACAGACTTCTTTATACCATTTTGGCAGGATGTCTAAATGTCTAAAACATTTAGTTATTTTTGTTTTTGCAGAAAACTTTGTTTTTTTTAAATGTAATATCGATCAAGTAAGACCTATAATTAGCTTTAATGTTGCCACATTTTCCGTATATTATAATACCATATGCCATATAAATACAAATTGTAACGCCCATGCTTTCATATAAAAATAAAATAAAATAAATAAACATACCCCGCATAGCTGTCGGTAAACATCCACTCGGCCACAACCGCATCGAACTTTTGATTTGTATCATTAAATACTTTTACAACATTAGGATCCTCAACTGTTTTTGTAAATAAATCAATTGTGAATTGAAACATTGTCATAGGATTACTAAAGTCTATTTCTTTGTTTAATATTCTTTTCACGTCTGAAAGATTCTCTGAAATTTGTAAAATAATATATTAGTTTTTAGTTTACGATCCATTAAATACATTTGTAGGACTTTTATGGTAGTAATCTCTGTAAATGTGGTTACGGCTACTGATTAAATTATTTTCCAAAATACTCATTCTCCAAAATTGATGTTGAAAAAATTGGATCAGTATTTTTTAATTGTAAATTTGAAACGAATAAAAGCTGAGTTTCTTGTCACTTCATCTTGACTCGAAAGCACTCCGAACTGACGGTAGATTAGGCATATCATAAGAGTCTGTAATACATCTTACATATATAAAGATACTCTGATATGATTTTATAAAATTTTATTATTGTAATACACTCACTGTTAGGTATGTTGGTACACCTGTGTGGCTGCGCCCACCATCAAGCTGTCTTATAATAAAGCAGTGCGATACGAACCCGTGTACGTTTCACTTGTCTTCACTACGCATATCTAACATTGGCGACGAGGTACCCACATATTGGCGGAATAAAAAGCAAAATGGCGACAACGCAGTTTGGTATTTTAAGTTGTTTCGACCACAATGTACAGACGTGGAAGACATATAAAAGTCGTTTACTACAATATTTTATTGCGAACGACATCAATGGACATACAGATGCCACGGGTAAGAAGAGGAAGGCCATTCTTCTTAGCGCACTCACCGAAGGCACGTACAAGCTGGCATCAGAAATAGCACTACCAAAAGACATTGGAGAGGTACCGTATGAAGAGATTCTGACGTTTCTGGATGACCATTTCACGCCAAAACGTATTGGATTTGGAGAACGCCACAACTTCTACACAGCTACGCAGCTACCCGGCGAATCCCATACACATATGGGCAGCAGATTGCGAGGACTGACAGCTCACTGCGGTTTTCTCAACGTGGAAGAGATGTTACGCGATAAATTTATCATGGGTATGCGTCCAGGATTCGAAAAGGAAAAGATATACACACAAGATCTGTCGGCCCTCACATTAGCAAAGGCCGTGGAACTAGCAGAGAACCTGCAGTGTGCCCGATTGGCAGCCGCAGTCAGTGCTAGTAGTCTGGCAGCGTCCAGGGACGTCCTACCGGCTGACAGTCATATAAATCAGATTACAAAAACCAGAAATAACTCAAATACGGGTAAAGTGAAGTGCAGTGTCTGTGGTTACACAAATCATAAATCGTCCGAATGCAAATTTGCTAATTATCAGTGTAAAAAGTGTCACAAAAAAGGCCACTTGCGTAAAATGTGTTCAAAAGTGAATTACGTAGACGTGGATGGCGGTGACAAGAGTGATGATGATATATATATATATCATATCCGATCATTAAGGGGAGAACCCATGGTGGTGATAATATTTATTAATAGCTTGCCATTCAAATTTGAAATTGATAGCGGTTCGGCAGTGACGGTGATTTCAGAATTTTATTATAATTTACATTTTAAAAATGTGCCGTTATCAAACGCTCGTAAACAATTGTCGACATATAACGGTAAAAAAATTGTATGTTTAGGAATATTACGGTTACCAGTAAATTATAAAACTCAAACACACGAACTGGACGTGCACGTGGTACGGGATGGTGGTCCACCGCTGTTAGGCAGAGATTTTATATCCCTATTTAAATTAGAGTTGAGCCCAGTAAATTTTTGTAACAAAATAGATTTATCCGTTAATCAGTTGCAACAACAATACCCCAAGCTATTTTCGGACAGCTTAGGTACATTTAATAAATACAAAATTAAGTTATTGCTGAAAGAGGGTTCTAACCCTATATTTTTTAAGTCTCGTCCCATAGCTTTTGCATTACGAGACAAAATAGGGGAGGAAATTGATAGGTTAGTCAATTTAGGTATTCTAGTACCTGTAGAATACAGCGAGTATGCTTCACCCCTTATATGCACTATTAAAAAAGGGTTGTAAATGGGACTGGACCATACAACATGACATCGCTTTTAAATCAATAAAAAAGGCACTGACGTCAGAACAAACTCTAGCGCACTTCGATCCACACGCAAAATTGATATTAACGATAGATGCGTCACAAAAATATTAACAGCAATTCTGTCACAAATTGCAGCGGACGGGATCGAAAGACCTATTTCATTTGCGTCGCGCACTCTAAACGCCGCCGAGAAACGATACGCACAAATCCAAAAGGAGGCAACGGCCATTATCTTCGGTGTGCGGCGTTACCATCAATATTTATATGGTAGATCTGTACCGTTTATAATAAGAACGGATCATAAGCCCTTAATTTCGATATTTGGACCATACAAAGGCATACCGGAAGTAACAGCGAACAGGTTGCAACGGTATGCGTTGTTTCTTAGTGGTTATTGTTATATTATAGAATATATACGTAGCGCTGATAACAGCGCAGACTACCTGTCTCGGGCGACCGTACCTGGCCCCGTCCCCCACCCGCCGGTGCTCCCGCCTCTGTCGTCCGCGCCTAGTAATATTAAGTGCGCGTGCACCGAACAGTGTATCTCTAACGAATGCGACGAGTTAACATGCGATAAGGCGACGTATATTTGTTTTACTACGGACGGCAGTATACCAATAACTCTGTCTAAGTTGCGAGAAGAGACTATGAAAGATGCAATTTTGAATCGAGTATTAAAATATATACAAAATGGATGGCCAGCTAAAATTAATGATATACGTCTCAAACCGTTTCACCTTTGTAGATTACAATTATCGTTAGAAAATGGGTGTATTATGAGAGGTCATAAGGTCGTCATTCCGGAGAGTTTATACACGATTATTTTAAATGAATTGCATTCTTCTCATTTAGGTATAGTCAAAACTAAGGCCGAGGCGCGGTCACGATTTTGGTTTCCAGGAATCGATCAAGCATTGGAAAGAATGATAGGATCATGCGATATATGCATTCAGTTACGGCCGTCCCCCCGCGCGCACCCCCTCCTGCTGGGAATATCCATTTTCGCCTTTTGATAGGATACACATCGACTATTTAGGTCCAATAAAAGGTTGTACGTATTTAGTAGTAGTAGACGCCCACACGAAATGGGTTGAAGTGTACAATATGAACACTAATACGACGTCCAGCGCAGTGATCGAAAAATTATGCGATTTTATGTCGAGGTATGGAGTACCAAAAACGCTAGCGAGTGATAACGGTACTGCTTTTTGTTCTCACGACTTTGAAAGCTTTTGTATTTCCAACGGAATATCACACGTCACATCGCCGGTATACCACCCTGCGAGCAATGGGCAAGCTGAAAGCTTAGGAAAAAGATACGTCAAAGTAGTGAAAAAGGGAATTAAATCATGTCTTTTGTCACGTTGTAATGTAAGAGAAACAAAGATTAAATTACTAAAATATCTCATGGATTACCGTAACTCCGTACACACCACCACGGGTTTATCGCCCGCTCAAATGGTATTTGGCCGTAAGTTAAGATCGCGACTAGATTTGATTAATCCAACATCATCATCACCCTCGTCACCGACCGTATCTAATCATGTACAAAATAAACAGTGTACGCAAATTAAGTATATATACGCGAAAACTAAAACGAGGGATTTTAACAAAAATGATAGTGTGATGTATAAAAAATATACAAATAAAAATTGTTTTACATGGTGTAAGGGCATAATAGTTAAACGATTGGGTAAAGTGTTGTATATAATACAAGATACATATAGCCTAGAATGTGTCAAAAGACACAAAAATCAATTGTTATTATATAAAGGGAGTAGTAACAACCATGAGCAAAGTACAGATGGAAGTACGTACTGAATTTTGAATCTCGTTGCCTGTCCTAAAGATACATGAGAATTACCCAAAACTAGAGAAATGTTGCTCTGTACCTAGTCCTCTGCCGTTGCCGCCGTCATCACTGCCGCGGCCCCGATTGACGCTGCACCAGTCGTCTCCTCCACCTGCAAAGACGTCATCGCTGCCGTCAACGCCTGTCCCCGTGTCACCGCAAGCAACGGGTTCCGATCCGTTATCACCTACCTTATTGCACCCGGAACAATTGGCATTATCGTACGAGTCGCCAGACTGGAGTTGCCGGGCCCGAGAGAGAAGAGCAGAAATTTATGAACCAAATGATTCGGCGCATTCAGAAGACTCTGCAGTGAATGATAGGTTGGGAACACAGTCAGATGATGATGACTTTCAGGAAGCGGAAAATATATGATGAATATTAAATACCCTGACGGTCAAACCATGAACGGCTTATTAATATATATATATATATATATGTATGCATATACAACACCTTAGATATGCTCTTGAGTTAGTTGAACTAGTTCCACAATAATTACAAAATGTACAACTATTGTTAAAACTTTGATTTTCTTAATATTGTTTTTGTTTTTTTTTATGGGTTTTGTAATAAGGGGAGGGATGTTAGGTATGTTGGTACACCTGTGTGGCTGCGCCCACCATCAAGCTGTCTTATAATAAAGCAGTGCGATACGAACCCGTGTACGTTTCACTTGTCTTCACTACGCATATCTAACACTCACCATCCATGATATCAAAGTTCGCACTAACATCTAATTGTTGTAAATTTGGATGAGGATCCTTGACTGGAAAAGGTGTGATATATGTGACCTGCAAAAAATTAACATAAATTTGACTTATTAAACGTAATACACTAAGTTAGAAAAATGTTAACACTAAGTTACATAAATGTTAAAAGTGTCTTTTCTCATTACTGCCTTTCAAACGCTCTCCGCAAATGTACAATAATAATACGATTACACGAAGGTACAAAAGTTTTATAAAAAGAAAGAAGCAATAGCTATAAACTCAGCTATTATTATATTCATGTGCACTCAGCGTAGGTTATCAGTTTGTACCTAAGCTGGTACCTAACCATTAGTTATACATATACTCGCATATTAAAATATCCACACTATATTACAAGTAAATAATTTTACTATATATAAATTAATATTGACATTCTGTGAAGTTATTTTTACACCGTATTATTCTAGGGCAAACAAATTTACTTAGATGATGTTTATTTATTTAAATATAATAGCACATAATTTTAAAGTACATATGGCGGACCACCATGCGGTATTATCTACCAGTCAACCATGGATGGTGCAGCGCATAATTGTTGGCAGTGCAAATATAAATACAGAATACACATACAAATATATATGTCTAGATAGCTACATATATAAACACATACATAAATAAACCTTACATAAATACATATCTAATAATCTGACAATATTATTATGGTAATTTTCTATAAAGATTTTTTAATTAACCGTATCATGTTACCTCATGTCCTGCCTGCAGCAGATGGTTGACCACATTAACACCGAGAATACCATGACTTCTGCCTGGTAACGGAAATATAACTAAGATTTTGTACGCGTCGCTTATACTTGACAATGCCGCTACGGCAACAAACAGGACAAGCCACTTGTCCATATTCTGGAAACAATATTCTTTATTCAATATTGGATCTAGTTAGTTATTCATATTTCTAACACCAAACATGTCTATTTTCCGCCTAAATTATTTATTATAAAGTCATGTCCTATTTAAATTTATTATTAAGATCATTTTTCTTTATTAAGTTGTTTAAAAAATTATCCCATTTACGTCTATTTTACAACTTACAACTTCTCGTTTATTGTTCCCACAATTGCACAACTGATATGAAACGTCTATTCTTTAATATAATAAATCACAAATATATGAAACACTTACAATATTCTTATCAAACTCCTTCTATGTATATGTATCAACTCAACGAGGCATTGAATATAAATAAAGAAATAAGTGAAGATGTTATGAATAATATATATATATATCTTTGGTATCTGCTTCTGATAAAAGAATTGTAGTAAAATTACCGGAACATTTTTTTTTGCATTGATCATCTACATTGTGATTATATATACTAACTAACCTTTATATCAAGAAATACTAATTCTATTATCAGTCATCTTAATAGCTTATACGAGTATTCAATTACACTCTTAAGCAATGGATATCTAATAAATTAGCCATCAGTAGTAGTACAGAAATTATAAAGAGTTTGCCATCCAGACTTTGCCAGTTTGGATTCTCGGGATATCAGGGATCTAGTACTACGAATCCGATTTTTATTGTGTTGTATTGGATAACCTATTTATCGAAAAACTCTTTGAACTATATAACATCATGCTACGACCAATAGGACCGAAGTAACAAAGACCATATCTGCTAGATCATATCCATCTTCATCCTAAATGCTACGCATTCATGACCATGGGTTAAATCTTCATGATAAGATTAGTTAGAATTGATAATTAAAACAATAATAATTTATTTAAGTAATTTATTTAAAACATTTGATATGTATAGATAATTTGACTTTAAATTACAAAAATATTAACAAAAATAAACATTCTGCATAAGAAATTCGTTCTGTTTCAAAAACATTTTTTTACGTATCTACTACATCGATATTGACTCCGTATTTGTTAAATTCAATGATAACATACGTAGGTATAATTTCTTTTCCTTTTTCCAACTAAAAAGTTGTTTTCAATGTTGTTACTATTATTACTATAATTGTGTTAAGATTTAACTCCCAATTTATATATTATGCCAATCATATATTTATTTATTATAACAATTACACTTATCATTTATTTTTCTTTTTTAAATCTTTTTTATTAGTCTTAAACACTCGCAATAATATTTTTATAGCTACAATTGTGATTGCTACAATAAGTGCTAGTAAATCTAAATAGAATTTCTGATATAAAGGAACGTGTAGCGCCGGGGAGCGTAGATGCGGCGCGCCTCCCGTGCGTATCACGTGCTCCACCCAGTGCACCAACTCCTTACCAGGTGGAACAGGTCGGTCGTGGTATATTGCCGAGAGCTCTTTCACTCTATTCTTATATCTGAAAAATCAGTTTTCGAATTAATCAATGAAGCCGATAAAATTACTTTAGCATTTTTTACTACGAATGATGATTGGCTGTGCCTGCGATTTCTTTCGGTAACTCGCTTCTTTCGTTTTAACTACTAAAGTTGGAATAATAATAAGTTATCTAAATTTTTGGCTATATAGCAATTGAAATTTAAAAATTATATTTAATGTTTCTCGAAGCTAATTACAATATATTAACAAAACCCTATTCAAATCGGTTCTGAAACTCCACAAATAACATGAACAGTACAAGTTGTTTTCCTAATAATTAATAATGTATAATATGTGATAACTCTAAATGGGATAAGGAAGAAGCAGATTATGATTAAAATTGTATTAAAAACTTAACTTGTATACCTTGTTTATACTTACTCAGGATTACTAAGGACTGTTTCGATAGCAACTTTCAGCTCGTCCACCATTGTATAAGACAAAGGTACTTTTACAGCGAATCCTTTATTCACAGCTCTCTCAATATTGGTGAACTGATCTCCAAACACTGGTATGCCTATAATTGGCTTTCCAAAATGGACAGCTTCAGTTGTTGATAGAAGTCCGCCATGTGTGATAAAAAGAATACAATTTGGGTGTGCTGAAATAAAAATTAGTAATCTTTAGATTCAAGATATTAACTTAGTATTAATTAGTAATCTTAAATTAGTACCAACACGTACAGATTAGTAGTATTAATTATGGATCGCACTGCTTAATATTGTTGAAGTGTCCTAATAGTCGCCTAGTTTTGATATTATTGTCTCTTGATGTTTTTAATGAGACAATTATCAAATTCTGTGCCCTGAGTTCTAGTACCCAAAAATGAAAATATTGCTAGTATTGGACATATTACAGCAATTATGTTGCCAAATACAATTAAAAGACTTAGGAAAAAGATACACATATATTCTAAAAAAGATTCACTTTGGTCCTTTAGTTTGGATTTCCAGTCTTCCTTAATTGGCTTTTATCGATACCAAGACTTTACACCTTAACCCTTAAAGTTTATTATAGCACAGATATACATAAATACCTAATATACTGCGTTGTGGTGCCCATTGAACTGTATGCACGTTTTTGGGCAAATCAACCGTATCATCTTCAAATTTCCACAGCACCGTTTGTTTAAGACCTCTAAAAATTTTCAGGAATCCACGTTTTAGTTCATCTGGAAGATCCTTGCTTTTCAGATTTGATCCCAAGCTGAAGTATATTAAGCCATTTTTTGCATTATCGAGGAGTTTTTTTAAGTCCTGTTAAATTCATTGTAAATAAGTGTAAAATTTCTATATATATACTTAATGAATTAATATACCGATTTATTTCATATCTCCTTATGGCGCCTTTACAGGTGCGTGGTACACGGTAAGACTATGAAGCTTTCTCTAGTAACTAAACTGAATTTATTAAAAAAGTCTAACCTACCAAGGACAATGAACTATATTTAAATCCAAATTGATTAATGTATTAGAAAGTCCATTTTATATTTAAATCTCAATTAATAGTAGACAGATACAAAAACTTACATCGGGCAATGGTTCTACTTCATTGTTAATATGGTATCCTGCAATGGGCTTGTAATTTTGCGGTAATCTCGTTGCCTGTCCTAAAGATACATGAGAATTACCCAAAACTAGAGAAATGTTGCTCTGTACTTCTCTATAGCCAGGAATAACTTTTCCTCTTTTTGTGATGTACGGTCCGATTAGGTTTTGGAATTGGTTTTCATCGAGGCCATCGGAGTAACTGAAAGAAAAATCATTCAATATCCAGTACCTACAATGCAGTTCTTCTTTTGCAATTTGAGTATTATCTGTTGAATGTAATTTTTCAAAGTTCTATTGATACCATATACCTATTGCTTCTAATTAATCTAGTCTGTTAATATATAGTAAAAATAAAATGTGCTGCTATATTTTATAGCAGTTTACTGGCGATGATATATTTTCAACTATCTTCATATTCTATTTATTTAAATATCTCCTCACCTACTTTTATTTCTAGATTTACAATTTCAAATGGAATATTTATTGCTCTTTTATGCTTAAGGAAAGAACTGGCATTATCTGTGTGTGTCGTGGGTCATCTCATCAATTATTATAATAGTAATGCTAGGTGTATCATTAAATGCATACTTACAAAGTCTTCATTGCTGTACCCAAAAGCTGAAAGAAGAGTCCAGTTACTCGTTCTTGAAAATTAAATGGCGGTACTATACTTGACGAACTATCTGGCACATAAGCTGGATTTGTACTTTCATCAATCAAGCTAAGAATTATCCAATGTGGTTCTATAGTGGAAAACCAGATGAATGGACAATCAAATACAGTAGCAATACTGGAATAGTCAAATCAATATTATTTTAACACATCAGTAGTAATAGCATATATGATTATTAAATCTAATTTAATTCGTTAACCAATAACATTGTCTTATAGCAAATAAAATACATACCCACTATATGCATCATTGAACATCCATTCAGATATCACAACATCAAATCTCTGGTTGGTATCATTGAGTAATTTAACAACATTAGGATTCTTAACGGTCATTTCAAAGAGATCACTTGTAAATTGCATCATTTTTAGTGGATTATTAAAGATTGCTTCGTTGTTTAAAATCATCTTCATATTAAACATGTTTTCTAGAACATATTAAATTTTAATATTATAAAACCACTTAACAAATTAGATTTGTAGAAGTATAGTTTTGTCAATAGAATCTAAATAATCTTCAAACTTATAATTTAAATTAATTATAGTCCAATATCGACCACCAGTATTCTCAAAAACAAACGAATAGAGACATAAAGTCAAATAAGTTAATACCAATTTTTGGTTCATGAACAATTGACCGAAAATATTTAAGAATGCTATAGTAGATATTGTAACATCAAACTCACCATCTATTGCGTCGAAATTGTTGCTAACATCAATTTGTTGCAAATTTGGACTCGCCTTCTTTAAAGGCAAAGGTGTGATATATGTAACCTGCATGACAATTATAGCTATATAGGTATACATGTCACAGTGTTATTATGAATTACAAACCTCGAATTCCATACCTCATGTCCAGCGTTCAGCAAATGTGAAACTATGCCAGCACCAAGTATTCCATGACTTTTGCCAGGTAAGGTAAATACAACCAATATGTTATACGCATCGCATATATTTGATGCCAATATGGCAAATAATAGCAATAAGACTCTCTTCATTATCTAAAATATGAAATGTGTAATTAATTATTTGACTATCTCAATGGTCTAAGACAGTGATTCCCAAAGTGGTCTATATCGACCCCTAGGGGTCTATGCACAAACTGCACTGCAACTTTATGTTTATAACACTAAACTTTACTACAGTTAGATATTTACAAAAAACCCAATACCAGGTAAGAATGGGGGTTCTACCCAAAACCGAAAAATATGGCAAGGGGTCTACTACACAAAAAAGTTTGGGAACCTCTGGTCTAATGGTTTAGCAGACCGCCTTACTACCAATGGTCGCGTTCGATTCATATACATAGACGAGTATAGAAAACACCCAGACTAGCATACTCATGTGTACAAATATTTATACGGCGCGAGGGATCGAACCTACCTAGTACCCACCGTCAAGAGGACAATACAATAAATTGATTGAATTAAACTCGACATAGGCACAAAACCCTAGAGTAAACCCGTAGTTTAACCCCGTATTAGTTTAGCTCAAGACAGCTGACTTTCAGGTACATCTATAGGCCAAAAATAAATCATTATTTAGAGGTAAATTATACGTTTTATAGTAAGAATTACTTGAGTACGCAATGTATTGCTAGTATTATGTCAGGTCTATTTTTTTAATAAAGTGGTAAACGTTAGTTTGTTATAAACATACCTACATAAATATATCAATAACCATGACGTGCACAAATTTACATATCACTGTAACGTTCTTAATATCGTCTATGACATCTATATACTTACAGTTTTATATCTTAAGTTAGATAAATGACTATTCTGATATAATTACTTCAATTGTAATTATGACTTTCATTATTACGTAGCGTTACAGTCAGCATGACTGACAAATTACAAATAACTCGATATCTGCATACTTTAGTTAGATACCCGTGTTACCATAACTGACAACACGTCTATACCGCAGTAACATTTATACACGTTACCTTAAAATGTATTAAATTACTTACCTACCTAGTTACGAATCTCTATTTAAAATAGTTTAAAGATGAATTAAGTGAAGTTTTTTACTCATTAGAAGATTTATTTTATACGTAAAATAAAAGACATAGACTATTACGTTATTAATATTATATTACAATAGCCTAGTGTAGGAATTAATATTAATAAGAACAGGTAAAACTATTTGTTAATTAAATTATTTTATTATTAATTTTATTAATTATTAATAATAAAGATTAATTAACTGTGACAGAAATAATATTAAAAAGTATAATGAATTTGCATGTCATATATACTGAATGTGAGGACAAAATTGGTAAATATTGTTGAACACTTGCTAATGATAATCTAAAATCCGCTTTGTGTAAATCCCATTTTTTTTCGTAAATAAACATTCATTTCTTTTAAAATTATTTATAGAAATAGAAATAATCTTTATTTAAATAAACTCATTACAAGCACTTTTGAACAGTCATATTTTTTATTCTACCAATATAATAATAATAATAATCTTTATTTACTACTTACAAGGATCACTCATATGACTTGTGTTTTTGGTTATTATCACCTATAACGTATTCATATCTATAAATAGTTATCATAAGGATAGGGAACATAACGTCTGTCATATTGCGGGTCTAGGGTTCCGAAGCAACAAAATTGAACCACAACTTCGTCTCTCCATCCATCCATCATTACACTGTGTATGGTGATCAGTAATTTTTTATTTTTTATTTTATGCGAATAGAATCATAATTGTTGTTCAAAATTATTAACGTGGTTAAGGTGTCTTAAACAAATAGGGCATGTCCATACACCATCTACAGGACAGTCAGAAACGTCCAACGGAGTCAGAAACGCAACCTCGTAACTCCTGCATCAGCGCTCATAGGTATACTATGTGGTTTTTTAGTAAAAAATATCACATCGTCATCCCTCCAACTGAGAGTTTGTTTTTGTAAAGATTATTACCACATGATAAAAAAGTGTCATGTCTTAAAGTGTCATATTAAAACTTTTATGTATTTCAAAAGTACTTTCTATGTTTGTTGTTTAATTATTATTTAAACGGTAACAAACACTGATTTATTGCAAAATTGTCTGAAGCGATTTTTCTGTTTCTTAAATTACTATTGATGAAGGGTTTATGGAACTACTAGCTGTTACTTACATCTTTCTGTACGCAAATTTGAAATTAAAATAAGAGATGGGACTATTTCACCTACTTCTAGATTACTTTTTAGATGAAATATTACCTACACACTTGTATTTCCTCGTAACACAAAATATGCACTCTAATTACAAAAATAGTAATAAAAAGAACCCTGGACAATTCACACAGCGTCACCGAGTGCCAACCTAAGCAGAACTTGTGAGCAGAGCTTGTGTTATGGGTACCAGACAATAATTAGAAATACTTAGATATATTTTATTTTATAAATACATACATAACATTTATAGACTACACCCAGACTAACAACTCATACTCGTGTATGTTTAAGTAACAATTAATTTCGTAAGAGGAATCGAACCCGAGACCACTGGAAGTTAGGCGATGACTAATCCGCTAGATAACGAAGGTCGTATTTTGATGAAGACATGGAATTGTAATCATATTACATAATTTGTATGGAACCCTCAATCTTCAAATCCAAGTCGCACATATACAATTTTATATAGAAATCTTATCTTCGATAAATATTTTATCGCTATACGATATCTTCAGCGACTGCAGACAGATATTTAAATAATTATATGTTTTAAATGAAAATACTTGCTGTTACTACACAGTAATTTTATCCTAAATTGTAAAAAAAATACGGAATTTTGTGATTATTACCTCATTATATTTATTCATTTATATATGATTAAATCTAATATCCTTGACAATACTGAAAGTGTGTATATCATGTAACCTATATTATAGTTTTTTTTACTGGATGAATATAGTATGCTGCTGCCTGCACTAACCGTATACCCTGTGGAGGATTGATGGATGATGATGAGGTCAGGTCAGTCAGGTTATCGTGGTAATTCACCAAGAATTAAGGATGCTTTTCAGGAGGGACGTGGAGGTTAACCTGACACGACATTGCTAGCCATGAGGTCACTAATCCCCGTTCCTAACCATCACTTATCCCTTGTAATATGTGGATGTTTCACGTTTTATAGTTTAGAAGAATCAGAGCCCAATTTTTTAATAAATGTAAGTATATATAGGCTAAATAAATCTCAAAAAAACACCCTCAAAATTAGTAAATCGATAAGTAAATATAATATATACATATACATATGTATTACCTGGCAATATAATTTATCAATATTGATATATAAAGCACTTCACTTCACTTCCATATAAATAAAGTTTTATTACTGATTATTAGCATTGAATTAACACAGTAGAGGATAATGAGGCCTGATTACACTTTATCTGATTTTGTAATTTGTTGATTTAAATTATACTAATTGTACTGAACAATTAGTATAATTTACTTATTTTAATTATGTATAAAAGTTACCTTTTACGACTAAATTTTAATGATATCATCATCTGCTTCCTCCTTATCCCATTTATTTGGGGTCGGCATAATATGTTTTTCTCTTCCATTCATCCCTGTTCGCAGTCACCCCGTTATTTACTCCCTTTCTTACCATATCATCTTTCACACAGTCCATCCATATCTTTTTCGGCCTTCCTCTGCCATTATAACCACCCACATTCATTAATTTTAATTATTATATGTGGTATGATTTCTTCGTGATAATGGAATCTTGCACCCGCCTGCACTAACCAGGAGCACCAGTGGAGGATGTTAAGATGAATATAAAGTTAGGTTAGTAAGGCCATCGTGTGAAATTCACCAGGATTTCGTCATGATGGTTTCCTGGGATGCTAGAAATGGAGTCATTAACCCGATTACTAACTATCCTCTTTGATTCTCCTGGGAGATACACGGGTGATAAAACTTATTCAGTGAAGTTAATAGTGCTGTTCCTGTCTTTTTGGCATCCGCGCTCCCAGCTTCCAAGATATAGGTCTAATCTAGTTAGGGGACTACTGATAATAATTTGAGAATAATTTTATTGTAGTAAATAAATGTAAATCTATAAGTAAGTAAATAAATAAATTTACATGTTGATAAACGCTAACCGTCGTCAATATTGGTAAATGCTAGTACTTTCTAACAGGTAGGCCGTCTGAGCCCACTTATCAAATTCAAAATATCTTTATTCATGTAGGTCTATTAGAGACTCTCATGATATGTCAAATCTACCGTCAGTTCGAAATGATTTCGAGATGAGAACTGACAAGAAACTCAGCTCGTATTCTTTTCAAATTAATATTATACATGTTTACAAGAATACAGATTTTTAAATTCAAACTTGGGAGAATAGCGTAACCAATAGCGTATGCTATTGCCAAAGCAAATAGTCTAATCAGTGTTCGCAACCCAAACAGACCAGTTCCTACAAGCAACACCCATTCACGAGTATGGCGGATGAGCCAGCCATCATTGCACTCAACCATATTTGAGGGAGCAAATCGACCCGGCCCACCACGCTGCCACAAGTTTGAACTTTATTTAAAGACAAAAATTTTTAAAAATGTTATTTTGTTGTATCTTCCGTATTTATATTCATATGCATGTAGTAAAAAACGATTGAAATTGAAATACATAAATATATCTTGAAATCAAACATATTGAAATACATCTTGTTAATACATAGAAGTCTGATCTGACTATAGAGAATACATACAAACATGCTAATGACAACAAATGTATGCATGGTGCGAGGAATCGCACCCGCGACCAACGGAAGCAAAGCGGTGTGTTAAACAGCTACACCATCGAATTTGACTTTAGCATTTGTAAGTAGCTACATTTGTCAATATTATAAATATTGCTAATAGCTAACAGTCAGGCGTTTTCGTACAGTTATTATTATCTCTGAATATATACCTAAGTACTGTGAAGATACAGCACAAACTTCTTTATAATAAGATATTTAAGTTTATATAACTTTAGTTAATTTTCAGATTATAGGTTTTATGTATAATAGGTAAGTTAATATTCTTATTTTGATGTATATTTTTATAAATAAAAAGCGTCATCACTTACCTCAGATGAGCTGTGTGCTTCTATACTAAGTATGTTATAAAAAATATATATTTTAAAATAAAATTATTCTCATGTAGATTAGTCAGTTATCTCCAAGAGACTACGTTTGATGTGCGGAATATAGACAGTATTGCCAACTTAGTGGGTTTACCACTTGAAATGGTCAAATTAACTATCCTCTTGGTCGGCAAAATTTGTTCGTAACATTAAACTTTTTTTGAATAATTTGGTTGTTACTAATTATTCTTATTCCGTTAAATAATTTATTACACATGATGGTAAGTGGCTATACTCACTGTATTCATGATTAAAACGCCATATTATTTTCAAATGGGTGTCTGGAGTAGATTTGTTTAATTATACTTTGCAGTTATCACCAATATATTGATAGACGTATGTCCCATTTAACCGTAAGATAATATATAATTCCGAGCAACGTAAGTACAGTAGTTTGCAAATTTTTTAATAATAAGGCCACAGACGGAGAGCTTTAATCATTATCAATTGGGGGAAAGGGGATTGTTCGTAATGGGAACTAGTAACCCCCATTGCTAGCAATGTACCATGTTAGGTCGACCTCCACGCGGTTCCTCCTGGAAACCATCGTTATAAATTCCTAGTGAATTTGTCACGAAGTGCTAACTGACCTGACCTTATATTCATCTTATCATCCTCAACTGGTGTCCTGCCAGCGTAAACCGTTAGCGCAGGCGAGAGCACCATTTCATTATCATCCACAAAAAAAATCATTATCAATTTAGGTACATTGACCTTAGCCTCCGAATTCAATACGTACTTGTCGTTTTTATTCACAGTAGATATTATCACAGCATATCTCAAGTAATTGTGTCACGCAAGCGATCCGTGCAAGTAAATTAAAATCAATGCCAGTTAGTAATATGACATAGTTAGAAGTACCAAGACATCATAAAAGCGGAAAGTATTTTTTTTCTAATTTACAATCAAAATGTTCAAGATTTTACTATTAATTTCAATACTAAGTTATGTGTGTTCATATAAAATTCTTGTTGTATTCCCATACCCGGGGAAGAGTCATACAATCCTGGGTAATGGATACGTTCGTCATTTACTTAAGGCCGGGCATGAGGTATGTATTAATTTAATATAAATAACGTTGATATGATTGCCATTGCCACTCCCGCCAGCAACTAAAACACCATCCTGATCATCTGGATGAATGGCGGTCCTCCACCGTGCGTTTATCTGAACTTTTTGCTACGTCTACGTACGTATTTCCGAACCGATATGATATTGAAACCTTCGAGAAAATTGTTCATTAATTCTCAAATGGTCGGGCAACGCACTTGCAATTCTTAGATTACGACTTATATAAATTCTTAGATAGTTTTTTTTTGTAAATACAAACCTAATATACCCACCCAGACCAATACAAACAATCATACTCATGATTACAAAAAAAAATTGAGTTTTACAACGAACAAATTATTAAAATGGTACCGATTTATGAATAAAAATATATGGAAATTTTTGGCTTTATTTTAGTAGAGCGAAATATAGATATATATTAAAGTGAAATATAAGTAAGAATTTAGAAACTGCCATCCGTAGTACTGGGATAGAATAGGATATATTAATACTAAAATCGAGTTTTAGATAAAATTTAATATCATAACATTTTTAATCTAATAAGGGCTCTATTGTAGATACACAAAGTATGTACATGATGTTCTTCTTTCGTTTTAATGGCAACTAAATGTATTTTCCCCAGAATGTTGCGACGACTTTTGCGCGTTCTGTCGTATTTTTTAGATCTTCCTTTGTGCAGGCTGTTGGGCACAAAGGACAGGTCAATAGATAAGACATAGTCTGGGATGGCGTAACAACATAGTCTGTTGCAAGATATCTTTAAATTGATTTCTATTCCAGGTGACCTACATTACTTCTATTCCTATAAAAAATACGAACAAGAATCTCAGGCAGATCGATGTATCCAGTAACATAGAACTATTTACATTACGTAAGTACATTACTTTTAATAAATTAACATGAAGACTCCAATCAGCCCCTGTGGCATCCATATAAGCGCCTTTTGTGCATCAAAATTTGTTGTCAATATAATTTTTGTATTAGATGTTTAGTGCGATAAAGAGTTTCTAATAAAATAAATACTTCTCTCTCATAATTTATACAAACAAAAACTGTAAAATAAACCAATATTAGAAAGAAAATGGCATAACAGATAAAATAGTTTAACATCATTTTTATAGTTAATCAGGCTAACAGCCCACTTGATGGTAACTGGTAAAGTTACCACTGACAATAGTAAAGCGATAGCATCTATACATTGACAGCATTACGGACATTACATCATTATGTGATATACGTGGAACCTTTTATGTTTTCTTATCCCGTAGGAATACGATGTCATGCCTTTCTACCCTGTAGTTTTACTACCATATCTCATCCTTGAATTAAAACACACATTTCAAAGGCACCCGTTACGCAAACGACATTTTAGAAGTCTGCCTAAAGAATTTGGAAAAAAATGGATACAATATAGTTATTAAAATAAAATATTGAACACACGATATTTTACCTTATAGACGTGAAAATATATGTACTGTATAAAAAATTTATTGAAACAAATTTACTAATATTATAAACGCGAAAGTTTGTGAGTATGAATGGATAAATGGATGGATGATTGTTACTGTTTCACGCAAATACTACTGAACGAATTTTGATTAAACTTTATAGTAATAAAGCTTACACAGATTAGCACATAGACTATAAATTTATTACGTGTGAAAGCGCGGGCACCGCTAGTCTTTAATAATAAATTATGGAAGCTTGTTATATACTCGTGGAGCAATTACATATATGCTTTTTCCAAGTAAAGCAATTTTATGGCTGGGGATACATATTTTACAAGCATTTCTCTGACTATTTAGAATCACGTATAAATTTCGATTAGTTCTGACAAAAACAATTGATCCGTAAATGTAAAGACAAGACACTGTTAATATTTTATACTTTTTAAATAATTGGTTTACAGTTGAAAATCTGGACCTTGAGAAGCAAGTCAATAAAGTGATTGACTTAGAAGACACAAACTCACTGTTATCTGTAATTAGAAATATAGCTAATAATACACTTCACAATAAAAATGTACGCACATTTATAGAAGATCCTAATGAAAATTTTGATGCTGTTATTGTGGAATGGCTGTACACGGAGCTCTATTGTGGGTGAGAAATATCTTACAATAAATTTAAAACGTTCTGAATTTGAAAAGATATCGACTATTTTTTGACAAAGATATCATGTCTCCTATAATTTCAGTGATTAACAGCACTCTACGACCGAAACACAACTGCTTTGCGACTTAAATAGGTGACACTGAGGTATCCGCGCAGACGACTTTTCACAATCTACCTTAGTAAGAATGTAAGATATTGCAAAACTGATCTGTACTGGTTCTTCAATGTTGTCAAAAATTTAAAGGAGTTATTAAATTGTATTTTAATTTAATAGAGATTATCTTTCTCTCTAAGCGAATAGAAAAAATATTACTATAATACGTATTACAGAAACGTAGTATACAGAAACAGGTAATAGTGATCAATTTCTTCCCGATCCAAAACTGCAGCTGACTTTCACTTGGCTTCATAACCATCTTTGAAGTTTTCGACCGGGAGGAAATAATTGATGAAAAAACCTGGCGGACTAGTATCATAGTGTGGTGTCGCCGTAAGAAAAGCACCATCCTATCTCTTCCCGTGGGTATTGTAAAAGATGATTAAGGCATTCATCGACCAGAGAACAGGCAGCAGCGTTCTGCTGAGTAACTACCACCACACTGCGATCGCCAACCCGCATGCCAAGCGTGGTGATTATCGCAATATCCTCCCAAATGGACTAAACATAATATCTAAATGAACAAACATTTCAGTAGGACAAGTTGACATTAAAAGTCAATAAAAATCTATTTTTGTATTCTTGTACAGGTTTGCTACTGTATTTGACAGTCCACTAATATGGTCATCTTCGATGGACCCTCATAGCATGGTGCTGTCCCTCATAGACGAAGATCCCAACCCTGCTTACACCTCCAACCATATTTCTCACTTCGACCCACCGTTTACTTTCACACAACGGTTGAATGAACTGTGGACTATCATAGATCTGAAGATATTGAGATGGTATGGTAACCTTACATAATTATATAAATGTTTATAAAATGAAATTTCTTAAACAACCTGCATATTTTTGATAAATGTCACTTAATATAACGTACAGTTTAAAATATTTTATTATACATGAAACTTACTTTAAGTATAAGAAAATTGTTAATATGCATTCGTCAAGTACAAAAGGACTGACTAAAATTATCAAAACCTAAAATTAACCCAGGATAACTTCAAACTGAGCAGTTTGTACTATCTACTTGTTTAATATTTTAAATTTATTATACACATATTATATACTTAGGCCAATCAATTATACCCATGAGTACAAATGACATAACATGTGAGAATTAAAACGATAACAATAATTGGATTCTTCCAATAATTGCTATAAACTGCTAGACCACCGACGCCGTCAAAATATAACAATACAACTATTTTCTTTATTTCTAGGTGGTTATATGATATAGATAACAAAATATTTGCTGACGGCTTTACAACAGCAGCTGCAAAACGTGGTAGAACGCTACCATCGCTGTATGAGGCACAGCATTCTGGAGTGTTAATGTTAGGTAATTCCCATGTATCATCAGGCAAAGCGATGAGGCTACCACAAAACTATAAACCTATTGCAGGCTACCATATAGATGACGAGGTTCGACCACTACCTGAGGTAACATTGAATGAAACCTAATAACTTTTTCCCCCATTTAAGATTAGACAGCAATAATAAAAAAAAGTATTCATGCATATTAATAATGATGACATCGCATAAAATATGAAGTTTTAAACTTTCAAATGATATATCTTTTTTATTAAAATGTTGTATACCTTCACTTAAAACAATTTTCAAATGCAGAGGTAACAATATATTTATGAAAATGTAATAGAAATATGAACATATTATATATATCATAATGACACAAGTAATTCACACAACGCAATCTAGTTCAAAGTTATGTAGCTTGTATTATGGGTACTAAACAAATAATATTATATAAATATTACATATTTAAATACATTTTTTATATACATATACCATACCATACTGTTTCAATACATTCATACGTATAATGTATCGTACAAAAACGAACCTGCAACCATCGCAAGTTGAAATAATCCTACATAACGTACGCCATAGAAAATAATCCTGAGGTACCACCATCCGTAGATACTGAGACATTTCTTCAACCTTATGTTTCTTGTTTTGATGTTATTATTAAGATATTTAATCATGATATTACACTATTTAACTTTTTCATTGAACAATCAAGAAATCTCATATTAAGATGGTCAATTAGCGATGCGCTACAGCGAAGTTATAATATTTGTAAAATGGGAAGAAAATAGAAGTGAATAATGATATCAAGCCGACGATGGCAATTCAACATACATATAATAAATACATGTGCTCAAAGTATTTGTTTCTTCAGGATTTGCAGAAAATTATGGACGACGCTAAACAAGGCGTTATTTACTTTAGTCTGGGATCGATGGTGAAAAGTAAGAGTATGCCCAGTGATATGAAGAGTAACATATTAAAGATGTTTAGTGCACTGAAGCAAACAGTGATTTGGAAATTTGAAGAAGTTCTGCCCAATTTACCGAAGAACGTCCACATTCTTGAATGGGCACCGCAGCAGAGTATACTAGGTTCGTTTGGTAAATCTATTATTTGCGCTACATAAGGGTTGGCAATGCGCACGTGACACCACTGAGGTTTCAGGCGTCAATAGGCTACGGTAACCATTTACCATCAGATGGGCCGTATGCTTGTTTGCCACCATCTTAGTATAAACAGCCCTCCGAAATTGTTTAGTCAAATTTAATGAAATTTATTACTCTATTTTTATACCTCTAAGAGATAAGGGTGGCCCATTCCAAATTTATCTTTTTTTTATTTTAGATCAAAATTTACTCCGATATTTAAATTTGGTAGACTTCAAAACTCAAGTACAACTGATTGGCCTACATATCCACTAAATCAAGAAGTTTTGGTTTACGAATAATCCTTCGGCTGCATCATAAATTAAAATTGTACTTACTGATAATTTTATGTAATTTTCATATTTCAGCTCATAAAAACTGCATCCTTTTTATAACACATGGTGGTCTTCTCTCAACGACTGAGGCTTTACATTTCGGTGTACCATTAATTGGTGTACCTATATTTGCTGATCAGCATGTCAATATCTACCGAGCAGTGAACAAAGGTTTCGCTAGACATGTTCCCCTGAACAAGGATATGGCAGAAGATTTGAAAGAAGCTATAGATGAAATACTTGGAAATCCTAAGTAAGTCCATTATATAATTCTTAGTTCCAGTATAACTTCAAAAACAGTAAACTAGTGGATAAATCATAGTCTGATACAAGTTACGCTTAGTGCAGAGAATGTTGTAAATAAATTTACACAACTATTATTAATAATTTTACCGTATTTCATTTTATCAAAGATAATAATAGCGTTATAAGCTTATTAGGCACATTGATTTTGGAATAAATAGTATAATACATCATATTTAAAATTAGTGTTCTTGTAACTAAGTACATAACAGTTATGTCTTACTGCTGTATATCCACTGAATATCTCCATCAAAGCTATGCTTAGTGCTGAAAACGTTCTAAATGTACACAACTAAACTTAATTTTACAACTAAATTTAATTTTATCAAAGATATATAGATAATAATATCCTTAGATAATTTAGCGCAATATTTTACAAAACTAAGCAATATTATGAGCACTAAATAACTGGTAGAATTACTTAAATAAATTTATTATGTAAATACATACAATTCAATCATACTCTTGAATATAAAAGTTTGTATTGTGCGAGTAATTAAACCCTCAATCATAGATAGTAAAGTGTACTGACCCGATAATAAAGCTGATATTATGTTCATATTCTTTTACAGATATAAAGAGAAAGTCAGAGAATTATCATTCGTTCACCATGATAGACCAATATCACCCGGTGATGAACTAGTGCATTGGGTGGAACATGTGATACGTACTAAAGGTGCACCCCATCTCCGCTCTCCAGCATTCGACGTACCATTCTATCAGAAATGCTACCTTGATCTCGCAGCACTAGTTTTAGCAATATTAATAGCAATTAAGATAATTATAGTCAAGCTTGTGAGACTGTTATTTAAGAAACCTGGTTTAAAAAAGAAAATAAATTAATATTGTGGTTTTTATTTGTTTTGCGTATTTAACCACTAGTGCAGTAGCGTAAATTCGATTAAAAAATAACATATATATTTTAATCTAGATATTTTCCCCTGTGTATTACATTTTATTTTAAAACTAGTTGCACTCGCGACATCGTCCGCGTGGAATTTAACTTTGATTTTTCTAAAATAAAAGTACCCTAAGTTACTCCTTATTACATCAGCTACCTACCAAAAAAACTCAAATCGTCAAAATCCGTACAGCCGTTTCAGAGATTAGCCGGAACATACAGAAAGACAATTGTAAAAAATGTTATTTTAGTGTTCGTACCGTATTTATGTTCATATGCATGTAGTTAAAAACGGTTATTTCAATATTACAAATAGGTACTCCAATTTTATTTATATAAACAGATGGATGATCAAATTTCTAAAAGAAATGTAGCCTAATTTATGCCACATCACATAACAACGCTATGTTATTTTAGAAATTGTAATTATTTTATTAAAATAAAAACCACAAGGTCGTTGTAATCAACTAGTGCTTACCCTAAGGTAAGCACTAGTCGATTAACATAAATAAAGCGTCATATCGAATTATAATAAAATTTTGTGTAACATTAACATGACTTATGAGAAATATCAAAATTTAATTTTTATTTTTTATTTCCTTGAAATAGCAAATTAGCTAGCATCAGCTGGCTCCATTGATTAATTGTGAGTAGTAGCAGTCACCTCTATACATGAGCAACACTATCGACATCACGTTATCATGACGTAATAACGTGATGAGTTGCTAAACCAGAGTATTAAGATGCTATGCCTCTTATCCTGTAATTTATTTCTTTATTCTTTTGCATACAAAACTGTATACATAGCGGACTTATACCCTGATTATTATTTGTATTCTGACCCGTCATCGGTTAGATATAATAAGGCAGTGTAATTTCATCATCATCAATGATCATAATAGATGATCTGTACATAGTACAAAAGAAGTCGCTTCTGCTGTCTTTTCACTTACATCTCCCTCGCTTACTATTCTTTTAAACTATTTTTATTCGGATTTATTATTATTTTTAATAATGGATTTTTATTCGGTTTTTGTTCTTATGATACGTTGTTGATTTGTTATGACAGTAATTGTTATGATAGTTAGTAAGATATAAAATAGGTAAATAAAGAAAAATAATATATGTACCTATAATTACATAAATAACTAACTGCATACAAATGAAACTTATTTTACAAAACTGCTTGGCTACTGCAATATATATATATATATACAATTATGAAAAATGTCTTATACAATGACACAGGTGAAACTGTGGATCCGCACGCAGGCGATATCTTACATATTCAAAGTCTACCTCTAGTTCAACTTCTTAGTTTTAATTCTATTTTTATTAAATAATGAGGTAACACGTTTTATTGCATATATAATTATTATAATACAGATTACAATTACAGCTATAAGATCGAGATACAACTTTTGGTAGAGCGGCACCGCGAGGGCGGGCGAGCGCAGGTGCGGGGCGCCGCGCGTCCTCACCACGTGCTCCGCCCAGTGCACCAGCTCCGCGCCCGGATGCACCGGTCTGTCATGATATATAAATGATAGCTGCTTCGCTTTTTCTGTATAACTGAAAGAACAGTTTCAATATTAGCGCATTGTGTATTAATGTAAATAACGACTAAAACGAAGTTATAAAATAACCGACTACAGTTTTCGTTCCAACAAACTGGCTATATACTACGTGTCAGTAAAAGATTTCTTATCTGTTTGACTAAGATACTATATATGAAAATACCAGATCTCATTCGAATCTATTCAATCGTTTAAGTTTACCTTCGGAAGGCATGAATTGAATTGTACATAAGTATTTGTATATGCAGTGTAGTCTAATTGATAGATTATATAATAAATAACGTATATGTATTATTCACAAATTATAATTTTTAACACACACTTATAAATTTTACCCATGTCTCTTTACCCATGTCTTTTTACGTCGGTGCTATTAAAAAATACATTTTAATGAAATTTTGTATATATATACTTATTTAAAGTTTTTTTTAGAGCAATCATACAAACCTGTCGTCTTTATAATATGAATAATCTAGATAACAGTTTCACTATTATATAGTATCTATAGAGCTACGTACAGTTCTCAGGTTGTCTCGACGTTTTTCACAACTAACTGACACCACTTTCCTTTAAGGAACCGGACACAGTATAGCGTCAACTAGAGCCATATCTTTAAAAAACTGTCAGCTAAGTTTTGTTTATAACATTATATATATTATGAACACACAAAGTTAAGTACAACTCAAAATGTTTGAAAATTAAAAAAATATGTATGATAATCGCTACATCGAATTTTACTTATATCGCTTACTATGCTTTCACTTTTAATATTCGATTGGTGATGTTTAAATAAGTTTAAGACTAACAGACATAGGACATATATTATACCAAGTGATACTGAGTTCAACGGGTCATCTAGTTAGTTAACCTGGACTTACATTATCAGGTACAGCTCAACAGCCCGCGCCACCAGCGCCGTTTGATTGGCGCATTTCCAAAAAGAGCTGGTTGTAGCAAACAATGCACCAATGGCTCAACGTTGGCCTTATTGGAAGTGTGTGGACACAATGAGGAAAGAAATACAATTCCGAATGGGAACGCACTCCGATAACTAAGATATGCAGTAAAATCATACAATAAACTGCAATGCTTTTATTGGTACATAATAATATACAAAACTATAAATTTAATATATATATTTTTTAATACAAGAACGTGTGTACCTGCCTGCGCTAATGGTAAATATTGCCTAAGTCCAGTGAGCTGAAGTCAGCTCAGCTCATTTATCAGGAACCACAATTCACCAGGAAAACAATGGTTACCAGAAGAGAACGCGTGGAAATCGACCTGACATATTACGAATACTTACAAAGATACTTTCACTTTCACAATGTTGATTAAACTAAAAAAAAATAAAGAATAAAAAGTTCTTTTTTCCAATTAAAACTTAAATTTAAGGACTTTTGAACATACTCATTTTTCAATCATATAAGAAGAAAAAGCAAGAAACTTGCTTGTTGATCTGGTAAACAACATACAATGTGCCGGTATTTTTAAGGAATACGTTACATTTGTGGTACGTTTATCTTTATTATGCGCACTATGCCAAATTAACACTCTATATAAATAAAACGTCCTATCAAATTTGAATAAATTTTATTGCAATATTTGAGTATAAATTTATAAAGTTATGACAAATATCAAAACTTAATTTATTTAGTTCAACTTTTTAGTTTTAATTTTATTTTTATTAAATAATAATGAACTAACACGTTTTATTACATATATAATTATTATAATAAAGATTACAATTACAGCTATAAGATCGAGATACAACTTTTGGTAGAGAGGCACTGCGAGGGCGGGCGAGCGCAGGTGCGGGGCGCCGCGCGTCCTCACCACGTGCTCCGCCCAGTGCACCAGCTCCGCGCCCGGATGCACCGGTCTGTCATGGTATATAAATGATAGCTGCTTCGCTTTTTCTGTATAACTGAAAGAACCGTTTCAATATTAGCGCATTGTGTATTAATGTAAATAACGACTAAAACGAAGTTATAAAGTAACCGACTACAGTTTTCGTTCCAACAAACTGGCTATATACTACGTGTCAGTAAAAGATTTCTTATCTGTTTGACTAAGATACTATATATGAAAATACCAGATCTCATTCGAATCCATTCAATCCTTTAAGTTTACCTTCGGAAGGCATGAATTGAATTTTACATAAGTATTTGTATATGCAGTGTAGTCTAATTGATAGTAATAATAATTATTTAGATGAGTGATTAGCTAATACATAGATGAAGTGGTTTTTTCTTTTTTCTGTTTATATAATTCTAACATATTGTTCTGTCATCAGCTAACAAAAATATTCATGGACAGAAGCATAGTATAATTAGTTTAGTGATTTAAAGTCTATTTCAAAATTATACTATATACATAATATAATATATATGTAACATAATATAACAAATCCATACTTAAGTATTCTCCAGGAATTTTATTATAAATTCCAGAGTCCATACATATTGAGTAAGATAGTTTAAAGATGTTTTACTTCTTCAATTAATTCTCTCTCTAAACACAATTAAGGTAACAACACGTTATTATGTATTATTTCTATAACATATCGCTTTATTCCCTTAATTGCGTAAGCCTTCTACTATTATGTTTCTAAAGCAATGGGATATCGAATGTTAAAATCTAACCAGTAATTATCGTGTATAAATAAACGGCCATTTTTATTAATTAGTCTTTATATAACACAGAAAATGGAATGGCAGTTTTTAGCAATGGTATTTTCGAACCGATACGATATTAAAACTCTCAAGAAAAGAGGTTATTCCTTCTTAAAAGGCAACCAAAGCACTTGCAATACCCCTGATATTGCGGGTGCGCATAGGCGACGGTAATCAGGTGAGCCGTAAGCTCATTTCTTCTCCCCTGTGCTATAAAAAAAACTATTTACCTAGAATCCTTGAGAATATCCAAAATTATTGCCTTCAGATCATCACCCAGTGAGAGAGTTAAATCAACTTTCTTCGCAAAACCTTTCTTCACCATTCTGTCAACATTTGCAAATTGATCAGCAAATGCTGGTATCCCTATCATGGGCTTCCCGAAGTAAACTGCTTCTGTCGTCGACAGAAGACCTCCGTGTGTTATAAAGAGAATACAATTCGGATGCGCTGAAACAAACGTATATATCCATTAAATAATTTTTACATAATATTGTAATTATAAACAAGCTGACTACTCATATAAGGGACAATACATGAACAGCACCATAGATATCAAGTCGTTATCTGAGTAAAGGACGCACATAACCGTGTCATAAGTTGTATTAAGCTGAGGACTAAGGTTCGAACTGCTTGATATATAACAACTTACACAGCAAGGAGCATGGCAGCTGAAATGGATGAGACAAAGGTACCTACGCAATCATAGACACAACTAGTCAACGGATAAACTGATATTATTAAGAAATTTAGAAAATTGACGCTTCTGCCTTCTATTCCAAGGACAACGGTGATCTAGAGGTTTACAATATCTTCTTATTTCTGTTGGTCGGCGGTTTCGTACCTCGCCAGAAATTTTGACATTTGTATTCAAGAGTATGATTGTATTAGTCTGGGAATTTCCTACATCGATCATGGATTTATTTTCTTAAAAAATTCTCTCTGAAGTTTTACTATCCACAACACAATATCTCTTTAGGTTAGGACTAGAACGCTGTGGAATATGTCCAGAGTGGTTATTATTATTGCTTACCTAAAATGCTTTGTTGCGGTGCCCACTGTATTACATGGACGTTACTTGGAAGATTGGCAATAGGTTCCTCGAATTTCCAAAGCACCGTATATTTCAACTCGCCAAATATTCTCAGTAGTCCAGTTTTCATTTCTTCTGGCATATCTTTGCTTTTCAAAATTGAACCCATACTAAAATATATTAATCCATTCTTCGCATTGTCTAATAACTGTTTTAAGTCCTAAAATTATTTTGGCAAAATATAAACAAAATTGATAAAAAAAATTAACATTTTAAAGAACATGAATGTGGAAAGTGGTAAGAGCTCCGCCGAAAAGAGCGTGGCTCTTAAATTATGAATAAATTAATAAAAAAATGTATGAAAGGGAGTTGGTAAATATCGTATCGTAAATAAAACCTTTACTTTACAAGTTTTTTACAATATTGTATAAACAAACGTCTTAAAATTACACAAATGTATCATTTGGGATGGCTATAAAGGTGAGCTCATATTATAGCGTAACCAAGAGAATATATATAGAGAGTAGTAGTGGTGTGGTGTGGATAAGATGTGGATGGAGAGACAAGAATGGATAAGATAAAGAATGAATACATTAGAGGAAGTATGACAGTGGCGCGGGAGTGTCGAAGAAGTTGAAGAGTAATCGTCTGTCGTAATATGTACATGCAATGCGTAGGAATGAAGATAATATTTTAAAGAAGGTGTTACATATAAATGTGGATGGTACATATAAGGGCAGAGGAAGGCCGAAAAAGAGATAGACTAAATGACGAAATGACTGTGAACAAATATGAATGGAAGAGAAAAAAATATTACACCGACCACAAGTAAATGGGATGGAGAATAGGATAAGGAAGGAGCAGATGATGATGATCAATATATAGGGATAGATATCCATTTATTTTCTTATGTTTCTGCTGAATATGCAAATAATTCATTTGTCGATCTATCTACTTCTTTTATTACTGTGATGGTCACAAACAAGCATACGGCCCATCTGATGGTAAACGGTTACCCACCTCTGGAAGCGGTGTTTTTTTTACATCATCAATATGATATCCACCTAGAGACTTGTAATTCTGGGGTAACCTCGTGGCTTGTCCTAATGACACGTGTGAGTTCCCTATTACTAACGATGCATTGTATAAAACTTGTTTGAATGGAGGTAATGTTCTACCCCTTTTTGATATTATTGTTTCAAACACATCTGTATATGTCTTTTCCTCGATTCCATTTAAATAACTGAAATGAAAAGAGTTATTTTAAGTTCATAAAAAATTTTGGAAATAAATAAAAGTTTTGTATTGTTAACCAGTTCTTAACACGAATAATTTTATGGTAAATGAGGTCTTCCTTTTGCAAGACAGCTCGTAACCACGGCTAGTGCAACCTAGTCGAAATATCGAGAAAGGTAAGTACCTTCATTTTCCATAAAATTATCGCGTTACGATCCGGTAAACAATATAAATAATGTATATTAAATACGAAAGTATAAAAATAGCTAATATTTCCTAGTTTAGGAAGCGTAGTAGCCGGCCCTGGTTATTCCGGGTGATTATAACATTTAGGTTCTTGTATATAATTAACTAACTGTGCCTGCGATATATAAGCTATAATATTGTAAAGTGTTATTAAAATCCATTTAGTATCTTTTGCCCCAATTAACAAAGAAAACACTCACAAACTTCCGCGTTTATAATATTAGTAAGATTGTATATGCAATTAACATGTTTTAAATCAATTTAATATGACATTATTTTAAATGTATTGGTTCCTTATTTATTGATAATCTTATACATGAACAACCATTTCCAAGCACGTTTATCATATTAGAAAAATATATTGAAATTGTCTGTGTACTTACAACATTCTGACTGCCGTCATTGTAATCTGGGTAGTCAATTGCTCTATGCGTTCTTGGAAGTTGAATGGTGTTGAACTGCTTAACATGATGTCAGGATTATACGCAGGATGTAAATATTCGTCAACGAGCCTCGTTATTAACCAGTGTGGCTCCACTGTTGATACCCATATATAAGGACAATCAAATACAGCTGCCATTCTGTAACACGGAAAGTATATTTTTTAATGAAAACAGAATGACAAACAATCTAACATGGTAACAAACCGTCATCTAACAAAAGACATTTTCAAGTTTTAAATTTACATTGTCAGTAATTTTGTTTTGCAACTGTCTGAAACTTTCCATCAGGTACGCTGTCAGCTCGTTTGCTATTGCAATGTATTATTAGCTTTTATTAACTATCTCACACGGTTGAAAATTGATTGGCACCGTCGTGGTATAAAATAAATTAATAAAAAATAATGAAAGAAAAACCAGTGCAATTTTTATTTCAAGAAGTTAATGCTGTTTGTTCTAAGTAAATATGTCAATGATAGGTCTAATCATCCTCAAGTTGTATACAATTTTTTCCTAATACTTGGATAGTAAAATATGTTTTGTGTTTCTTGTATAGAACGCAAGATATGTTTAATTCTGTAAGAAAATAGTCGATCCCGCTTTGAAACTGGGTACATGTATAACATCAATGTATGAATACATATAAATTCAGTTTTACTTGATCTACATCTTTATTTTTATCAATAATTTTTGATGCATTATTCGGATTCATTCTTTTCGAGGTACAACTTCATGCACACGTTCGTGGTATGGAATCATAGAACAACAGCGATATATCACAATATAGATTGTTTCAAAGCGTGAATATATATATATTACACAAGTTTCTTGCTCGTTCTTCTTGTGATGAAACAGCTTTCCGAACGAATGGTAGATAAAAAACAAATTGTTATGACTATTCAAAAGTGCTTAAATTAATTTGAATAAATGATTTTCTATTCTATTCTATATATATATAATATTTTTACTTGCAACAGTACCAATAATGTAATAATATACCTCTAATGTATATTTTTTAATAATAATAAATGTTATTGTTGTGCATAGAAAAATATTTACAACAAGAAAATTTTACATAACCTCACTTTTCTAAATGAACACATGTTTCTATTAGAAATATTGTACACATATTTAAAAAAAACTAATAGGTACTTACCCTATTTGTACCTCAGTATAAAACCATTCAGTTATAAATAAATCAAATCGTTCGTTTGGATCATTCAATAGTTTCTGTACATTCTCGTTCCATAGAGTACCATTGTTCAAGTTGGCTACCATGTCGAAGAATAATTTCCAGTCTTTCATATCTACTTCCTTATTTATTATAGCCTTTAAATTAAGATTATCTGTAAAAAAAGAAATGTTTTATAATAATAAATAGAATTGTAATTGTTTTGCGCACTTGATGTCTTCATTTCATAATTAAACGAAAGCGTTTAATTATACAAAAAACTAAATAATATTCCATGTAGTCAATCTTTTTTTTTTATATTTTGTGATTAATACTGGCTGACGCCGCAAACGTTGTTATGCCATATATTAAAGTCGCTATTAAAAATATGATTTACGACAACGAATATTGATTTAGAAGGGTGAAAAATTACAGTTTTACCTATGTATATATATGTATTATAATGTATAAGCTATATTACTGTAAAGTTTCATCAAAATCCAAAAACGGTTCAGGAGTTTTTGCGTGAAAAAGTAACTTTCATCCATCTATAACAATCTTTCGCATTTATAAATATTAGTAAGATATTTCTAACCCTATAATGGAAGAACCCAGATGTTTTAATTATTTTATTTCAATGTTATTTTTAGTATAAAAGCCAAGCAACAAGACGAATTGTACTTACCTTGAAATTTGTTAGCTACTTCAATTACTCGCAGATTTGGGTTTGGATTTGACACTGGGAATGATGTTATGTAGGTAATCTAAAAATTAAACCATAACTTTATAGATATATATATATATATATCCTTATAGATATATATATATATATATATCGTACGCCTAGATTGACTTTACTAACATTACTATTATACTATTACAATTTACTAACATTAAATTAGAAAAAAAAACTAACAAATAGGCCATTGATAAAAAAAGTGTATTATTAGTATTATTATATATATATAAATACAGCAAATAAGCTCATTCATCACTACGTGGAAAATGGTAACAGTCAACTATGAACATGAAGCACAGATCTGCACTTTCTAGTATTACATTGATTCTCCGTGCGGAAGACGGTTCAGTATATATATAAAAGGAGTAAAATAAACTATTTAAAAAAACATCTCGTTTTAATTTGTTTCGCATTTTCATATAGTAACTACTTACAATTTGAAGGTTATCAAACGTAAACATAACGTAGATAACGTTAAACGTAATTAGGCAGAAAAAATAAACAATAGTCTAGCGGTTCACCACAGCTCTATACTGCCGAGGGTCTTGGGTTCGATTTCTCGCACAGTGCATATAATTGTATTCAGGAATATGATTGTTTGTATTTGTCTGGATGTTTTTTAATTGTATTTTAATAATATTTAAGTATTTACATTGACTTGAATTGACCAAGGTTATTATAATATTGCAATTATTATAATAAAAAGTATATAAAAGTAAGAACAAACCTCATGTCCAGCATTCAATAAATTTCTGACCACCCCATCGCCAAGTATTTTATGACTCTGACTAGGTACAGGAAATGATACTAATATTTTGTAGCTCTCCGAAAAACCTCCGTTCATGATCGTCAGTAGTAACAAACATAGTAACTTGTCCATTCTGTAAAAATATATAAGTAATACTGGTAATTTATATATGACTTAGATCTTTTATAACACAAGCATCCGGAACGTTTATATATTTCTTTCTAATATGAACTAAATATTTATAGATATATACTTCCTCGTCAAACTCGGTGCTCTAATGGTTTAACACACTGCTTTTTCTTCTGATGGTCGCGGATGGTCGTTTCACACATACATAGAATTAACACATATAGAATTGTTTGTACCAAGTATTTGTATTAATAAATAAGATCTTAATATAAGCAATTTTGAATTGTTATATTTTTTGATTCAGTCACTCATTCCGCACTCAGACTGTTTACAAGAAGCTTGCGACTGCGAGAATGACAAAGAAACTTGCGAGTTACTCTTTTTAATAAATGTTGTTCAAATTACATTTTTAAGAATTTTGTTCATCAACTTCTTCAACATTTCATTAACATTAAAGAAGCGTCTTCGCGTTTGAAGGGACGACAGTGAAATTTCAGAGTATGAACGTATATCATCCTACTCCTTAGGAATTTTAGCACAGAGGTAAATGTAAGGTGATGTTATGACGTTCATTCAATTCATCAACATAAATGATGAAGTGGATAATGATAAAAATATGACGTGCACTAACGGCCGAAACCTACATTAATTAATGATTTTGAATTTCGAATTTGATGGTAACATCAACCATATAATAAATCGTCAGCTTGTTATTCCAATTACACAAAAAATAATTAGTAATAAAAAAATACTTTGGGAGGGAACTCTTTTGGTAGTAATGAGGACTACGGGCGTATTATGAACTCTTATTCCCATTCAGTTTAAGGCCGTAAACTAAACTGCCTGGAAACTGACTGGATTTTAAAGAGTTCATAATACGCCCCCTGGTGGCATTATTGCTAAATATGTCTATTTAAGGGCAACCTCCACGTCGTCTACAATTGAAACCTTCATGGTTGTTTTATGGTGAATTCGCCATGAGCTAATTCTGACTTCATGCTCATCATCCTACACCGGTGCCGTGCTAACGATAGAGAATGCGAAACCAATTAAAAAAATATAAACCAACCTTTATTCTTTCCGATTGTATATTTTTGATATTACTCTAATTAAGTCTTTTCACATACAGAAATTGTTCATAATTCTGTTTTAACACGGGCACGATGTTATTACGCTTATAATACTTATTTCATTATTATTTAATAACACAACATGGTATCGTAACGAAAACAACACTGTATCATTAAGAGGAACCTAGCTAATCGTCACAACACGAGTTACAATGTTATAATTATAGTAGAGTACCTTAGCCAGCAATTTATATAACTACAATCAAAGTTTATCATAGATTTATATATACAACTACCGGTCCACTTCGGCTTTACCCGAGTTCAATATATTAAAAGTTATATTAAAATGTGTAAACGGAAATAGTACTCAATCTTTTTAGACGTCAAATTGTCTAAGATAATGATCTGTTACTTTAGTAATGTGAAAAGTAAAGTGTGAGTTTTATTCTGAACAAATAATGTAAACAAAAATTTAGTTTTTACTATATATATATATAATATTACGCAGACGAAAGTTGTACAAGTCAGTTAGGTATACGATGGGATAACTAATGGTCACAGATTTAACAAATTTTTAACCAACGTGGAAAAAAAGGAAGTTCTCAATTCGGCTTTATTTTTTTAAATATTTGTAACATAACTCTGTCATTTTGTAATTTTCCTCCAATATTAAGTTATATGTGTGACAATTATATACTACATAATAATAAAATTTATTTAGTATATACTCTTTTCTTAAATATAAAAACTGACCGCTCAAATGAGTTTCCATATAGAGAGTTTTTGTCAAAAACTTTGGAAATAAGAAAACCTTATCTTTTTACATAGGTATACATTATGTAAGATAAATTGTGTAAAAATTATGATATCTAATTTACTGTATAGAAACTCGTAGAGAAATCCGTGTGTTTCAAGACAAATGGACAGACGGATGGTACGACTTTGTGTATAGAGATATACATTTGAATAGTCATAATGAGTCGACTACCAATTTTTATCAGTACGACCTCGAGATTTAACAAATACTTCTGTCTATTGACCATGTCATTTAATTACTTATAAATTTGTGTACCAATATGCAAATCTAATTAATTATATACTAACTTTATAATAATTCCAATTATTTGGTCGACAGAGTATTTGTTTGTTTGTTGCTTTTAACTGCTAAACGGCTGAACGGATCATTAGTATCGGATGAAATGATATGAAGTTATATTGTATCAATGAACATAGGTTTTTTTTTTTATTACGAGTTTTTGGCCATTATTCGGTTACGGTTACTTACAGCTGTAAAACTGCAACGCACAGGTCTTTTATGCTCGCCCTTTTTTTAGGATTCGCTTCCTTGCCCAGATAACACAATATTACACACCCATAGGGAAAGCGAGGGAAAGCAAGAATTGAAGATCCTTCAATGGATGGCGATGATTTTATGTCCTGTGTACTTTCCAAAAGATCAAATATCAATATAATGATATAAATCAATATATGAATATAAACACGGTACACACGCCAAAATAACATTTTTTCAATTTTTGTCTGTCTGTCTGCCTGCCTGTCTGTCTGTTTGTTCCGGCTAATCTCTGAAATTGTTGAACCGATTTTGACGGGACTTTTTTTGACAGGTAGCTGCGCGTGCTAGTATAGTATATTAACATGATATTCGTAGTGCTGCTGAGTTACATAGGTAACGTTTACCTAACATCAGGCGGGCCGTCAGCTTGTTTGCCGTGTGCTTGTCTTTCTAATTACATAAAAAATAAAATTGCCTGCTGTACCCAAAAAATTACGTATGCCTTGCTCAATAGATATTTATCTACAGACATAGATAACTATATCAAAGATTACACGCCATGCATGCGTAATGTCTAACTGGCTGATCAATGCATAGCGGAAAATACTTACGAAAAATAAATCTTTGCACAGAGATATATATAGATAAAGATTGTAATATATCTATACATACAATAAAAATTAAAGTAACTAAGACTGACAAAGTACCCACTATGTGAATCCACTTAGTTATATTATATTAGTGACGGCCTCGGTGGGGTAGCGGTTTACCACTTTATTTTACTTCCGATGATCACGAGTTCGATTCCTCGCACGGAACAAATATTTGTATTCATGAGTATGACTGTTTGTATAGGTCTTGGTGTTTTCTATGTATATTATGTATGTATTTTCAAATTTTTTTTTTTTTATATTTTATTTACCTATAATTTAATACGAAAACATTAGTATATAATAGTATTATCAAGCCGCAAAACTGCTTAGTAGTTCGCCTGCAGCATAAGTCTTTTTTGGCAAAAAAATATTTATATCAGTTGTTCAGTAGGTACCTGTATGTGGGTAGCTCTGACTCTGCTTAGCTTGCTACCTACATGACGTTACGTGAAATGTCCTGAGAGATAATATTACATTGTCATCTGTACAATTTATTCTAGTTACATTATCTTCATATTAACACAATCGACAATCGACATGGCTTTACAGATAGAAAAACCTTCCTGATCATAAAATCTAATATTATGTTGATCACCATAGTCCCTTTTCTTTATAACGGTTACGGCTTTAGAAAGGAGAGAATTTCATACAGTTGAAGGTATTGCAAATGTCTTTATTTACCACTGAAATACATATACACTGAATATTTATATAATTGTAATAGTTTTAATGTATTAAATTATTGAAATTGTATTGAAATTATGTCAAAATTTTCTCTTGTACCTTTTACTACCCACTACCAATTGCATAATTTAATATTGCCCATATTGCGGCTAATTTAAAAACAGGCGTTGGTTTTTTCATTTCTACCGTACCGTACCGTATTCTACCGTAATTAATTGGAACCATTAAACGCCTAGAATACGAAACATATCGGCTTCTTACAACATATAATTTATTTGCGATCATCGTAGGTAACGTTGGTCGCAAATAAATTTAATTTAATTGGATTCTGTAGATGTAACTGAATTAGAGGAGTCTAATTAGTACTGAATCACAAAGCTCATATGAGAGACTAAATACAGAAAACAAGATTAAACTTTCCAATACAACAGCACTAAATCTTAAGGTATTATTAGGTATTTCTGTATGTAGAATATTTGGATAAAGAACTTGAAACGTGATAATGTAAATAAAAAAACTATAATACTTCTTGTACAATTTTATTCATTGATATTTACAGTGATGTAAATGGTAAATATAGGAGCGTGTTGTATCCAAATTAATAATACACACTCCACAGATGTACTTGCGTTATTATTTCATTCAGTTGTAAGTCATATAAAGAAACATAAAAAAATTACAAAGGAAAATTATCTTTTTTTATTTTCTAATAATACACACTCCACAGATGTACTAGCGTTATTATTTCATTCAGTTGTAAATAATACAAAGAAACTTAAAAAAATTGTAAAGGAAAATTACCTTTTTTTTATTTTCTAATAATAATACGCACTTCACAGGTGTACTAACGTCATTATTTCATTTAGTTATAAGTAATAAAAAGCAACAGAAAATAAATGAACTTGCAATGGAAAATGTTTTATTGTCAGTGCTTTTAATGTTTCCTCGCATGTGCTCTTTGTATTTTTGCCAAAATCTCTTCCAGTGATCTCTTACCGGGGTTGAATCCGCCATTCAAATAAGAATCATCGCCACCTGTGATATAAACAGATATTATGTATATGTATTATTGATTATTATAATCAATAATTTAATGATATGTAGGAAATTAATTAGTTTAATCACTAAAAAAATTAATCAGTTTGGTCACTATTAGTTAATGATAAAACTGGTGAATTTTATAGCATAACCAATAACTTAAACACATATATGTAATATAGTTGGACTAAGTAATTAATTTTACGAATTTCTAATTAAATCAGTTATTCAATTTATTGCCACTTTTTCAATGGAATTAAATAATAATTGTAAATCTGTCAATTAGTTTAAAAAATTGTGTTTTTTACATACGCCCGTAGCCTACGTAATTCGAAACACAAAATAATATAAACACACACAAAAGAATAAAGTATTATTTTACCTGCGCCAGGCAATTGGTTGTTTATACATCCGTCATCCCACATGTTAGCGCAACGTTTGCCTGGATTGAAGCCGCCGTTAAGGTAATCATCATCGCCACCTATGAAGAAAGACATTTTCTTCAGTTGATTCGAGTTTCTTATGTTACTCATATTAGTACAATAATTACAATTGCATACAAATGTCTGAATAATACGGATGTTTATTATTATATGTTTGATTTAAAAATATCTGTCATACTCAAATTTTTAAAGATCTTCCCCGATGACTATTAGCTTGTTATAATAAAGGAAAACGGATTAAATTTTAATTAGATATACATATAATCAAACCTTTGAATTAAGCTACAAAAGCTGCACAGTTTTTAGAAATGGCAATAATATTTAATCAAGTCATCCTAAATATTTTTTAATTGGGGGATTTGGGGTATTGTCAAGTGCTTAGACCCATAGCATTGCGACCTTCCTACATGTATTGTGCGCGCCCTTTTTCAGAGTTCGCTACCTAGACACTTCATGGTCAAGAACTGAAGGATATTCTTAGGAACGATGGGTTTTATCTCCTCAAGATAAGAGTGTAAACTTTCCAAAGGTTATATTTCATTTATGCATGATAGAGCTACAATCACATATTATGTTTAGTGGCATTTCCTCTTCACCTATCAACCTTAGTATTTTTGTAAACATATAGTATTTTTTTATTCTACTGCTACATTTGCTGCAATACAAATATCACCAAAAAACTTATTTAAGAAATGTGGCTGGTATTCTTTCTAACAAAAAATAGTTATATTTTAAACTGTTTTTTTTTCATGTGTGCAATAACCTGCGTGATATATCATAATAGTAAAAAATAATATTATTATTATTAATATTTTAAAAATAAATAGAAATAATCAGAAATAAGTTTCAATAACAATACTTTGTATAAAGTATAAGTTTACCTGCACCAGGCAACTGGGTATTTATACATCCGTCATCCCACATGTTAACGCAACGTTTGCCAGGATTGAAGCCGCCGTTAAGGTAGTCGTCATCGCCGCCTATGAAGAAATAAATTTTCTTCAATTGATTTGAGTTTGTCATGTGTGTATGATAGTCATTACAATTATAAACAATTGTCTACATTAATACAATAAAATAGAAATTTCGATTGTAGCAACAAACAAAGACGTGTGTGGTAAACGCACGTGTCTGCCCATAAAAATGATTTTATTTACCATCTACCCGCTGCTCTTCAGTTTACCCATATTATTTAATAATAATAACCCTGGATAATTTCCTTAGCGCAATAGTCACAAGCTAATCAAAGCTTGTGTTATGATAGAATTTAATATATGCTTAAATACATTTTTTGTAAATACACACATAATATACATAGAAAATATCCAGACATATAGAAACAATCATACTCATGAATACAAATGTTTGTATAGTGCGAGTAATCGAACCTATAATAATTCAATTATGAATACATTAAATAGAAATAAGTAACAATAACAATACTTTGTATATATATATATATATATATAAAAAAAATATATATTATTAAATTATTATTATTATTTATTATTTGTATAAAGTATAAATTTACCTGCACCAGGCAGCTGGTTGTTTATACATCCATCATCCCACATGTTAGCGCAACGTTTACCAGGGTTGTATGAGCCATCTGCAATATTGTATATAATAAATAACATAATAATAGTACAGATAAGATAATATAATAATATGATGAGTGGAGAAAGGGGATTGAAAGTAATGTGGACTGATGATCTTATTGCTAGCAATATTCCATGTCATGTTGACCTCCACGCGGTTTCCCCTGGAAACCATCATGATTAATTCTTGATGAATTTGTCACGATGGGCTAACTGACCTGACCTCATGTCGACTGATGCCCCGCCAACGTAAAACCGTTAGTGTAGGCAGTACACCATTCCATTATCATCTTTAAAAAATATGATAATGAATATCATCGAGGCCAAAAGCCTTCACAACTTACTTACTTACTTATTTATTTTCGCCTCTGAACCAGGCATCATTAGGCATTGAATAGTCGGATACAGCTTTGACGTCTAGTGTTAACTGATCGCAACCAATCTGCGATACACCTCCGGTCAACATTATCGTTTTAAGCTAAATCCGGACTCTATTCAATACCTTATGATTCCTCAGAAAACACAAGTCCAAAACACGTGCTGCAATATGGGATGAAGAAGAAGATCACAACGTGGAAGCGGTTGTAGCGGTGGTCAGGTTTCCGTACTGAATATTTGTAGTCTCACGTATGCTAATGGTGCCCAAATTTAACAAGATAACATAAATCAAACTAATGAAATAAACTTCCGCAAAATAAGCCCTAATTCGATAAAATAGAAACTGTACTTAAAACCATTCTCCTTTATATTTACAAGATGCCATAAAAATATTAACTATATATTAGCTATCAGTATTATAATTAATGATTATTCAATCAGTTCGAGAAAGCAATAAAAGTGTAGAATACATACGGTAAGGCTTCGAATAAGTCATGGAAATCGCTAAAGTTACTAAGCAACATAATAGGCCGACACACTTCATCTTAATTAAGTAATTATAAATAATTATTAATTAATAATTCACTAAGTTCAGGTGGTAACTTAGATCCGACTGTACCAATATTCAGCATTCTTCTTTTTTATAGCCTAAATATTTAATTAATAAAGTCTAATCTGAGCACTCCAGATAGTTGGAGTGTTCACTTCATTATTTTTTCTATTATCATACATCAATGGAACCGTGTGAAGATCCAATAAAATTATTTACCTAATCCATGGTATATGGATTGTTGGACATATTATTATACGTAGGCCGATACCGTTTAATTCACCGAAAGATTAAATTATCTCAAACGTGGGCATCACTAGAATTCATTGATAAAAAATAATTCATTATTGGATATCATATTTATTCAATATTTTTTTCCTACACTCCAGTTTGGAACACCGTGGGTAAGAGTGCCAAGCACAGTAATAATAATAATCTTTATTCATAAATTAAAAAAGTACAATTGAATACAGTTAGACCTGGCTTTCGATATAGGTGAACCGGTGCTATGAAAGCTAGTTCCCTCCTTACTGTAAACATTTTAGATACAGTAGACTACTATTTTTATAAATGTAATATTCATTAACATATAAAAAGATACTAAACAAACCTACAAAACACATGATAACAATATTTTATTGTAAATACTAAGTATATTTGTGGAAAACACCTAAATTATATTTTTTTTTTGTATGCGCAGCATATCCTCCCCCGATCACCGGAAATAATAAAAGAGAAGACTACTAACTAAATCAAGACCTATCAAACAGTAACAAACGAGTCACTTTTAAGTTTGTACTATTGGAAAAGACTCCAAAGAATATACCTAATATAAAATTTTATTTCTCAAATATATTTTCATATTCTCCGATTCTATTAAAACTCAATTATTGCGTAGGTATCACGTCATAAACGCATAATAATTTCCTATTTTAACTTCTTTTATTTTAAGTCTATAGAAAATATATAGTACATAACCTATGTTATAACTGTATGAGATTTTATTTTATTTCTTAAATACTAATAATATATGAATCTATGTAATACTCTCATAATGTCATGGGTGTGCCTAATACGTTATGACGTCTAATTATATATCAATTAAACCTCCCATATCGAAATAATAACCTATAATAATTTGAATTATTAAATAACGAGAGTTTTTATCACGTGAAATTCTAATTAAATCTAGCACTACAATATATGCTATACGAATTAGTCTGTTGTTTTCCTTTTATTTTATTCGTCACATAATTTTACTACTTCACCTTCTGTGATCTTATTTTTAGTGTTTTACAAAAAATAAACCAACTTTAACAACCTTATTACAAATATTAAAACGTGAAATATGACTTTCATCAGTATGTTGTTGATATTTAATTTAACATTAGTAACAGCAACAAATGAGACACTAATAGATACGGCTGTTGATATTGCACATTCAATATTCTATAACAATTCCGTAACAGCCGTGATATGGTGTCAAGTAAACTGTGATGACGTTACAATATTTTTATCAAAATATCAAGGAGTTACTTATCGTGCACCATTAGATATAAATAACAAAATACGAGAAATAAAGATCTCACTTGACTACAAACAGGTCGTACTTTTTATATCAGAATCCAATGAATTTGAAATCTACTTGAAATTAATTTATGAAATAATGGTTGTTTCTATTCAAGTCATTTTAGTGTTGACTAGTGAAGATGTAAATATAAGAGAAATCACGAATATCGCCTGGAAATATGATGTCACTGATGTTTTTATATTGACCAATAAACAAAAGAAAGGGAAAATATTTACATATTTTCCATATACGAATGGAATTTGTGGCAATACCGCACCTGTATCATTAAATAATGTAACAGATATAAAAAGTGCCTTAGCAAATAAGTTTGAAAACTTCCAAGGCTGTCCTATTAGAATTACTTTAGTCTATATTAATCCATATTTAACATATGATATAATAAATGGATCAGTCACGTCAATCAGTGGAACAGAAGCTGATTTACCTTATATCTTGAGTGACATTTTAAATGCTAGTTTGGAGTTCTTTCCTACATCCCTAAGTATAAATACAGTATATTCAATCGACACCGAATACTTCCTGAGGCTGCGGCATCGTACGAGTGATATGATAATTCCTAATACAGTATTGGACATAAAAAGATTTCAATTAGCACAAATATCCTATGTATATAACTTTAAAACGTATTATTGGATAGGACCGCCTCGAAGGAAAATTGAAACGTGGACTAAAATCTTAAACGCCTTCTTTATTAATTCCGTTAGTCTATTTTTCTGGGCAGCTTTCCTAATATTTGTAGCACTTATAAAATTCATAAGTAATGTTCATTCACTTGGATACCAGAATGAGAGCAATGTTTTTATTAAATCTTATTCGATGTTTCTTGGACAAGAAACTAAATTTAAAAATACATCCGCTTTAATTACTAGTCTATTTATAATGTGGGTCTGGTTTTGCGTCGTAATGCGTCTTGTATTTCAAGCAGATTTAACAAGCGGCTTGCAAAAAGTATTACTGGAACCACCATTGACATCAATGGAGACTGCAGTGGATGTAGTAGACGGTTACGGCGGAGGTCTTCTATATAAAAGAATGTTGGCGGGCACAAAACTAGAAAAGAATTATCAAGCCATAGACATGACAGGTAATTATTCATGTCTGCAAAATATTGCCAAAGGAAAGAGATTTATTGCATTCGCTGATAAACTAGTGGTAGATCTTATGAACTTACGTACAGATATACAATATGTTGGGCGACCAATGTATGCTACACCTGCATGTGTATATATGAGACCTGGTTGGCCTGCAGCGAAAAAAATTGATGAAGTTATTCAAAGAGCAATAGAAGTAGGATTTGTTGTAAAAGCCACAAAAGATAAACAACGTATGAATATGATACAATTATATTTCAGAGAAGACGATATAAATAAAGCGACAGGACAACAGCCACTAAGCCTGAACGATTTTAAAGGATTTATGTTCATATTATTAACTTTAATGTGTTTGTGTATTGTAGTTTTTATTATTGAATTAACTTATCATATAATACAAACAAAATATATGATGTAAATTGATGAATAGTGGATAAATAGAAATCTGTTTTCAAAAGGTTATTAATTATACAGATCCTTGAATTAGAAACTGTTTCAAAAGTGTGAAAGTAAAAATAAGCTAATAAATCCTTAAGTATTCGTCTAGCTGCTACTAGTGTTGTTTCATAAAGGTAGTGTTTTTGTTTAAACGCTTCTAAAAAATCAGCTGTAATATTGCTTTACGGTCATGTTGTAAAATGAAAATAAATGTTCTTAGGTTTAAATCTAATTGTTTCTATACATACAATATTTATCATTCTATTTTCCTTTTTATATTTAAATGTTTCATTACTAAAACGAATAAATGACGTAGAAGTTTCATTGAGGCTAACATAACTATGCTCGTTACTACTATAAGGTCTAAATGCAACTTCTGGTAGAAAGGCACGTGTTGAACTGTCGAGCGTAGATGAGGAGCTCCCTGCGTATACACTACGTGCTCCACCCAGTACACCAACTCTTGACTTGGAGACACCAGCCGGTGATGGTATATCATCGAGTACTCCTTCACTTTTTCCTTATATCTGAAAGTTTTGTATTTCAGTTTAAAAATTGAGAAGTATAGATATGATTTTATCAATTGTAATATATTTTTTAGAATGGTTGGTAATAGTATTGGACATTTAACTCCATCACTTGCACTGTACCCTGTGTCTCGTCCTATTATGAGATGTCAAACTTTCACAGGAAACTATGGTGGTTAATTAGTGGTGAATTTGCTACTATATATTATCGCCTGATTTCGTCGTCCATTGATAATTCACTAGCATAATCCATTAACTCTGCTAGGGTTACCATGATCGGTAATATTTCGTTTATATCAAAATTTTTTAAAGAGTTTATATGCCGTGCATTTCATATTTTAGAAGTTTGACATTTCATTATGAAATACCTCACCTTGATCTTACCTTGAGTTTTCTAACACATCTTCGATAGATTGTTTCAGGTTCTTAGGCATTTCGCTGTCCAAGTCCACTCTCTTCCCAAATCCCTTTTTCACAGCCCGGTTAATATTCATAAACTGGTCAATGTATGCTGGTAAACCAATAATGGGAACAGCGTAATGTATAGCTTCAATGACGGAACACACCCCTCCATGTGTAATGAAAAGCATGCAATTCTGATGAGCTGTAGTAGTAATAAGAAAATATATTATATTTTGTGGTATATATAATAGAAGTGTATCTTCTACATGTACAAGTACTTTAACCGAGGTAGATTTTTACTGTACTTAGTTTTGTTCTCGTATATACTACGACTATTTGCCATCAAGCGAGCCGTCAGCTACTTTGTTATTCCAATTATATAAAAAAATTAACATAATTTCAAAGACATCACAAAAACCATTATAATGTTCCTTTTATGCATTGCATTTTCTCGAAATTAAAATCTTATATAGGTACTGCAATTGTTAATCTTGACAGAGATGTATCTTGCAAATCGGCATGTCTCAGGACTTCGTAGTTTATGTTATGGACGGCGGCTGAAACCTATTCATTGTATCAATTCGTCAAAATCAACAGCATAATGAGACATAAGTCTAAAAATTCTTAAAAACAAATAAAAATACAATCGTAAAGGAAAACTAACCCAGGATACTCTTCTGTGGAGCCCAATCCATAACATGAACGTTCTTTGGCAAATTGGGTAAAGGCTCTTCAAATTTCCAAATAACCGTCTGCTTTAGACTAGCGAAGACTTTTAGCAGTTCTCTCTTCATATTATTCGGTAAATCTTTGCTCCTGAATATAGATCCCATGCTAAAATATATGACACCATCTTGCGCACTATCCATTATTTCTTGTAGATTCTAAAAATATTAAGAAAATAACTTATTTATATACATCGCTGTATATTTATATAATAAAACTAAATAAATATTTACGAACTAATAAACGAATTAACTAAAAATTACTTTATGGTTAATTTATATGCGGTCGAATTGGAAGCGAGAGATTGACCAGCCAAATCTCTCTACAATCTTCTAAATGCTCTTGGCTGTGTAGAACTACTGTAAGATCTATACTAGGGAGTGTATCTATAGCTGCACCATTAATGTGTGTGCAAAGTAGAACAGACATTCTTGAGCACATTTACGTTCTCATACCAAGATCCTTACTAGATCCAGAACCGTCATTGCTCTTACTTTATTTACTTTGACAACTCATCTCATGTCTCACGGCTGGATTTTCTCTATCCGTACCTCAATCCATATTCATAATGTATTGATTTTTAATATCTACATTACTTACTTCAGAAAGTGGTGGAATATCAATAATATGATACCCAGCTATATGTTTGTAGGCTGCTGGTAACCGCATAGCATGCCCAGATGGTACATCAGAGTTACCTAATACAAGTGAAGCATTATATTTCACTTCATTGTAAGGCGGTAAAACATTTCCTCTCTTCATCGCAGCCGAAGCAAAGGCTTTAATAAATGATTCATTTTCTATTCCAGAAAAATACCTGCCAACAAATGCAATGTCACAATAAAAAAATTGGTTTACGTATTACCGGTTACCAGTTATTTCCAATTATATTATAAAGTCTTAATTTAACACCTACTTCAAGAATATCAACCATACGAACGACATCGTAATTGTATAGTTATCTCAATCCGTAAATTCTACTTGCCGAGCAGAAAGAACAGGCAACAATACTGTTTGACATATACAAAACTAGTTACCCGCCCCGGCTTCGCACGGCTGTACATATATTATACATAAACTTTCCCCTTTAATCACTCTATTTATTGCTAAAAACTGCATTGAAACCCGATGCGTTGTTTAAAAACGGAACAGAGAGAAAGATAAAAATATACAAAAATTGTTCCTTTTTTTTTAAAAGAATAGAAAGTCCTTTAATCAAATAAATTTAATTTAAGCACATTTGAACAGTCAATTATTCTTCTTTTAATCTACCGCTCATACTGAAAGCTGTCTCATCATAGGAATAATGAGCAAGAAACTTGCGTCTTGCTCTTTTAAATAATCGTTGTAACTTTATATTTTTAAGTCGAAACGTGTGAATACAAACTACAAATTAGCACTATTATGGTCAAATATTAAATATACAATAAGATTAAGAATAATAGAAAACGTACCATATGTAATAAGAGTTTAACATAGTTCTATACAATTCAGTCACTCGTTCTTTAAAAGAAAATGGGGGATCCACGTGTGACCAATAATTGTAGGTATATGCAGGATTCTGCATTGCATCTATGAGAGCAATATATGTATTATGTGGTTGCATTGGAACCGACCATATTAATGGACAATTGAACACTGATGAAAACCTGAAAATATTTAAACATCGTTTATGTGAATAAGTTTAAACCTTTTCAACTAGTTGCAGCCGTAGTATAGAAGATGGTCTTAAACACACAAGTTAAGTGAGGTTAAAGAATGAATGAGACAACATAAGTTTTATAAAAAAATTGTCTTGATCAATGGCATAACATAGAGTGATAGAGTGGACATAATGCGCCCAGCCCTATAGGGTTCTTATTAGAAAATAAAAAAAAAATTGGTAATGGAAATGATAAAGGCACCTTTCGAATAATTTTATCAGTGACTCTGATGGTGTAGCTACACCATTAGTCTTGACTTACTTGACTACAAATATCAATGCTAAAAGCTATACATACCATACAAAAATGAATATTTTCAAATTACGTTATTTTATTATGTAAATAAAATAACGTACAACAGAGATATTCAGCATATATTTTAAAGTAGGTACCTCATATAGACCTCTACCCATATTTCAGGCCACGCGATACTGTAGCTCAGTATTTCTAATATTGATGTCAATAAAAACTATTTTAGCTTTTAAAGTAGACTATTACGAGCAGGGTATCGAAATTCATAAAAATCAGTTACCTAAGTATTGTTGGAGTTTATCTCGGCCGATAACAATGATTTTATACTGACTACCACTAGGCAGATATTGAACGCAATAGAAAATAGACGAGGAAAAATGTTAGGACACTTGATACGGCACGATGATTTCATGAAAATTATTATTGAGGGGAAAATAGAAGGAAAGAGAGGGAGGGGAAGACCAAGGAATAGCTACATCAAACAAATTGAGGGTAAAATGGGAGTCGTGTCTTATCAAGAATTAAAGAGCATGATGGAAGATCGCGGAAAGCGGCAAGAGCTCCACCGACAAGAGCGTAGCTCTTAAATTATGAATGAATGAAAACCACTAGTCAATATAAAATCATGATGATCAGCCGGGTCGTCCAGTGGTCAAAATACGACTATAATTAATTTAACATTCAGTAAGATTACAGACAAATAATATAACAATACTGATCTATTCTAAATTTTACCACAATCTTTAAGAATAAACAAAAGAGTATAATATATATGTGTATGTCAAATACATGGTAGTGGCTTCACATGTTTTATTTAATCTACTTTTTAAACATAATTAAAAAAAATATTAGCATTCTGAACTCTATATAAATTAAAAGTGTGCGTTGTTTCACACTCCTCTGTCCGCGCAATTTTTATTAAAATGGGAAGGGCAAAGTTTTTTTTTTTCGGACTACTCTAATGCTGTTGGCCACAGCTGGCCTTTACAGCTTCACCGGACGTTAGGGGGCGAGTGCAGATGGCACTCCAAACCCGCGGAAGGACTTATGGAGCGGCTGAAGGCCAACTCCTGCCTGACGGATATGACTTTAGTCTGAGGGCACCACTAGGGGAACCTCGGCTCAGGCCGTCGTAATTTCGATCCTCGTTTGAATTGGACGGGGGATCGATCGGAGGGGTACAAAGTTTTTGCTTCAGGTATTAATATATACATAAGAATGTCGTTGTTAGCATCTGTTTGTCACAAATTGCGTGCTCAGTGTTGCTCACCCCGAATAAAGTCCACTGAACATGTACTCTGCAATGACAGCATCGAACCGCTCCATCGGATCTTGCAGTAGACTTTGTACATTTTTATGAAACACAGTTGTATTTGCATAATGAAACATCAATTTCTGGACGAAACCGAAATCTTTTGAAAATGTGTTTTCTATGATATCCTTCAGGTTTAATATTTTTTCTGAAAAATAGAAGGTTTTCAATCCTGTTTATTATAAAGTAGTTAGTCCATTTTTAGGAACTTTTTTATTGTAATTTAAAAGCAAAAAAAATAGAATATTGATAAACAAATTCTCACTTTTTGCATGAAAAATACAAAATTTTCTAATGCGAATGTACGTGTTATTTTTCTTTATTATTAACTAACTCGTCTGCGTCACACTAACTTGACATTTATATTTCTATTTGTTTTTCTGATGTATAAGCAATATTACAGTAAAGTAAAATTTTATCAAAATCCGTTTACTATTAGTAGTATAAACATCCATCCATCCATACTCAGAAATTTTCGCGTTTATAATAATAGTATAATGTTCTCTACTTATCTCGAAAGTTACTTCGACTCGATTGTAACTTAAGTTCAATAAATATATTGATTTACGGCATATTTTGATATTTATTGTTCTATATAGGTATAAGTTTTGTAAGATATCTATAAACATAGCACGCTAAACTTAATTTAGTGTAGTCTGCACCTGAAATCCAGTCGGTCAGGCGGAGATTTGCCTGAAGGATGAATGAAGTGTCTCAGACCAAATAATGTTATATTTAATTATTAATATGTTAGTTTTTTATTTCGCTCAATTTGGAACTTGACATTTTGGGTGTATAATAAGGACACAACACTATTTATGGGAAACATACCTGCTGGAAAATCGTCATAGTGTGAAGCAACACTAATAAGACGAAGCTTGGTAGACGACTCGTTGAATTGACCAGGTGTGATGTACGTTACCTAGAGATAAAGTAGTGTATATTTTTTACCTACACCAAAGCAGGAGGACGAGGTTCTCAATTCATCTGTATTTTTTAAAATATACATTACTTCATAACTCCGTCATTAATAAACCAATTTGAAAAAAACTTTATTGCAAAGAGTGTATAGTACTTTCAGATTGGTCTTATTTTTTAATTAGTTTGGAATCAGTTTTTAAGAAATTTTCATAGAACAAAAGAAATGCTTACTAGCTATTTGTGGCGTAGGTCAAAATGACAATAGATCCCCTGAATTCCTTTATCTACTCCCGTTATGCAGGTAGTTCAAGTGGTCTACCTATTCAGTACAGTGCTTTTATTACTTTTAGTCCTTAATATATCATTTCTTTCATTTACTCTTATTCTGTACCTATTTATTTTTACTCATTGTTATTTGTAGCAATGACAAACGTAACATCCTGTATCATATTGAGATTTGCTACCGAATTCTAAACAGTAGCATGTCAGTTCTTGTAAATATTTAACGGAAATAAGTTTAACAAAATATTTCAAGTTAGAATAGAATAGAAAATTCCTTATTCAAATAAACTTAAATTGAAGCACTTTTGTATAGTCATACTTAATCTCTTAACTTCTCTAAGTCTCGTCACTAGAAGAACGAGAAAGAATCTTGCGTGTTGCTCTTTTAAATAATTGTTGTAACTTTATAAGTTAAAAAACTTGGAATAAGAACTACTAACTGACACCAATTCATTAGAGTCTATTTATTGAATACACAAACAACTGGTTGAGTAACCAAATAAAAGTAAATCAGTCCCAGTATCTAATTAGAACAGAACGGCACTCATTTTTCTTTTTTTCAATGGAATAAAAAAACAAGTATGTACAAGCAGTACCTCATGACCAGCTGACAGCAAATGTCTGACGTAACCATGACCCAGTATTAAATGACTTGGTCATGGAAAAATCACTAGGAACTTATAAGCGTAACACTGTCCTAATATCACGAATAGCAATAAAATAGATTTTAACATATTTAATTTTTATCATCAATATATTTTTTAGTAAACGTTATAGTATGTAATAAAACTACGATACTGTAACTTCATATGCATAAATACATGGTTTTGTATAGTTCGTTTTAACATCAATGTCGTCAGTAAAAGATAATTATGTAAAACACTTGCTGCAAACAGCTGTACAAATCTTTCTTCTCTCAGACATACTTCCTCTAACATTTTCCTAGAACGAACACTATTATTTCTATTAGTTCTATGTATATATATACTATATATTTGACACGGGATGTTCCATAATTTCGAACAGCATTTTTTACATTATACTGATTATTTTCTTTTTTTCTTATATGATATCTTCGCCAAAAACTTTTTGCAATAATAATTTTTTTAGCATATCGTATAGAAATTTTAAAGGATAATAATAGAATGGTCCCGTCGCGTCGCCTCCCTAACGTCGTGGACAGAACTGGAGGATGACAAGATGGACATGAGGTCAGGTCAGTTAGCCTAACGTGACTTCGCCAGGAATTTATCATGATGGTTTCCAGCGTAGAGGCGTAGAGGTCAACATGATTTGTTTTATTGCTACATTGCAATTGGATCAGTCCATATTACTTATAATCCCCCTCCCCCAAGACTATAATCGCCTGCCTACTACTTAACAGTAGTTATACAGTAACGAGCCAGCGATTAAAGATAACAAAAAGAGAATTTATTCCAGAAGTAAACTGTAAAAAGTCTGTAGATTGCGAGGGTACCGCAGTCTCGCCTATTTCAGCCGCAAAGCACCCAATTCAAATGGCGATTTCGGTTGTAGGGTACGAATAAGGATTGAAATTACAGGATTAGGGGAATAACATCATATTTCTCTGTAATGGTAATGCATTAATAGTATTTTTTTATACTACGATGGTGGCAAACAAACATATCGTCAATTAAATAGAAAACTGACATTTTTCAAAATTAAAATCTAGAATTGCCTCCTTTTGTATAATTTATTATAAATTTCAATTAAACTAACCACGCCGTCTTCATCATCATCTAAATACTTTTAAAATGATTTGTAATACTTCTTACTACTTGATGTAAATATTTATTAAATCTTTAAAGGAAAAAATAAATTTAAAAAACTTTAAATGCTTGTCTTGTATAAAATGTAGGTACATTTTGAATGGTGCCATTTTTCGATTTAACCGACAATATGGCCTATCTGATTATAAACAGTTACCGTAGCCTTTGGACGCCTATATTACGGATGTCATATGATAACGTGATGTCAGTAGTGGTATTCATGTATGTATATAGGCAACGCTTACCGCATACCACGAGGTGACAAAAGACAAAGTTCACCCCTTATAGAGACCCAACAGGAAATAACCACTGCAATTTCCAATGGAAACCACATAGAGATATATAAATGATACATTTCCAGCAATAAATGCACTAATCCTCATTACTAATCATCAGCCCCAATTGATTTATTTTGATTTATTCTGTATCTTAAGCTCTATAATCTTTATTTGTACAGTAATTTGCACAGATTATACTAGCTTATATCCTAGTCCATCCCAAATACTGCATGCTAAATTTTATTAAATTGATTGATTGGTTTAGTCGTTTCAACTTGGAACGTACCTACACATATACTGAGGTTCATCGCAAATTGATAGTATGGTGCTATTATCTACTTTTTTTGTAAATTATGAAATTAATGTTAAATTCTTCCAATGCTCACAGCCTGCCGAACCTGAGGATTGCGTGGCTCGAAGATCGGGGATTTTTCCAGTTCCGCCACCATATTATTACGTCATTGATTCATACATATAAAAACATTCATAGTTATATATATATTACTGATTGGACGTTCATTATACTTATACTATTATTCTAAGTATATCTATATTAAAATTACAAAGAGGTATTCTTTTTGGGAATGGTAATGGAATGTTCCACCCATCTGCGCAAACGGTTTACACTGGCGGAGCACCAGTGGAGGATACTAAGATCAACGGTTAGGCCAGCTAAACCGTCGTAACAATTTCACCAGAATTTTGTTTCCACGTCAATTTGACATTGCTAACAATGGAATCAACTGTCCACAATATTAAAACAATTTTCCCCCAGACATAAAAGTTGTGAATTTAGAGGTTCAGGGGTACCATCCGGTACTATGGATCGGATTTTGATATTTATGTTTTTAATAATGGATAGCCCATGGGTATCATAGCATACTACTATATATAACATCAGGCTACGGCCAATAGATTCGGACCTGCATTGAATTTTTTTTCAAAAACTGGTAAAGTGCATGCAGGCGACTTTACGCGAGACAGTCTCTTTAATATTACATATAAGTAGATCATAGCTACGTAGAATATAAATATAGATATTCGGGAAAGTCACCACGATATCTAGTTATCTTCGACTATCCCAAGTATAGGTATTATTGTATTAGGATAACTTTCTTGTTTTTTTTTACATATCCATAACTATGTGAAATATTTTGTTAGGGTAACATTAAATAAAACAGGTTATGTATATAAAAAAAACTTTATTACATTTACATAAACGGTGCCCCATGCACTTCTCTATAACCTTATAAAAAGCATATAAAAATATTTATTTTTGTAATCAGCAACACACTTGCAATTTCATTGCTATAATTATGTATGATTTCATTCAGCGTAATACATTCTAACATTAACAATGTTATCATTATTCATTAAATTTAATGAATTTGTTAAAACATTTTTAAGGCTACAAATGCTTGGCAAGTTTTAAGTCTTTACTTAAACATTTACACAAAACAAATTTATATATTTGTGGACCACATCAATGCTAAATATAAAAAGGCATATCTAAAATACTTATTCTGTAAATAGGCACCTTATACAACAACACTATTAGGTCTATTATACAAATTTTACCTACACGATATGTTACATGATAAAGACAAAGGCAGTATACACCAATAACTGGCAGGATTAATGAACACAGAAAATCACATTACGATTTTTGTTTTTGACTTGCAGTCATAAAATGTTAGGAGCTATACGATATGGGCAATATAGAGAAATACTACATCAATTATCTAACAATAATAGCGTATATTTGGGTATATGTCCTCAATATACATGATGTACAACAGACACGAAACTATATAATTAAAGATATTAAATTACGAAACTAAATAATATCCGTGGTCAATTCACACAGCGACATCTTGTCCTAGCTAAGCAGAGCTTGGGTACGCATAAGTACTAGACAACTAATAGATATACTTAGATACGTTTTTTTTATAAATACATACATAATATAGATAGAGAACACCCAGACCAGTACAACCAGTCATACTCTTGAATACAAATGTTTGTACCGTGCAAGGAATCGAACCCGCAACCATCTGAAATAAAGCGGTATGTTAAACCTCTAGACCACCGTGGCACTCGGCGGTTTAATATGAAAACTATTTCATAAGCTCTATTCTATGGTTATGTTAGTATAGTTTGTGGTGATGTTCCTTGGAGTTTATAAAAAAAATCTGAAACACATCTGTATGAGCAGTAACAATTCTAAAATATCATTACATTAGAACTAAAAATTAAAAATATTAAGTCACAGATTATGAATAAAGGGTTGCTTAAATTATTGCATCAGTCTAGATAATTACAATGTTTCATATACACCTACAATGAAGCTATTCTTGGTGTATTATTGGTACCCCGCCGACGAGTAATACTATACTACTTAAGCATGACATTAAAACGGGGCAATGTCAAAACAGTAGTGGCAGCAACAGCAGTAGTGAAGAACACTAGCAGTGGTAGCGACACCCTGGTTCTCTCTTTTATCTTCTCTTCTCTTTTGTAGCAAAATCTAATCTTTTTTTCAGAATCATTTCTCACTTCTGCCCACTCTCATCCCACCCACTCAATCATTTCTCAATCTGCTCGATTACCTCGACCTCAAAATGTCCAACATTGCCCCAAATTTTGTGTCATGTAGGTCGCTCATGCAGATTATATTCCATCAAAATTCACATAAAACCCTTTTAAATAGGTATGATACACAATCTGCCATATACGGTCGATACAACAAGAACGCAATTCGCATTGCAACTCAATTTCATTTTTTTTATTGACACTGAAGAAACAGCTGTATTACATCTATAGACAATCACTAATTTTCTTTACAATTTGTTTTAATAACAAGCGGTGGGTAAAGCATTCCTAAATTAAGGTTGTGACAAACAAAAATACAATAAAATAAATTACTTATGGCTAATTATTCATTATTGTCATATAGTTTGAAAGGCATGTTGTTCTATCACAGGATGAAACCCTAGATAAATTAACCATAGGGATGTTGTCAAAAATTTGTAGGATTAGTAATACTTATCTAATAAAAATATGGACATTTACCATCTACCAATTCATTTTAGTGTTAATTTAATGGCTGCAGAAGTTAAGCAGAGAAATACACTAAATACTATATAATATAGAATACTAAGTTCAGATAAAATTTTTCAAAAATATATTGTATCATAATACATACAATTTCATTGTCGAAAGAGAATTAATGGTTACATTAATGTATATAATTCCTATGATACTATCACATTATTACAATAAACTGTGATATAAAGTACTACAAAAGGCAAGTTGGTAATCTGGAAACAATACTATTTAATTAAATACACCTTTCACTTGGTTCCTTTTCTAGAGCAATATAACATCATGCTATGACCAATAGGAGTAAAGCTGTATTGAAGTGTCGCAAAAATATTGCTAGAGTCAGCTATAAAGCAAAAACACCCATGAAGTTATAATAATAATGTGTCATGCGACACTATGCATTTTAGTATAAAAAAAATATTTGTATAACATTCCATTTTCAAAATTATGCTTTTATGATTATTGCTGATAAGGACATCCTTCAAGATATCTATTGTTCTTACATAAGTTATACAATAGCTCAGTTGACTATTGACTTACAATTTTATCAGGCAATATTTTACAATACAGATAAAGAATTACGTAAAAGTATTGTTTCAAAAGATTGATAGAGGAGATTGATTGACATATCCTACCTACTAAATATTATTCATATCAATACTTCTTGTACTATTATTACTAACAACATTATAGGGGAATTAATGTCATGTCGAAAAAGATGCATTCTAGCAAATTTATTGTCTAATGAGTTAATAAAAAAGGCATATAAAACTATGACTAATACTATTTACTAATAACTGTCAATTTGTTTCAGTATTTTTAGTGTATATTTGAAGAGATCAGTTTAAATTGAAGCAAGTTTGTAAGTACTATTAATAAAATAAAGTTAATGAATAAATTAAAATTAATGATACTTAATTATTCAATTCCATAATTAGTTAATTAAAATGGCGAATATAAACTATATAATTTAGTTACCCTGTCCATGCCAATGTTCTTGAGGATATTGTGGCAAGTCCATTGGCAGTTTATTGTACATATTATTTACGTTAGCAACACTTGGCACAGTGTTTGACTGAGCTTTCTGGTTATTAGCTTGTCGGAACTTAGTTGAATATTTATAAAAATCAGACATTTCAAAAGGTTTAGTCTCCTCTCTATAAGGTATACATTTGCCCTGTTCAATAACTGTTAAGTTCTTTGGGGATTCTAAAGACACAGTACTTGGTGATAAAACTGGAGGACTATTGGGCACTTGATTAGGGCTCTGCATTGCAGAATGACGGCCAGACGATATCATTATTTCATAAGCTTGTGAGTTTCCTATACTGGATGTTCGTTTTAAACTGTTACTCTTCTTTAAAAGAGGAGGCTCAGCTTTCGTTGGTGAATCAAGTGAAGTCTCATACCACTGTTTTTCTTTCAATTTCATTTCCGATTGAGAGAGTGGTGAAAATTTGCTTACACTCCCTGAACCGAAATTCGATATTGAATAACCAGATATCTGGCTAACAGGACTCAAAGCATCAGGGTAAGTCCTTCGTTCGTCTCGACTATAATCATCAGTTGACACTTGTAGTTGCATATGCATTGGGTGTCTGATTGTATTACGTTCACGCAATGGCAGGGAATTTGGAACAGCAGATACTCTCTCTACAGGTGGTTGCATTCTATCGGAGTGCTCCTGAATGTCAGGCTGAGATCTATGACGATAATTATCAGATATATTCTCTAAATGCTGGTTGTAATCACTGTGCGAAGTAAGGTGATATGTCTGTGTTCTTTGCAAAGTATTACGGCGAACACTCTCGGGTCGCCGTTTTGACTGACCTGGCAGTTGATGATGGTGCAATGCACCGAGGTGCTGGTTTTGAGATTTCAAATGAGAAGCATATTGAAACAGCAATGGTGTATTACGTATTACATTTTGAACTGGATGTGTCGGAATATTTCCGTGGTTATAATGAGTGGCAATATCAGGATGACTGGAACTGAAATGTGTTTCACGTAGTCGTGACACATTGTGTAACTCCGGTGCATTGTTGTAATAGGTTTTGTTCACATACTCAGTTGTCATTGTGTGATGTCTATAAACCGGACTCTTTTGGGCATCATGGTGCATATTTTCAGACACTGTATCCTGATGGCCAGCCAAAGCAGGATAAGTGTGCGATGTATGTATAGAAAATGTATCCAAGTTTCGATCTTGAGGTGGGGACGGAAAGAAGTTAGAGCAACTGGTTTCAGGGCGTCGTATATGCCTCGGGTGAGCACTCTTTGTAGACATGCCTGATATAGACGGCGTAGAAAGTCTATGAGAAAGATTTTTCCGAAAATGTTGGTCACTCTCGTGAAATCGATCAGTTCCAGGCACTCTAAGCCGTCTAGACGAATTGTCAGAGCCATCATGCACGTCATTACCGTCCGAAGAACGTTCGATGCTTTTAATACTTCCCAGTCTTTCTCGGTTCTGCACTTCAGGACTCAATGGCGCCTCAGGAGGTACGACACCAGTCAACTGAACCTCTTGTACACACAATTTGTAGAGCTCCTCATTTTTAGCTGCTAGCATTTGTTCCAACTCCTTCTTCCGAGCTTGTAACTTTAAAAGCTTGTCCTGCTTGTCTGAATGCAAATCACTGCCCATTGTGCTTGTACCCATATTCACAAATACTTCACAGCACACAAATCATGAGTAATAATAACTCAAACGAAGAAACACAAGAGAAGCCACTAAAATAAACAATGAAATTAGAAATTGTTACGCACTCAAAAAATTGAATGACAGACACACTCATGCTGGGGCTGTGGCTCAACAGACTGTTTCCTGTTAATGTCAAAAGAAAAAAGCGACATCTATATTAAGAATCTATAAACAGCTAATTCTCGCTTCGTTTCGTATGAAAATAATGAAACGAGTTGCTCGTTTCGCAAGTATATTATGTTCATTGTATCTTCTTCTGATATACAAGTACGTTAATATGTATTTGTTTTTTATTTAGTCTTCGCTATGTATTATAATTTAATAATTTAAATAGACATAAATCAATAAAATTTCCACGCGTCACGTCACAATTAGATTACGTATAAATTTTATTATCAACAATTTTTAGACCACATAGACTATTTAACATAACTTTAATAAATTATATTCTTTGTAATAAATCTGTATCATTGGCATGGCATGGCAATTGCGTAAGGTTTTACAATAAAATACCAGAGTCTGTTATAAATCTGCCAGAAAAAAAATTTAAATGTCAAATAAAACACTTCCTTTGCAAAAAAGCTTACTATAAAATTGAAGAATTCGTAAACGATAATAATGTTTTTGTAGAAAAAATTTAAATACATAGCACTGACAATATTATCTGATTACACTAATAATGAGTGCGTAGCGATTTCTATGTTGATTATCGCATGCCTCTTACTTGTTACACTGTAATTATTTACATAAAAAAAAACATCTATTAAAAAGAGCAACACACAAGTTTCTTGCTCATTCTTCTTGTGATGAATCTGCATTCCGAATGAGTGGTAGAATCAAAATATGACTATTCAAAAGTGCTTGTAATGAGTTTATTTGAATAAAGATTATTTCTATTTCTATTTCTATTTCTATTGTAATATCTCATTCATTTATTTAAAAATGTTTAAATCAAATAATGCATTGAAATATTTAAATTTAGGAATATTTATTCATTCGTCAAAGTAGAGGCAGGGCTATATATTCACGATGGTCACACTGTAAATCAGAATGTCAAATTTTGTGTCATGTATGACAGAATATGACAGTATGACTGTATTTATTTTTGTGTCATTCATTCATTCTCATTGGTAGAATTAATTTAATCTAATTTTTTATAGTTAGTTTGAGAACTTTGATAATTTCATTTACATAAAATAAGTATTCAATATATCACAGGGTCTCGCATTGTAGTCTCAAATTCTTTGCTATAATTTTAGTACTTCCCTATAAGTAAGTGCCTAAATTGCAAAAATAATATTTAATTAAAAACAGAAAAATGTCTAGAGTTTACAAGGGAATTATAACAGTTGCAGACAAATTTGTACCTTCAAAATTACGTCCATTATGGGAACACGATGCTGGTATGTACCTATTAACATATGTAGACTTATTAAATTCTTTAACTATTAGAATCATTATTAAAATCTATCATTTTATAGGTCCAAAAACAGTGTTCTTCTGGGCTCCTGCGTTCAAATGGGTAAGTAATGCGGATATTATTCAAGGTTATACTATTTTTGCGCTGGGACCTTGGGCAAGGGCAATTATAAATAATATATAATATATTAATTAATTATATACACTATTAACTGTCATTCATTCACATTTAAATTTTACTAGTGTATTTACATTATTAAATATTTGTTCAGTTGGTAGACATTCTAATAAATAACACTAAATATAAATATTGCATATTATTATAAATATAGCAATATGTAAACATGGTTAATCAAAAGTATCCATTATAGAATAAATAGGACATTTATCGATTTTTAAACTGTAGTCATGTTTCATTAGAAAAAACCAAAGGCTGTTACATTACTGATATCTAAAGAGTTTCAATAATTAATATTACAATAGGTACTATATCATATTTTGAGAAGTAACTATTTTCGTTATAAATTTTTATAATTTAATACCAAAAGTGTTATAATAAACTAATATGAGGAAACAGCTGAAATATCTGTTAATATATCAATAAAAAATAGGCAATGTTACATGTTAATATTATTTATAATATTAACATGTAACATTGCCTATTTTTATATTCTTAATTATTATATTCTTAATTTTTTAATTATAAAAACATCAAACCGATTTCTATACCAAATATTTTTATTGAAATATAAGAAAATAAAATGATTTTTTTATTTCTATTCTGTATATGTCAGACCTCCAATTCAGTTTTTTTTAAGTATAATTTAATTAAGTACTTATTAAAACTTATTTTTTTATAACAATAATGTATTTAATTAATGTGTTTTCTAGAATACTTAAATCTAACATATTTATGTGTGTTAAAATGACCCTGAAGTGGTGTTCTCTATAATAAACATCAAATTATGTATATTCTTTATCTGTATGTATGTAGGTTTATTAGACTCATAAAATACATCTCCACTGAACATTCTCAAATTAGTTGCACTCAAAAGAAACATGTGCCAAGAATTTTGTCACCTACTCTTTATGAGAACAGAATAGAATTGCATTTGCATACTTAGGCAAAAAGCCTATTAAGCTAAGAAACTTATATAGTCTATTAAATGTTTTTCCATACTATTTATTCTACATCTAAGAAAATGTATGAAACTATTATAAACAGTAGAAAAAAATATGCAAAAATGGAAAACTTTTACATTTATCCAACCAAGTAAGTTTTCCAGAACAAGTAGTTATTGTAGTAATAAAATTCTTTAAACCACAAGACAGAGAAACAATTTTTTTTTGTGTGTTCGAAAATACTACACAAATTATAAATGCTTGATAGTAGTGGTTTTGTAAATAATTTTCTATGATGCTGTTTCTAGATCTCTTTGAAACACAGGTTTTAAACTTATGTATATGGTGAATTCAATGACCACCAGAGTGATACCATATAAATATTTTGTGCCAATTTTTATCCAGATTGAGAGTATTTTCAGCAAAACTTTATAATTAAATGTGAATAATTCTCTTAATAATACATTTTCGTACTAGTAAAAACGCATGGAAAAATCAAATTTAGCATTTTTATACTTATAGCATAAATAAACTACTTTATGTGTGATGTTTTCTGGTTGCTTTAGACTCATCATTCCACATCGCTTGGGACAGTAAACATATAATAGCAACATTTATGCTTTCATAAAGCTTAGACATAACCTGAGATATATTTAGCATACAAATGTGTTGTTCATGAGAGTATGTGTTCATAAATACTTATTTAACAATAATTAAAATACTGTAATTAACTAGCTTTGATACTTATTATTGTGTTCAGTTATGTTTTATAATCAGTGATCGAGTAGGTAGAGCTATTTTATTTATCCATATTATTCTATCATATGGCAAGATGGATGGATTGTGTGAAAGATGATATGAATAAAAGAAGAGTATGTTTGGATATGACGACTGATAGAGATCAGTGGAAGAGAATGACATACTGCGCCGACCCCAAATAATGGGATGAAGGTAAGGCAATGATGATTCTATCATATGGCAAATATGAGATATTCCCCGAATCCCAGGATTTGTTTTTTAAGTAGAAAAATAATAAAATGCTATTTATGCCTTAGGGAGATTACTTCCTAAGGCGTAAATAGCTTTTTATTATTTTTACAGAGAGAGAAAACATATATTTCCTATAAGTATAAGGACAGTTTAAAGGATAATGCAATAAATAGATAGAAACTTAATTCCTGAAACCACATAAATATAACATCAATGTTTGAGGTCAATGAATCTAAATAGCTCTACCTACCCCGATCAGTGGTTACAATGGACATAAAAGGATATTACAATATTTATATATATGTAAATGTTCATAATATACCTCTTAAGGACATAAACACTACAAGGAAAATAGTTTACAAAAATTTAATTATTGTATTGTTGTTAGCATTAATATTTTCATTTAATTCATCTTTTTTTTTTTAGATTTTATATTGATGATGTAATACTTTCCTTAAAAACGTTGGTTTAAAATCAACCTATTAATAATAATAATAATAATAATTAAATATAATTGTTAATCCGATGTTAGTTGTATGTTATATGTACATATATGTATGTTGTATGTTATACGTAGGCGAGGCGAAATGTTTTAAGGTTGATTAACAACCATGAGGCCTGCTTTAGATGTATTTGCCCAATAACCCTTAGTATAGTCTACAGTTACGCTACGCTAATGTTAGAACAGCAAATCGATGTGATATTCTATTTCCAACACTTTCAGGGTTTGGTGATAGCTGGGTTAGGTGACGTGTTACGACCTGTCGAGACCCTATCTGTACCCCAATCCGCGTCCCTTGCAGCCACTGGGATCGTCTGGTCTAGATACTCCCTCGTTATCATCCCCAAAAACTACAGTTTATTTGCGGTTAATGTATTTGTCGCCATTATAAACACATATCAGTTAGGTCGGGCGGTAAAGTACCAACAAGAGAAAGGAAAAAATTGAAAGAAATACGGGTATTTTATGGTTGTGGTGAGCGTTCAATAAAGTAATTAAGTAAATAAAGTAATTCACACGCTTAAACATTAGCTTCATTGACTAAGCTTTTAAAAAATCTAATTTGGTAAAGCATTACAAATCGTATTTCCAATTTTTTAAATATGATACTCAATTATTAAGCGTGCGATATACCACCTTATTCATAAAAACTGTAATCTTAAATTCTTTCAACGTCGAAGCTTAGAAATTTACTACCAAGATCAAATGACCGAGTGAGATCAAATCTAGCTCTAAAATCCTTTTGGATTTCCTCAATTTTAGATGCAAATATACCTAGCGAAAAACTGTAAACATATCATTACGACATCGACAGTTGACAGTGCCTCTGACTATTCGATCTGTGATAACAGTCGTGGAGATAAATTATATTATTATTCCGAAATCTTCCACAAACCTATTGCAGCCTTTTATCTCTTTCTTTCAAATTAGTAAAATAGTTTGAAAGAAAAGAACAAAACAATTCTATAGCTGAAAGAGCTTCATGATATATTTGTAGTTTTTATGAATAAGAAGTCTTTATTGGACCGTATAGATGTATTTAGTACAATTTTGTTGAATATTAATTAAGCGAACAAATCATATACAATTGAATATTTATTTTAGATAAATATATATTTATTAAAAGGAATACAATATCGAATAGTAGCATATAAATAATTGACTGTTATATGTAATATATATAGTAGTATATTACTTGCAACTTGATGTTAACAAAATTTATATATTCTAATATAAACTGTTGATAATAAATTCGAACTTGAAATGGTGCATGTTGTATAAATTCATGATCACCACTCTGATTTGAGTATTTTTGGATTGTTCCCATAAATGCAGTGTATTTTGTAAGAACGATATATTAAAATTTCTTAAGGATCGCCAACACTCACGTTTAACCGCCAACACGCATGTTTCACCTGACATATTTTTCCTTCACATGTTTGACAATTATTAATTAAAATAAAAAAAAAATATGTATATATTGTAAGCATCTTTATATAGTAGACGGTAGAGGGAAAATATAAATACAAAAAACTTGAAGTCCATAAGCGGCTAAAATGTCCTACATGAATGAATGATTCTGAATTCATTTGCGTATAAAATGAAGTCGCTTCCGCTGTCTTTTCATTACGATCTTTAAACTACGTAACGGATTTTAATGCAATTTTTAGCAATAGATAGAATCTTTAAGTTCACTTCGTCCGTGCGAAACCGGGACGGGTTTTTTTTAACGGATGATAATTGAATGGTGCACCCGCCTGCGCTAACGGTTTACGCTGGCGGGGCACCAGTGGGGGATGATAATATGAGCATGAGGTCAGGTCAGTTAGCCCATCGTAACAAATTCACCAGGAATTTATCACGATGGTTTCCAGGGGGAACCACGTGGAGGTCAACCTGACGTAGTACATTGTTAGTAATGGGGTCATCAGTCCACATTACTAACAATCCCCTTCCCCCTTAACCGGGACGGGTAGCTAGTATAATATAACTTCATCTATTTTCGTAAATCTTGTAACTCGATAAGCTAACTCAACCGACGCGTGTGCAGTCTGTTTTAGAGATTCTTGTTATCAATTTTTTTGTCAAAATATAAATAGCGATAAAAGTCCCCTCATGCAAATACGAACAGCTGCATTTAAATATGTCACAGTGGTTTAAAGTCGAACCGTTATATCATGTGATGACTATATTGTTAACAATTCGATAAAATGATCTAGAAAATTCTATGGCGATTATATAATCCCTCCCTAGAACCTTCTAGTATTGCAAGGCATGAGTAGTGTCTACATCATGAGGCCACATGATGACGTGATAGCCGTGCTGTTGTTTGTGTATCGGCGATGGTTACCACTTACCATCAGACGAACGGTCACCTTTTTGCCATTCCAATTACATATAATCAAACACAAAAAATATAGTTTAAGAATGACAAGACCTTTTTGGCTTAATTTTAATAGAATAGTTCATTATTAGTATTATTATAAAAGACAATATTAGAGAAAACAAATGACAATTATTTCAAAGGTATTCTGTCACGTTTTTTAAATTTTATTCCAAAGTCTTGATGATCTTTAAATTGATGAAAGACTTCAATTAAATTAAAGACTGAAAATATAATTAAAGTAACATGAGGTAATCCCTACAAATAAAGTATATATAAAGTAATATAGGAAGGCCGACCAATCCGGGGCATTCGCGGGTGTTCCTATATTGGTGGCTTTGTAGGGATTCTCACAAGCGTCATTATCATACATATGTACTAATACTAGCTGACCACGCAAACGTTGTTTTGCCATTTAAATCAAAATCGCTTTTAAAAATAGAGGTTGTTAATAGAAGAGTGAAAATTTTGGTGTTGATGTGTTTTTAATGACACATTATAAAAAATTAGAAATAAAAATTGTGTTCAAAATAAAAAAAAATGTTAAGGAACCCTTATCACTTCGGGGTATGAAAAATAGATAGTAATCGATTCTCAGACCTACTGATAAAATATCATAAAAATCGTAATTTCATAAAAGTCAAGCCGTTTCGGAGGAGTCTGGTAGCTAACATTGCGACACGAGAATTTTATATATAAGATAGTATAGCACTAAATGACGACGATATCAGAGTGGTAATAAATGAGTTTGTCAAGGATTACACCATGACTTACATTAGTAATGTAATTAAGATAATTCGGTGCTCTAAAATTACATCTCTTGCAAGTTATATACGTTTTACATTTGTGAATTGTGATAGTTAAAATACGTAAAAGTTATAATATTACCGACGATTATCTTTTATATTTATGTTTTTGTATATATCAAAGTGTAACAACTAAGGCTGGTAATATACAGTCATTAATCAGAGTGTATTGGCACGTTACATTCAACAAACCTGATAAGGTTGCCTGAATGCAATATTGACGGTAATTGTATTTTACGCACGCTTTTGTATGTATATAATATCAAAGTGTAACAACTAAGGCCGATAATATACAGTTGTTAATTGGAGTCTATTTGAACGTTAGTTGTATTCTGGCAACCTTGTGACTTTGTGACTTGTGACTTTATATTACCAGCCTAACAATACGATATTCTTTGAAAATAATAAGCCTGAAGAATATCGTATTTTAAGAGCCATTACTTGACATATTCCATTAACGTTATTAATATGACATTTATCGAAATAACAGGAGGCAAAGATTATTTAGAATAAAATAAACATTTTATTTATTATTGTTGTCTGTTTGATATGGTACTTATTTCGATAAAAGACGTGCCAAGTGTTTATAAAAATACCGAGTATAAAAAAAACAGGTCTAGATGCATAAGTAAATTCACAGCATTCCGTGTAGGTATATAATACCATGTTGTATATTTATTGAAGTGACTCCATACAAAAATAAGAGTTTTTTTTCAAAATACTACAAGTAACTAAGTAACACAAGTAAACAAGTAACTAAGTAACATAGTCTGAATATCAGAACTCATTCGCTTTATAAGACAATAAGAGTGTTACGATTAATCATAATATTAATGGTAAATTATTGCAAAGTCAAAGAAAGGTGAACTACATTCTGTCAAACTTTCAAAAAATGATTTCTTTTAACATAATTAGGGGTAAATTATACACACTGGTCATCCTCACCCACCTTGGGGGTCAAGGTTTAAGCCCCACAGAGAACTTCCTTGCCCCGTTATTAACTCCGGGGCCAAAAACCTCGGGCAAGCTATTTGGGAATAGTCCCAAGTCCAAGAAACGTGAATTGTCATTATCATTGTGGACATAATGTGTCATACTCTTAAAAAAGTATATTTTTTGTTCGAGTCACTTCAATTTTAAATTAGCGATGTATTACTATTGGTTAATACCACTTGTCTATGTCACTATCATTAAATGATTTTACTTATCTCTGTGACATAAATTATACACTGGTTTTATAATATTTGAATTCCATATAATTGTGATATAGATTAAAAATTTTAGTATCTAAAATCTCTCTAAAGGGTATATTACAGTATCATACTTATTTAATCAATATATTGGGTGATTTTCTTACTCTTCTGACAAAAATTAGGGCATCTATTATTGATCTAGAAGGTTATTATTATATTGTTATTACAATCAATATTAAGCCGAATTCTCTGAAAATTCAATACTAATGGCCACGTACTTACGTACTACGCCAGTTTCAGAAAGTATGCGTCGAGCGTGCGTCCCACGTGACAGCACTGCAATAGTCTATGGTCGATCACTTTTTGTTTCCACTATCTAATTATATGATAGTGTAATATGCCCCTAATATAGAGGAAAATGCACTACATACGTACAAGACATCGTACCTAACGTACACAAATGTGACATTAAACCATTGTTTTGTAAGAATATTAATTATTTATTTTTGTGAAACTTTTACTTGTGAAATATATATTTGTTATTGTATCATCATGTCTTATTTGTTCCACATTACTCATAATAAACTTCTTGATTTAATTAATAAATGAGTATAACAATAAAATACATTTATTCAGCATTACATCAGTATCAGTAGGGTTTCCAATAATTTTTTTGTATTATATTTATCTTCATCCAAGTTAAAACATACTGGTAACGCTGAATGTGGCTCCTAGTCGGCATACATATTGTAATTTATCACTAAATTCATTCAGTTACGTTCATAATGTTATTGTCTCGGTTATGGGGAATTTGTGTGGTGGAAACCCATCAGTGAACGTTTATATTAATTGTAATTTGTTTGTTTGGTCGTCTTCTATATCACAAGAAATATCCATGACAGTTTATCGTGGAAGTTTATTTAATAGCATGTCTATTCACAATCGCTTCAATAAATTCGCTTACCTGGGGTTAATTATGTGAAGTAATTGTTAGTAATTCGTATCTGTTACAATTAAATCTACAGATTTGAGTATTTAATCAAATATTATTATATAATTAATAACAAATGAAATCTACGGACCATTTCATAGTTGCAATTCCGAACCGTACAACCTGGTAACTGTAACTGTCAAATGGTTAATATAAAATCGCAAACCTGTTGATTTTACTGTCACAATTGAGAATTGTTAACAAATAGACTACATATTCGTAATAACGCAGCTATTGTATACTTACGGTAAAACCGTACAATACAATGCAGTGAGACTACAAAATATAATAGGTACTAGAGTAAACAATATGGTAAGAAATCGAGAGCCTGCAGTAGTTTTTTTTAATTGATGATAATGGAATGGTGCACCCAGCTGCGCTAACGGTATTCGCTGGCGGGGCACCAGTGGAAGAGTATAAGATGAGCATCAAGTCAAATCAGTAAACCCATCGTGGCAAATTCACCAGAAATTTATCACGATGGTTACCAGAAACCGTGCGCAGGTCAACCTGACATGGTCCATTGCTAGTAATGGGTTCATAAGTTCACATTGCAAATAATTTACTTCCACCTTGTCGGTAGTAGGTTCGTCACCGGGACGTTGGAGTCAAATACTTTGCCAATTTGCAATCCCTCTGGAATAAAAAAGGTAAAAATTAATATATAACTATGTTAATATACTGTACTGTTTAAAGACAAAAAAGCGCAACATAGAGAACATATATCCTAGAGTTGTCTTGCACTCCAATATTCTGCTTACGAAGTATAGGCATGTTCTTCTAGTTTAATTGTGTGATAAAATTTTTGCAGTTCCCTGTAATTAGACTAAGTCGTTAGAAATGGCAAGTGGAATTTGCACGATGCATGACTGTGCCGGGAGCGTCACAGTATAATAAGTTTATGTAATTAAAATTAAACTATTATAGTTATTGGTATAGCATGAGCTTGCCTGCATGTAATGAATACAGGGTTTTGTGGAAATCACTGCAATCGCAGACAAAAACCGTGGTCCATGGGTTGAACTAAGCAGCTTGATCATTACCAACATTTCGTCATATTTTTCATCGAGGTCCTTTCCAGAATACGTAAGAACCATCTAGAATATGTCAGAATATAAGAATAGTCTTATGTATATCCATGTGAGAGGAAGAACTAGAAATAAATCTTATTTCTCTATACCACTGTAGTAAATATAGGCTAGTAGGTTATTACTACCAGAGTACTTCGAATAATCTGAGTAGTGTTACATTTAATCATATTGCATTAGTCTCTGGTTTATTTATGAGTATATCTGTTTCTGTTGACCGATTTTTGGTACTAAAAAATGTTCGTATATACCAAAATATTAGATATAATGGGTAATGGAAGATCTCCGAATCATCGATCATCCGAAGAATGTCTCCGATTACCTATTATATGTAGACAATAGTATATAGTCAAAATGGTAGTATTGTCAACTGCAACCTTTTTCATTTATTACCTTATGACCAGATTCCAAATTTCTAGACTCTACTTAATTTGAGTAGATAGCCTATTAGATGTAGCAGTCGTCAGTAGGATACAATAAACTGAAAACCAATGGAGTTATGAGACTATTATCCCAAGAAGTAATGTGTAAAAATTAAAAAATAAATTATTAAAATCACACACGGTCACACGATCAATTTAATATGATAAGTTAAGATTTATTGTCGGAATTCCACTTTCGTTTCTTGATCAAAGTTGTTCAATTTCATAGGCACTAGTCCTTGGATTTTATCTTGACATACCCTTTACTAATTTATAAAAAATATTAAACTAAATATTGGCTATTTACAGGGTCTAGTCTTGGTGTCTCTAGATGAATACCGTCGGCCGTTAGAGACCGTATCTCCCACGCAATCTGCAACACTCGCCGCAACTGGCCTCATCTGGACTCGCTATTGTCTCGTTATCAAACCTATCAACTATGCGTTGTCACTCTGCAACTTCTCATTGGGCTTGGCTAATGGAGTACAATGCTTCAGAGCCGTTAATTTTCAAAGGAAATTAAAAGCAACGTAAAGGTTCCATTAAGTCTTGATTATGTAACACAGTTGCTAACAGATGTGCCTTGAAACAGATTAAAGTATAATTTTTGAGATTATAGAATGAAAAAAACTTTTATAGCCATACAAAAGCAACTGTAACATACAGGTATGTTAGAATTAACTGCATAATTATAAAATATAATAGACATAGGCGATAACAAAGAGGTTATGTACCCAGTATGTTAATAATCTAACTTTCAATTAATAGTGTCAGTCGTTCAGTCAATCATGGAACACAATATATGAAGAGTCAGTTGTGAATAAATCTAAAATAGCTTTTTTTTATACTATGTAAGTGGCAAACAAGCATATAACCCATATAAAAACGGTTACCGTGGCCCATGGACACCTGATATACCAGGGGTGTTACGTGCGCGTTTTCGACCCTTAACGAACCTTAATATACCCTTCCTGTAAACCCCAGGCTGTAGTCTCTTGAAGTAAGCTGCGAGTTCAAAACAGTTATATTCAATCTGTTTCAAACCAGAATTGTTAGCAACTATATTATATAATCAAAACTAATAATACTCCATGAGATGGCACAGAGATTGTCACAATGTTCTTTGAAATATTAATTTCGTATTACATTTAATGTAATAGCGAAAAGGCAATATTGTAGCCATCTTAGATCAACACACCGTGCCATATGCTTTACAACGCCACTACGTCTAAGTCTTCACATAATAGCCCAGTCTATGGACTATCTAATTAACGAAATACATCGAAGTTTTTCTAAGCTACTATAACTTAAGTTACCATACTGATTTTATGGATGGGAATTTGAAACTAATAAATGGAACAGCTTCATAACACAACTTGTGTCACGAAGTTGTTCCATTTATCTAACTAGATGCTTATTTGCCATATTAGCTATATATAAAAATACATATTTTATTAGATACCGTAAAAAAAAACTATTTACAGTCAAAAATTAAAAGCTTATTTACATAAAAAGTATGAAATAAAATACGCCTAATGTTTACACCTATTTCTTGTAAAATACTCTATTTACGTTTATAGTGCAAAAAAATCGCCAAAGAATTCATCCAAAGATCAATAATATTTTTAAAAAATCTGATATTATTTCAAAAAACAAATCCTATTATTGACATTGGGATAATCTTAGAACCATTTCGATTAATATTAATTATGAAAATGCCCTTACTTAACAATAATAGTGTAGAGGTACTAATACTATAAAAAGTGCCTAGGAATGTATATTAGCTCCGGAATCAATATAATAACAAGTAGTCGTAGAAGTAGAGACTCTAAGAGTTTTAAAAAACATGCCATTTTATGATTGGTGCACCCGCGTGTTAACTAATGATAAGAAAACTATGAGAGTTTTAAAAAACATGCAATTTTTATTAATGATGCACTCACCTGCTAACGGTATACGCTGGCGAGGCTTTTATGTAATAAGACCTTGCAGTTTGCTTGCAAGCTTGCAAGGGGAATATACTATAGGAGTTAAACTACAGAATATGGAAAACTACTTAGATCTCTGAAATGACAACTAAGGTCTTCGCGCGTTACATCATGTATACAGGTGATTAGCTGTTCCCGCGACTTCGTCCCCGTGAAATTTTATTTTATTTTTCTAACATAAAAGTAGCCTAAGTTAATCCCTATTACATCAGCTACCTGCCAAAAAAAGTCACATCAAAATCGGTCCAGCCATTTCAGAGTTTAGACGGAACAAACAGACAAAATTTCTAAAAAATGTTATTTTACTGTATGTACTGTATTTCTATTTATATGCATGTAGTAAAAAACAGTTATTTCAATATTACAAACAGACACTCCAATTTTATTTATATGTATGGATACGTTTTGCATTTCGTTTCATCATTCCAGTTATATAAAAAAAGCATTAGGTATAGGACGCCTGTGATCGAATTTAATAATTATATATGAACATTTCGTAAGTACCTATCTACTTTATAATATCTAGACTTACTTTACTTAGCTTTTGAATGCATGCTACTTACTTTAATTTTTATATTGTTTCATAGAAAATTTAGTATTTATACAACTACTAATACTTTCAGTAGTTTCGAAATAATATTACATATCGCACGTGATCATGAAAATACTTAAAATTTTAGGAAAATGGACTTAAAAGACAAAAGCTTAGAGTCCATTTTCTGTGCACGAAAATGTTTTAAATCACAAAATATTGTAAATTATTATAACATTTAGTGTAAAACTCTGTAGTTTTATATTGCCTGAGAAACTTGCCATTATGTAATTATTGCCTACCAAATATTTCCCTATGCTATACTTCTATCTTTATACTCTTTCTTATTTGTAAGCTTATTAAGATATTATTACACTATCTAGCATATAGAATTACATTTTATTAATTGTTCGTGATAATGCTATAGAAACTAACTTTTATGAAGACTATATTGCCATGTCTCTACAGGGTAGGCAGAGAGTGTAATACGCAATTCTATATTATGATAGTGTAACTATTGTTTTACAATTTACTAATATATTTTTTTTATGTAGTTAATAGCGTGGCACTTGTAAGCAGTAGGTAGTGCATGTTTTTATTGTAGTTTGCACGCTTTCTTTGTTATATTATTAATAAATATTTCGAACTGAATTTGACTTTTTTAATTCCGCCATGAGGCACCCAACTTCAGGGGATTGTGGGACGCTGCAATAAAGACGACTAAACAACACCTTATGACTTGAGACTCTTTAGTAACATTTTTTCTATTTACAATAACTTGTTTTTATGAGAATAAAATATTACTTAAACTTTTGGCGATTACCACACCTAGATGGCGATTGTACGGTGATTACTTACGTAAACTTCACGACTGTTATCGTAGACGGAGTAGTCAGGGACATTGTCATACTTATGTGGTGACTGCAACACTTGACATGGACAAATTTTCTGAGTATATTTAAATCCAACGTAGCAGTGGGTGAACCTACTGCCGTCTCTTGGATCTCCAGCACCAGAAATATACGTATATATACGTAAAAGCGTCAAATATCTATTGAACCTATTTTATCTATTGAACCATTTTGTCCTTTTCGTTATTCATATGAAAGACAGTGACATAATACTCAAATTTTAATATATTTATAGATTATGCTTGTCATTTAATGAGGCTATCAACAACTAGGCAACTATAAGCACTATATAGTAATACATTAAAGGTCTCTGTGAACTAGCTGTTTAGCATACCGTTTAACTTCCGATGGTCGCGGGTTCGATTCCTCGCATGGTGTAAACATTCTATATTTATGAGTATGATTGTTTGTACCGATTTTTTTCTGTTTCTGTATTTACACAAAAAAATTATCTAAGTATTTATATCAATGGGCTTGTACCCATCACACAAGCTCTGTTTACCTAACGACTAGATGGGGCTGTGTATATGTCCAGAGTTATTATACATAATGTAAAATAACTGATGAATCAGTGGGGAGAAGTCTCTAAATACAGATAAAAGAAAATAATAATACCTGATTTATACTTATTTTATTCAATCTTCAACCATCTTCAATAACTTATCCATACTAATAGGACTGAATGTCCGTCCGTTATCATCGGAGAACATAATTACATTCCTTATAACATAGCACTGCATATCGCCTATCTTATATAACGGGCGTCCTTCCCTCGTCTTGCCGGCTATAGGCACAAAAGTAATGCCTTTCTCAATACATCTAGATTCTAGAAGCTCAGAGAAACTCTTCTGTTGGTTAGACGACGCTAAAACTTCAGATATTCTAGAAGTTTCCTTGGTGTCTGATAATGAGAAGCGCGGCGGTGGCGGAGGCTCTATGGTGTCAATGTCCGTGCTTCGGTTCAGCATATCTAGGGCTTTCCTGAAAGCGTCGCGGACTACCGGTTCTTTCAGCACTTCTTCAGGAAACATTTTCTGTAAGCAATCACGTAACAGAATGTTCGTAATTAAGAATAAGGATTGATTGTAAAAGGGTAAAAATTTTAGGTTAAATCTATTTTTTAATGACAAATCATAGAAAGTATGAAAATATTCTGTTGTCTATAAAATTAAAAAAAAATTGGTATTAGCAAATACGTTGAAATACGTGACTGGTTGGTGTTCAGACACGCAGCCAGTGCGGCCAGCCAGCGAGCCAACAGTACAGTACAGTACAGTACAGACGCTAACTATAACAGCGCGGACTGACCTTGAAGTCTGTGTAGGAGGTGAGCACGGTGGCGTGTGGTGGGTTGGTGTTCAGCCAGGCGGCCAGTGCGGCCAGCCAGCGAGGCAACAACGCGCGGCTGGCCAGCGCCGCCACAGTAGGAGCCCCCAGCAACTCCAACCATTCCAAGCACCATAACCACGCAGCTATTCATATAAATAGACCGATAGATAACAAATTTTATTCGATTCTTAGTACACACAAATAGGCTTACTTACAAATAGTATAAGTAAGCCGATATGTGTGTGTTGATTAAATATAAATAAAGAAAACCCCTTTTCAACCCTTTACGAGTTGTAAGGGAGAAGAAAAAATCGACATTTTTAAAGCTAAAAGCTTGTAACTTATTATTAGGCTGTGATATAAATAAAGAAAAAAATTCTCCTTTTCAACCCCTTACAACCCGTGAGGGGTTGAAAGGGGAAATGAAAGGTTATATGGAAGTATTGTCATTTTTAAAGCAGGAAGCATGAAACTTATTTTGTGGCTGTTGATTTAATATAAATAAAGGGTTATATAGGGTTGAAAGGGGAGATGAAAGGTTGTATGAAAGTATCGTCATTTTTAGAGCTTGAAATTTATTTTTTAGCCGGCTGTAATTGAATTTGTACAAATATGGGAAACGTTTATGGGGATAAAATAATAAAAGGGGTTGAAATATTGCGTCATTTTTGAAATAAGAACTTTATTCTTTGATTATTTTGGGTTAGATTATTAAATATTTTTTATTTATTTTGTCAAGGTCACTATTCCACGCGAACGAAGTCGCGGACGCAGCTATTCGCAAATAAAGCGGTGTGCTAAACCGCTAGACCAGCGAGGCCGCCAAAGGCCTCCGGCTCGGGGACTAGGCGGTGTGAGAGCGAGGGCAGCAGTGGATTCAACTAGGTGTAAAGAATGCGTGTACTGACTGTTCTGTCGTCCGACGAGGTCCAGCGGCGCGTGCAGCAGGCAGTGCTCGAGCTTGGGCACCACGTGCTGGTGCAGCATGGCCGACAGCGCGGGGCCCCACGCGCGCCGCCACGCCGCCAGCAGACCGCGGGCCGAGCCGTCCGCGGGGTGCCAGCCGCCCAGCGCCGCCGCCAGCCGCGCGCGGATCTCGGGGTACACGCCGCGCGCCAGCGCACTCCCTGCGGCCACACGCGCACGTCAGCGCACACACACACACACACACACACACACACCACGCCGCCACCGCGGGCCGAGCCGTCCGCGGGGTGCCAGCCGCCCAGCGCCGCCGCCAGCCGCGCGCGGATCTCGGGGTACACGCCGCGCGCCAGCGCACTCCCTGCGGCCACACGCGCACGTCAGCGCACACACACACACACACACACACACACACACACCACGCCGCCAGCCCGCGGGCCGAGCCGTTCGCGGGGTGCCAGCCGCCCAGCGCACTCCCTGCGGCCACACGCGCACGTCAGCGCACACACTACTCACCGGCGAGGTCGTGCCAGGGCAGCACCCAGTGGTGCAGCGGCTGCGTGTCGCCGGTGGGGTCCCAGGCGCGCACGGCGGCCAGCAGCGGCGGCACCACGCAGCGCGCCGCCCAGCCGGCCGCCAGCCAGCGCGGGTTGGCGCCGCTCGCCGCCCACCGCTCCAGCGCGGCCACCAGCGGCGCCGGCACGCGCGGGTTCCACGACCTACCACCCAACACCGAGAAGCATTTACGCGTACGCTCTTTCATGCGCGAATTGGCTTCTACGCAAAAGAGAGTGTGAGTCAGACAATATCTGCCTTTACATGTGCGCTCGTTCGCGCACTAATCGACTTTCGCGTAGGAATGAGTGCGAATGTAACGAGACAATAGCTGTTCACGCACTATTATATTCTACGTAGAAAAGAGTGTGAATGTAAACAGACAGTAGCTGCCTTTACGCATACGCTCTTTCACGCGCAAATCGGCTTTCACGCAGAAAAGAATGTGAATACAAAGTTAGACAGGCAATAACTGCGTTTACACATACGCTTTTTCAGGCTAGAATCGACTTTCACACAGAAAAGAGTGTCTATGTAAAGTCAGACAATAATCGCCTTTACATATACGCTCTTTCAAACGCGTATGAAATCAGATGAAAATTAATGCTGATCTAAAATATATATGTGGCTAGTTTTTAGGTATTTAATTTTATATAATTTTGCAGTATTGCTTTCAGGATTCCTTATTTTGTCCTCAAGAAGTAGAAAGGCAAGCAGCCTTTCTACTAATCTCTTAATTAATGAATATAATATTCAGTAACAGATTAAAGTAATATAGATATATACTAATATAAATATAAATAAATAAATATAACTCACTCAACAGCTGTCGAGAGATGCGTCAAGTAATGTTGACACAACAAACTGTTGTATGCCTCTTCTGTAAGTATTTCTTTCCATTTCAGGAATGTGGGGATCGGTTCCTCTGGGGACTGTAATGGGTCCCATGTCGCTAACAGGGCACTGAGTAGTGGACTCACTATATTGCCTCCTATAGTTCCAAGGCCAAACACCTCATATTCCGTAGGGTAGGACTCCTAAAATTGTAAAATTAGTTGTTCATACATAACACAATAAAATAGTTATTAATTGATGTAATGGCTGAACTCATTATGTCTGTATCATATAATAAAAACCATATATAAAGAACCATAGTTGTACCTTCAAATCAGCCAAAACTTCATACGCTTTCTCTAATGACACCTCCGGGCTGTTTAGCTCTTCAACCTTCTGCAATATAGCCTGAACCTTGTCTATGACCAGATCGTGATCCTTTAATTTAATATTACACTCATCTAAATCTCGTTCTAATACAACTATTTCATCTTCAGCTGATTGGAGTTCCCTAGCGTTTTGAATGATATCCTGAAAAATATAAGATTTCATTTAAACATTTTCAATGTAAGGGATTGTCATTAATCACGTGATTTTTTTAGCATTTTTATCATTTAGCTATTAGTAATATATTACAGTGCTAGCGGTTCAGTATATCCTTTCTGACTCGTGGCGCGGCTCGTGCTCGAAGCGCGGCGCGGCGGCCCAAGAAAAGGGTATACAATAATAACAAATACCTGCTCGCAGCACTCGAGCATGAGCTCGAGGTTGCGCGCGAGGAGCGGCGCGGCGACGCGGCGCGGCTCGTGCTCGTAGCGCGCGCGGCTATGTAGAAATATATCAATGGTTGGCAAAAAGCATTCAGAACTATCACTGTTACAACTCGATTCGCGCGAGGACCAATTGAATTGTATCGAACAGTCGGCGGCCCAAGAAAAGGGTAGAATAACAACAAAAGCATATAGAGATTGCGCGCGATAGGGCGCAAAATAGTATCCTTGCAACGCGGCGCGGCTATGTGCCAATAAATTACGCGGCGGCCCCAAGAAAAACAAAATTTACCTGCTCGCAGCACTCGAGACCATGCGCGCGAGGAGGCGGCGTTGCCGGCGCGGCTCGTGCTCGTAGCGCGGCGCGGCGGCCCAAGTAAACTACCGATGATGTAACAAATACATCTCGAGCACTCGAGCATGACCTCGATAGTGCGCGCGAGGAGCGGCGCGGCGAATACTCGAACGGCGCGGCGCGGCTCGTGGGTAGAAAAAGCGGCGCGGCGAGAAAAGGTATATAATAATGTGCTCGCAGCATATACCGTATGCGCGCGAGGAGCGGCGCATGAGCTGGAGGGCGCGGCGCGGCTCGTGCTCGTAGCGCGGCGCGGCGGCCCAAGAAAAGGGTATACAATAATAACAAATACCTGCTCGCAGCACTCGAGCATGAGCTCGAGGTTGCGCGCGAGGAGCGGCGCGGCGAAGTTGCGGCAGGCGCGGCGCGGCTCGTGCTCGTAGCGCGGCGCGGCGGCCCAAGAAAAGGGTATACAATAATAACAAATACCTGCTCGCAGCACTCGAGCATGAGCTCGAGGTTGCGCGCGAGGAGCGGCGCGGCGAAGTTGCGGCAGGCGCGGCGCGGCTCGTGCTCGTAGCGCGGCGCGGCGGCCCGCAGCGCGTGGTAGCCGCTCAGCACGCGCTTCTCTTTGCCGGTCATGTCGATCACGGGCACGCGCGACAACTCGCTACTGCACCCACCGAGTAATACTCTTTCTCAATACACATACTCGTCAACCATAATAATAATTACAGGACAATTTGCACAGCGCCATCTAGACCCGAGTCAAGCTAGCTAAACTTGTGTTATGGGTAATAGATAACTGATACATTCGCATCAGTTTTTTTTTTTCGTAAATAGATACATATATAGAAAACGCCCAGGCCGACACAAACAATCATACTTATGAATACAAATTATTTCCACCGAGGCCGTTAAATGTAGACGTAAACGGGCTAACTTTGACCTGTAAAGTGCCTAACCAAACCTAATATATTATCTAAGTATTAACTACGATACTTAACTAACTTATTACTAGCTTACGATATTTATAGTACTAACTACGATACTTGTACTAATTACGATTATTATCCGTAAAAAAGTTCAAACTCGACATTTGACACAAAAAGTAACATAGATACAGGGTGCTATGTAACTGATACACTTAAAGGAGGTAAGACTGCAGGTATAGTTTGCTAGTTACATCATATTTTAGTCGTAAAGAGCATATAATTTCACCGGTTTTCGATATATAAATCAACTCGTAAAATACGGGTGCATGCAGTCACATTCCTTAACCGCACTATTTGCTATTTTATTTTCGTAAAACAGCTGAAAATATGGTAAGTATTTGTTTTGTTAGATTTAACTATTTTAAAATCTGCGCTGATTTAAAATAGTTAATTCTAACAAAACAACCGACTACCGCCGTGAGGCGGTCAGATCGAAATTTGATTATAAAATTAAAAAAAATGCGGTGTGTGTTCTATTTGTTCAAAATTAAAATTAATTTCCACTTATATTCAAACCTAAATACCTTGTGATAGTATGCATTGTAGGTTTACCCTCTTGTATGACGTCAGCGGCATCTCTGTAGAAATATCGGCCCTTGTGCGACTTCTTCCAGTTGTATGATTTCTCTGTTGTACCCTTTTCTTGTTCTTCTTTCTCTTTCAGACGACGCTCTTCCTCCTTTTTGGCCTTTTGCTATTAAACAAAATAACATTCAAAATTATTTTTACAAAAAGAATAATCTTATGGTATTTTGTTATAAACTATCAGAATATAAATTATATATAAATTATAAACTAACAGAGCTTGCGACTTCATACTATTTAACTTTTTTATTTTTTAACCAAATACAAAACTAAGTACAGCTTACCGGCAATACGTTAATCAAAACTGAACCGAAATTAGTCAAGCCGTTTCGCATATCTATTTGGGAACGTTAGATAAAGGACTGGACTAAGAAAATCAGTGATTTCAGTGCTTTAAATTATATTATTTATGGAATCGGAGTTCAGAAATTGGCCCCTAAAGTCTTTTATATATTTTAATTTAACCTTAATTAATAATTTAATAATGGTTTAAAAATTATTACATTACATATTGGATAAATGTAATATAGGATAAATAGACTATATTTTTTCACAACTTACCGCAGCCTTCTCAGGGCCATAGGCACCTATGGCTCCTCGTCCTTTCCTCACAGTAGCTTCAACAGGAGCTGATATACCCTGCAGATCTTTACCCAAACCTTTTCCAGGTTGATAACCCATCTATAAACAAATGAAAGGATATATTATATATGAATCTACCTCTGAATGGAATGTAATATTTCCTGTTGAAAAGAAACCCAGTAAGTTTTTGGCCAATTGTTCTCTGTTAAACAAACATGAATAGATTTAACTGTTTTAAAGTTAAGTTTAAATAGTTTAGTAGAAACAAAGTATTTTAATGTTATAAATTTTCTATGATTATACAATACACAGGTTGTCATAATTTTCGAAACCTAAGCCCAGTTTTGAAATCCTAATGGTGCTCTTAAAAATTAAAGTCATATCTAAATAAAATAATATCACATGGAAGTTGGCCTTCAGCCCCTCAGTCCTTCCCTGGGTTCAGAATGCTATCTGCACCTGCCCACATATTTGTCTGGTCAAACTGTAAAGGCCAGCTACATACAAAAGCATAATTAATTCGAAAAATAAAAACAGTATGATATGTTATAATAAAATATGTACCTGTAAAAGCAACTTGGCTCCAATACCCTTGGTATGCTTTTCCCAGGTGCCTACATTGCCACCGAGATTTGGAGGGCGCATGCCCTGCCCTTGTCGCCTGATACCAGCGGTGTCGCTCTCATCTGGCATAGCTACTCCATCTTCTTCATCTGAACTGTCTGGAGCAAATTTGGGACGAGATGTGGATGCTTCTGATGATTGCAATTCTGCAGAATAAATACAAGAATTGATAGTTATAAATCACATCCTCAGTGATCAAGCGGTTTAGCATGCTGCTTAGACAAGGCTCACATTATTAGGTTCAGTTTGGACAAACTGTTCCTGTTTAATCATTGCTAAGCAAATGCAAACCCTATTGAGACTCCAGTTCAAACAATTTTATGTGTGAATATTTGAACAATATTTATGAATCAAGTTTATTGGAAGCCATAGACTTATAGACATGTCTTTGGTAATTACACTGTACGGAATCACATTTCTTTGCAGTTTGATTTTAAGGAAAAGAAAATAAAAAGTAACCTTTCTTCTCCTCTTTCTTCTTGCCCGCTTGCTGCACACCACCAGCGACAAATCCAATAGGTGCTGAGAAATCTTTTGGTTTTCTGACCCTTTGTCTGATATTGTCTTCATTATCATCCTCATCACTATCTTTGGCCCAAACACCTGATTCAAGTTTATGAAACAAATTGAGTAATTAACCTAATGAATTACATATATTTTTGCATGTATGTCTTTTAATTTGCAATATAATATAGAAATATAAACCAAACAATTCTGTACATAATCAAATCCTCAAATATTTATTTTGCTGAAAGCATTTTGTTACTGCATTAATGCTTTTTTTATTCATGTGATAAATCAAAAATAAACTTGTAAAGTTAAAATTAAACATTCAGGACTTATTTACTAATGGAATATTTCCAATTGGCTTTTATTGATTTTGCATTTCAGACAAAATTTATATTAGTATTAAATTGAATAAATAAAATGAATAATTTATTTCCACAATAAGCCACATTATTAGATCAACAAACATATAAATACAATGGATTAGCATAGATTTAAAAAAATAGTCACATGTTATATAAATTTATATAAAATACATTATTGCAACTTGATACAAAGTAAATTTAGAAATAGAAATAATTGTTATTTAAATAAATTTAATATAAATATTTTGTAATAAATATTTTTCTCATTCTACCACTAATCCAGAAAATAACATAATTTAATAAAAGAAGAATAAGCAAGAAACTTACAGTGTTACAGTAGCTCTTTTAAACAAATATTATCTCACTTTAGAATATTAAGATTATTTGTGAATACAAACTAAACAACAGCATCAATTCAAAAAAGAAAAACTTTAAATAAATATTTACTGGAGTAACAAAATATATCAATCATAGTTATCAGAGACAACCAGTAGCTATAAATATAAGTGTGATAGAAACTGGACCGTTCAAATCAAACAACATTTAAACAATTTTAACACTATATGGATACATCCATATAATGATAAAAACCATATTATTAACAAGCATTAAGTCTATATAACATACCATATATTTGTTGTTCCTTTTTGGCTCTACGACCTCTGCCAGGATTGAATTCATTGTCCAAGTCATAATCAGTGATTTCAAACCGGATTACCTCATCATCTGACATTGTTTCAATATACAATTATTATACATTTATTGCTGCCTAAAATAGATATATATTAATAAAATAAATATATATTAATCTCTGAATAAATGCAATATCAAATGATTAGCAGTGCTTTTCTAAGAAATTAGAAATAATCTCTATTTAAATAAACTTAAATACTACAGACATCATATATCATGCGACACCTGTTATGCCACTTGTGCATTGCTCTTCCAGAAGATTTGAGATATCATGCCTTTTTGCCTGTAATTTCAGACACTGAATTGATTGAATTAATTAATCATTCCAAGGATAGAAACACAAATAGCAGGGCCACATTTCGTATGTGGCACTGCTATTTGTGTTTCTATCCTTGGAATGATGCCGGTTGTTCTAAGTGGCAATAGTAGGTTTCATCCTTCTTTTATAAAAGAACCGCATTCAAACATTGGTATAATAATAAGTTGTTGTGACGATGATGAGGATTCAATGAACCACAAACAAATATGCAAACCAAAATTCCGAAAAACAATCACTACAGTTCACCTACTTATCTGGTTGGTATTTAAAATACTTAAAGTGCAAAAAAAATATTAACCTCAAATTATTAATTAAATATCGCTAAATTCCAATAAAATTTGCTTATTGAACTACAAATAAATGGAATATTAAATTACTTTACAAGAAATTGAATAACAAGATAAAGACGACAAATAATGAAAACAGAATGATTGACAGCTACCTTAACAGACAGATTGACAGATTAAACTATATCACAGATCACTGTACACTAATATACTTGATGTAGATAACGTAAAAATAGTAGTGTATAATAATATAATAAATAGAGTGAAAAGCGTAATATTTATATATATATATAAGAAAACTGCGGAATAAAACATGGGCAAAATGTCTGTCGCCACGATGAAAGCTACAGATTTACTTTACTATAAAAATTAAAAAGTACTCTATGGTCAGTAGCCTGACTGACAGTAGAGTTTATGGTTGATTGACTTCCCGTTTCCATATTTACACAAAAATAAAATTACTCTGTATTTTCAATTTATTATTTTTATTAATTAAATACTTCTTAAATTGAATTCAAATAAGAGACTAAATTTAACATTGTACATATTTATTTTGTGGTTTGTAGGAGATAGTGTTCAGTGTACGTCATGTGTACGATATATATGTGATGATTTAGTAGGCTAACATTTGCATATAGTGAAATCTTTAAAGTAGCTGGTATTCGCCCTACCAATGAAATTATAAAAATGCTGAGCAGATTCTCTGATGTGTTGCAGACGGCTGCTGATGTTGTAAGTAATAAATATATTGCTGTTTTGTTTGAAACTGACAAATTAATAAATAACAAGGTATTCAAATAATAAATGAATACAAACAGTACCCTAACCTCAGTATTAACTAAAAGGACTTGTAATGATCTATTAAAAAATTGTAAAAAAATTGTACCTACCTAAATTGTACCTCGTCTCGGACTTAGAAAATTGTATTTTGACTTAGGGATTACTACCCTAAGTCAAAATACAATTTTCTAAACAACAAAACATATGAAACACCCCCCTGACTACAATATCAGGTGGGGTAATTAGAAGCATTGTCAACTGTCCATGTTGTGGTGATTTTTCTAATACTATTTGTATCTAAGCTACCTATTCATACAGGAGTAAGAAAGGGTATATTATGCCTCTAACTCAGTAACATTTTACTAATAACTAATCATGTCTGATATTATTTCTGAAAGTGAATAATTTGTTTCATACAAAAATAAAAATGTATTATTTATTACAAAGAATCGGCAACCCTATACATTGGTACTCAATCAAAAATAGCCGATGTTTTTGATTAATGAATGCTAAGAAGGGCATGTACCTAAAAATAAGACATGTCTCTAATTCTCAGTCATTAAAACAATGTTACATATTTTCCTATTATGATAGGATTTTTGACAGCTTATGTTAGGGCTGTGTCTTTTATTATTATTGTGTTTTTATATAAGAATATTAAACCCATTTTTTCGAAAAATATATATTTGTTTAAACCATATGGTTTCAAGGAAAGTTGTAGAGCAAAAGTTGTTACTTCCTTTACCCTTTTTGACTAATCCTTTGGTATTAAAAAAAAACCTATTACAATTTTGAATGGATAAAAGGGATACTAATTAGTCCTGAATAGCCAATAAAACTAGTGGACGTAATTAATATCTATAATATGAAAACTTTGACATGACATGAACGGTGAAGTGGCCGGTGTCCGCCGCTGGCTGCCATCTTCAATGCAACAACTCCAATGCTGCAACCTGTGGTAGCAGTGCATGTGTGTGTAGTCAGATATATTATTGTCCAATTAATATGTATACAGTAATTCTTTTACTTATGTTCTTTTAATATCTGACAGTGTAAAACCTATTATAATGACTAATTATAGTTGTGATATAGTGATGCAAATCAGTATGTTCGATGCCAGTGTATGTTTTATCTAATGACACATAGGTCACACACTTGTTAATATATATAATGTTAGTAATTGGTCTAAGGTAGAGTAAATCAAGATGTAACAGTTAATATACAAGTTCCACCCTACTGTGTGTGTTTACTCTCACCACTGCTTCTGTCATCACATAGTTACAAATTGGGTTTTCTGTATCATTCCACATTTTTCTCTGTATTACTTGTAGCTGGCTCCTCCAGCAACGAGGTTGGAAGACTTTGAGTACCACTGGAAGATGATACTAAACTTTTATCAGAACTATGATGATAACAGTAAAGTTCACATTGAAGATACAAGAATACCCCATCATTTGCATCAAATGTTACAGGTAAACTCTGCAAAAATGTGAATAATCAGTTTAAAATCTATATATAATCTTATTGAGATACTTTTTTTAAAAAATGTGATTATTTTAATTACTTGTATTTCTCTTCAACTATTTTCACTGCATATTAATTTAAATGTTGCAATTCTATTACTGTATACTCTTTTTAAATTGTCCTGGTTTTTCTGACATCATCACATCCTGGTGTCGTATATTTGGTATTGGCAACCCAAAATGAATAATATATAGTGACAGTTGCTACTTACCATTAGGTGGCCCCTGAACTTGTTTGTCATTTCAATTAATTAAAAACTACAATATCAATTCAGCTAATAGTGGATGAAGAAAAGGAGCAGCATGGTGGCACAGTTGGGCCGTGTCTGGAAGCGATAGTGCAGCGTTCCGTTTGCGTGTTGGACGCGCTGACAGCCCTAGCTGCGGCCGACCGTCCGCCCGGCGCTCGCGCACTCGCTCTCACCACGGGCACCGCGCTACTACGCCGCACGCGACAACCCTGTGTAAATAGTGCACATGTATACAGGCCTTTGCAGGTATAAACATAAATATATAGACATTGTGCATTAAACTTTTTAAACAACTGAAACAAACATTATATATATGGATATTTATATACATGATAATGCTCTTAATAATTAAGATTTCCGGTTTTTCGACACTGTTACAAACCTAAAGAATCTTTCATTCTTTTTCGGTAAGATAAGTCAGAACCATCATCATCTTTCAAAGTTTCTAACATGATACTTGACATAATATTTTACTTAAAATTTCAGTGTTTACTAGTATTTAAATTGAATGTAATAGAGGCAACCCTATTGCTGTCTCGTAGACTAGAACGGTATTTACTAATACTAGATGTCTTACTCTTGATTAAAATAATATTTTATAAGGCTAAAACTGCCTACAATATTACCGAATTTCCAGAGCTGGGCACCGTTAATAAAATAGTTAACGTTGTTAATCGTTAATCCGCTAAAAAAAGTTAGCTTCGTTAAACGTTAAAGCATTACATTTCAGAAGAATTAACGCAAGTTAATGCCCAGGTATGCTAATCTCTAATATCATAAGATGATTGAGTAAGTAAGGTAATTGAAAAGAAATTACTTAAAATTCAAAAGTGACGTCTATAAAAGAAATGACTTCATGGTTTGTGAAACAAGATACAAATTAAATCCAAACAACAGTTTATTGGGAACTTAAATTCTGCATTTAAATTCTATAAATATTTCTTTACAGAGAATGTTAATCCAATGCAATGAAAACCCAGCATCACCAACTGAAAAAGAGGAAGTGGAACTCCTCCTCACACTATGCGGTCTTGTCAGAAAGGAGCCTGGCTTAGCTAACATATTCACCACACCATTTGTAGAAGATAGAGCGAGCTTGTTAAGCATACCAGAAGATATACAGAAGTTAATACCAATAAAGACGAAAGTCCAAACACCAAAGAAGAATCCACTTTTCGAAGTTGAATTACCTGCAAACCCTTTTAAGAATGTTTCTATAGTTAGAACTAATGGTAGTGATTGTAATACAACACATAGCAGTTTAGCTGATGACGCGTCGTATAAAAGTCAGAAAACTGTATATGAAGATAACGATAAGTTTTTATTGATTGATTTGTTGCTGTCGTATTTAAATAGTGCTGTAAGTATATCTTAATATCAATATCATTCTAATTTGGAAATTAGTGGCAATTTTTATATCTGTAGTAAAAGCAATGGAACAAGACCAGAGAACAGAGACTATAAATAAGCAAACAAGCAATATAATAATAGGACAACCTACAGTTAGTGGGGTGCCTTACCTATATCAGCTAGAAGAGTGTTGTAGTGAAATTTCAGGGTGTGGCACCAAACATGACATCTTTATACTTAGAAGTGGTGACAAAGGGAATCGCACATATCATTTATTGTTACATTCAATGTTGTACACATACATTTATTTGCCACTTTATATCAGGTAGGGTGTAACTAATTTCATAAAAAAAGTAGCTTAGTTAGCTACTTCTGTAGTCTCTTAATATACAAAGGAAACATCAGACCAATGCAAACAATATTTGTTAATACAAATGTTTGTGCCGTGCGAGGAATCGAAGCCGAGACCTCTAGAAGTAAATCGGTGTGCTAAACCAATAGGTCAATGTGGCCATTGATAATGTAAAATGAATCCGCAAAATACCGGAGTTGCGGCATATGCTAAGCGGAGACCTATTTCGTACCAAAACTAGCATATAACTGTGTACATGTATTTGTATTAATAATTGAACATTAGATATTTTCAGGATAATCAAGTAGTACTCCGCGCGTGTGAGGGTATAATGATAGTGTCCTCACTACCAGAAGACGATATAGCTAACCTGGTCACCAGCTGCAGCCCGGCCTGCGAAACAATAGTTGAGAAGCTGGTAGAGAAGTATAAATGCATTCCAGATGACACGGACCCCACCGATGTTGATAATTTAAATATAACGTGGGCGTAAGTACATTTATTTTTTATTAATGTTGCAGTAGACAATTATGTTATTAATATTATAAACGCGAAAGTTTGTGACTATGGATGGATGTTAGTTACTCTATCACTCAGAAACTACTGAACGGATTTAGATGAAACTTTACAGCAACACAACTTATGCAGCAAAATAACACTGGCTATATTTTTTTATTGAAATTTAACGCGGGTGAAACCGCGGGCGTAGTTAGTGATATAATAAATTCACAGACATTTTTTTTATCTTTATTCCTCTAGTCGTATTTACGTGACACATTAACATACAAAAATGTTTTCGCAATATGATAATTTTAAAATATCTTAACTTATTTTCATATACTATTTGTGTTGCTACGTGCATCGCCTAATATTTCTCTCATATTCTTACTTTCTACCCAAAGGTTATCTGGAAGAAATTGCTTAGAGACTACCTTTTGTACTACTTTATTAAATTATTTTATAACTTATTTTATATAAATGCTTAAAGTATTGTAGTAACTAGTAATATAATGTAAAAATAAATAATGTATTCAGCAAGGAAAATAAAACAAAGCTGTCTCTTTTTAGATATGTTGCACATGATTATGGAGACAAGAGCTTCAACAGATTTCACGGGTACAGAGAGTTGACGAGCTTCTTTTCATGGTTGGATTACTGCGACACCCTCATGAAGGTAAGTCCTGACCTCCACGCATCAACCTAATATTATCTGACTTTACACATACGTTGTTTCACGTAGGAATATGCTATCACGAAAGAAAGAATCTGCATGTAAATGTAGACAAAGAGAACGAAAAAGACTACGCGCGTCCCCAATTCGCATAGTCTTGCGTTCTTCAATGGTTTTAGCGTCTTTTTATAATAATTAACTAATATTTCAAAATGGAAGACATCTGTCTATAAAGTAAAAGTATAGTCATAGAGTTATTGATAATTTATAAATGTTAACGAATCATCTAAAATAAAATCTAGAATAAAAAAATGAACGATTTGAAACATACGCGTTATCACGCGTGAAAGAGTGATCACAAAAACGAGTAAAATGCAATCAGACACGATTGATCTCGCTGGTTTTCCCGCGCTAAATCGAGCGCGCTCCTGATTGCGTGGGAAAGAATGTGTCGTTTATACGATGACAGTTATTTGCATGCACATTATTTCCTACGTGAAAGCGGATTCGCGCGTATGTACATTCTTTCTTGCGTGAAAGCCGATTGGTACGTGAAAGAGCGTAGGTGTAAAGGCAGCTGTAGAGGGTACCTCGTCAGCAAAAGTAAGCAAAGCTCCTACTCCCTCTGCCCATGCTTACGTAAACATTTTTCACTTAATGTATTGTTTTTTAACAAAGACAATGTGAGAGTTGACTTTCGTGTAAACAAGTAAGTAACTACGATGACGTAATCATCCAAACGTAATCCCATAATGCTTACGTAACACTTGATCGGCCCCTAATGGAGCAGGAGTGCCACCCGGACATCGCGGTGCACCTGTCGCGCACGTTCCGCGCGGGGTTCCTGGAGGCGGCGGCGGAGGCCGGGGGCGCGCGCCGCGCCGCGCTCTGCGCCGCGCTGCTCGCCAAGACACTCAAGGTCGTCGACGCGCCGCACCTGCTCATCGGTGAGACTGACGACTAACAAACGTACTAACCACGCACTGCCAAACGAACGCCGTACCATGTAGAGCACCAGGGGTGTCACGATACGCCACACCAATTCGACGGTGAGACTCCGCACTTACACTACATAGTACCGAACAACCACCCGGACGGACATTGCGGTGCACCTGTCGCGCACGTTCCTGGATCAGCCGCGCTGCTGGCCAAGACGCTAAAGGTCGTCGACGCGCCGCAGTTGCTCAATGATGAAACTCAGCACTTACCCTACTAAACAAACACAAAAACTATACAGTGGCAAACCACCGTACAATACAGAAGACCAGAGATGTCGCAATTCCTTTTTTTAGTTTGAGAGCCTTATCCTGTCTAATACCTCCCGTAACCGATATATATGAGTTTCTCTGTCTGGACCTGTTACACAAATGTTATCTAACCAGTAGTTTACACCTTCAAATCCTATTAAAAGTGTTTCCATAGTACGCGAAAATAACTGGTGCATTAGTTAGACCTCAACGCGTAAATACATAAAAAAAAAACAATAAACATACTACCGTAAAAGTATATTTTTGGACAATAGAACCTTCATAATGTTGTAACTTTAATTTAATTATAGTCGAACTTCGACCATAAAGTGACCACTAGTTATTACTAAATGTTGATTGCAATGTTCAGAATTCTCCAACTGGTTGGTTGGTGAGGGTGAAGTGTCGGAGTGGCCCCTACTTCACACCCTCATAAGCAACTGTCTCACAGACAACTATGACCTGACTCTGGAAACTCTACGCTTCTTCGAGGTAAGTCTACGTGTGAAATAATTCGATATTACGTGCGACTTCGGCTGCTTTTTAAAGATAAAATTTGACCTGGAAATATAGTAATATATATATGCAAAATTTCCGTTATGAGCACCTGGGTGAAACCGGGACGCGGCACTATAAAATATTATTAATATATTCATTCTAATATTATGGACGAGGAAGTATTACTGTCACTCTGCCCGTATCATTCTTTGCACAACTAACAGGTTGAACGGATTTCAATTAAAATTTGATATGAAGACATTCATATGTCTTCATATCAAATTATATATTTATCTATTATATAATTATCCTATATATTATATATGTATATATATATCATATGGCATCAGGACCATGGATACGTAGGCAATTAAGGGACGAAATAAAGTGTGAAAATTTGTGTAACAGCTAGCATTTTATACATAATTTCAACATTCACGTATCTATCATAAAAATATTAATTTGAATACATAAAAAAACAATTACAGACGATAATCGAAAAGGGCACGGAGCACATGATCCACAGACTAGTGTTGTCGCGCGTGTGCACTCGCGGGTACCTCGCGCACCACGCGCCGCACTCGCCGCCGCCCACCGACGACGACGAGCGAGACAGACTCAACGACCTCTCCACCTGGAGGGAGCGAGAGAGGAACAGGTGGGTACTATAGTAATGCGGATTAAGAGCGTTCATTGTCGAATAAATAGAAATACTGTTTATCCAAAAATGACAATGTCAAAAATAATTGTATTAAGTTGTAGTTTCTTTGTTTATTTCAGCCTGTAGAACGGGCAAGAAATTTGCCTATAGCTCTTATAAAAAATTCAACCAAATAACACAAATTCATAAAAGAAAAATATCTTACACTGAGGTAGACTATGTTAAAAGTCATTTACCTATGTACCTATGTCTGCTCTACTTTAGCCACCATGCAGCTTTTTGTTTTAAGATTTGTTTCAATGGAAGGTATAAATACGGCTACGAAATAATATGGTATGAAATCTTGACCCTCCATACAATCACATGAGTGGTCATCATAAAAATATGATGACCATGGTGCTGTTCATGTATATAAGCGTCGATTACCACTTACCTTCAACTTGTTTGCTTGATTGAAGATATATCTTAAATGCAATATTTCTAACTTCTCTCAACAACATGATAATGTGAAGCCTGCGTTGCCTTATATAGGTGAAAGTCGTTTGTCTTAAACAAGCTTTTAAACAAATTTGAGCAGCCGTGTGGCAAACACGGCTGCTCAAATTTGATTAAATTTTAAAAATAAAAAATAGATATGTAATTTTATTCACATACTTTTATTAAAAAATAAGAGTGTATTAATTACTTGAATTTAATTTCACCTATTTTCACTATGTATTAACTCTATTACTGTCTCCTGTTTTGAAAGGAATTGTCCTGGTTCAACACTGGTTTTTAAATTTGGGTTTGGCAACTCTAATATATGGCCATGTTTCAGGGAGGCGATGAAGCAGCTACAGCACGAAGGTCACGTGAATGAACAGATCAACGATATACTCACACACGAAGGTGTCGATATCACTGATCACAACGAGAGTGAGAACATACACAGAATTATCAATAGGTATGTATATATTTTAATATATATAACATAATAATAATATATCAGGACAATTCACACACCGCCATCTAGTCCCACGCTAAGCAGAGCTTGTGTTATGGGTACTAGACATCGGATATGCGAGCAAATACATATATACATTTTGTAAATACATAAATGTATATGGAAAACACTTATCAGGTCCTTACAAACAATTATACTTATTAATTCAAATCTTTGTACCCTACGAGGACTCGAACCCGCGACTATCTCCCGCTATATAAGGCGGTGAGCTAAACCGGTAGATCACCGAGGTTATCATTCATACAGGGTAAGAAAATATTTCTATCCCTTGCCCCTGAAATACGACGACCTGAACCGAGAATCGAAACCCCAACGGTACCCTCAGATTGTAGTTGTATCCGTCAGGCAGGAGTTAGTCTTCAGCCGTTCCATAAGCCCTTCCGAGGGTTTGGAGATGTCCCTCTTTTCGTCCAATAATGCTGTAAAGGACAGCTTTGGCCTGGAAGCTAGCATTATAATAGAATTAGAACTTTTTTAAGTTATTGATTAGTTTGAAATATATGTAAATGAATCAATTAAAATTATTAATTCCTGGTGATTTGCCATGATGGGCTAAATTCTGCCCTTCTAGTTATAATTTAGCGCATGCAGTAACGCCATTCCATAATCATGTCCTTGATGGGCTAGCGGTCCTGACTTCTTCCTCATCCTATAATGCTTCCCCTTCAGTTTAATTTAGCTCTGGCATTAGCACAGTGCCATATTCATCCAAAAAATAATCTTTATAATTTGTTTATATTTATGATGTTAGCAGTTAAATGAATAGATTTTTATATTTTTTTATTTTTCATACCTCGTTTTAGGCGACTTGAGCTGCTCAAAGCTAAAATAGAAGAAATAATGGCTGAAGATAACATTCCCACCGGAGATTCAGTACAATAAATATTATTTAGAAAGACTATTAGAATAGGTATTATTATTTTAGGAATTAATAGATGTACGTCTGTAATTATTGTAATATATATAGTTATAATATAGACGCGCCATAATGTTAATCAAAGAATCCAATCGGCCATTTTGTGAAATGATAAATACAATATTTATGTACAAAAATTATGCCATGAGATTATTTTTTCTAAATTTGTTAAGTATAAATAAAGTATTATATATTTTGATAGGTAAATAAAATTATTTTAATATTAAAGGTGTCCATTTTAAAAGTTATTATTTAAGCGCCAGATGTCGCTAATATTTTAATAATTAGAATAAATTATAATGTTCATTTATATGTATCGAATATGTTTTCAAGAAATATATTTTCAATGGAAGGGATATTTTAAACAGTTACTATTTCTTTTGGGTGTATTTTTTTATAATTTTAATTTTATTTATTTATTGAATTGTGTTTGATGTATTACAATTTTTGCTGCTAACAAATTCGTTAACACTATAAAAAAAGATTGTTCCAACAGTATAGAACGCAACCTGCCCTTAAAAAGCTTCAAAGTATGTATTGTCTTTAAACTATTAGGCAAAGAGTTATAAAGCCTTACTTGGAAACCTTCACCATGCTTCACAATAGTAAGAGTCGGTTTTACAATGCTATTTTATTTGTATTTACCAAGTTAAGTGGTTAAAACTCAAAATTACCGTATAAAAATCTTGCCTATCTAATAAAACGAATCTGAACACAAACAGTAACTAGGTCGGTCAGTCTGTCAAGACATGTCGTAGTAAGATAATTACTTAATATTTTTTTATTATTGAGATTTTCGTCTATGGTAGAGTGATTATATTTTTTTATTTAATAAGTTAAAGGAAGAATATGAAGAAAACAAAATATTTTATTTGGTGCTCAAATTTAATAAATTGTTTTATAAGTATATTATAAAGAGCTTATGGGTACTTATATTTTAGTTTTATAATTGTGTGATAATTTATAATCTATATGCCGTAAGGATCTGTGATTGTTGTACATTTTTGAATGATTTATTTTTACGATGTATTTGTTACATATCATTAAATGTTTTATGAGTAAACAGTTGTTTTATTGGCCCCTTTTTCTTGCAGTTTCCTGTTGCTGCTGCCCCGCGCGATTCTCTCCGACCCGGTGGGGTCTGATTATAATCATTACATACACGACGCCCATAGACATTATCAGGTACCTAATACAATAACAAATAATGATAGATAAGATATATAAAACTATTGAGTTAAAAGGCAAACACTCAAGGTACAGTAATATAGAAAAAAATAAGTAAATACACAATTATAAACACAAATAGTGATGAATCTTTTTATTTGCTGTAAAGGGCACACACAAGGTACGAGTTATAAAGAAAATGAGGAAATACGAATGGTCAGTTACAAAATACAATATAAGTGCAATATATAACAATGTAGTGCATTTTTTATGTAATTGATATATTAATAAGTGCACCCGCCTGCGAACCTTGTCTTTTTTTATGTTATTTAATTTAAAGAGAGTAATAGGGAAACATTAGTGTAACACGAACTACGTAAATTTAAAAAAATGCGATGATTACTTCGTAGAGAACTTTAAAACTAATTGCCTAAAATAAAATTACGGTTCAAGAAATCGGTAACGTAGGTACGATACCGATTTCTTGAATCGTAATTTTAGCACTACCACAGTTTGGAACGTTATTAGAATATTTGGCATTTACTCCTGTCAATTTAGTTTCGGAGATTAAAAAGCAGAGCATATGTTATTATAATGGTATGTATGGAGGACATACAGTTACATTCCTATAGTATATATAGTTTGAGTTCAACTTCAAATTAGCAAGTTTGTTACAACAGTTCAAGATTCAACATGCCGCCACTTATTGTGTTTACAAATCGTAGATATTTAATGATATTCACACATTTACAGCTTTGGTTGGACATAACATCAACATTCAATTGGCCAACCGACCACAATTATATCGACAACACAGCCAGTTCCACGCATAGTTACGACAGTCGACCGGAAGCGGATATACACCTAGATGAAGCGTACCAATCGATAAAAACCGATAAACCCAACTCCATCGAAAAAATCGGTAACTACTGGACCGAAGAGAAATGCCAGTTCACGCAAAAACTGGTATTAAAAAGTAAAGATTCCATATCAATGCCTGAAGAAGAGTTTGACGAAGGTCCATTTTTAAAAATGGTGTTCACTTTGCTATCGACCATGCCAACGCAGCCTTATCAAGTGAATTTGCATTTGACATCCATTATTTCGAAGTTAGCACTAATGCCACATCCAAACCTACACGAGTATCTTTTAAATCCAATGTTACAAACTGGGAAAAAGACACCGACTCTATTTAAAATACTCCAGGACTTAGCAAGGAGGTTGACTATGGAGATACCGAGGATAAGAAATTATAAAAGGATTATTGAAAATACGAGGTTGCAGCTGATGAGTGAGGACCCTAGTTATGATGAAAGGTATTGTATTCATTTGTTTTTTATAGCACTACAAACAACAAGGGGACAAACAAGCTTGCAGCTCACCTGATGGTAAGTGATTACCCCCCTCCCTTGAGAATCTGCAACACCAGGGGAATCGCAAGTGCGTTGCCGGCCTTTTAAGAAGGAATGAGCTCATTTCTTGAAGATTTCAATATCGTATCAAGCAAAATTGAACGTCATTGGATATATCAACGCCATAATGTTCATTGAAATTTTTAATTTGTGCCTCTATTTATTTTTTAAATATAACGCCATCTAACGGTAACAATATTGAACTTAAAAAAATAGAAATATAAGTTATGGTGATTTTTTGCTTATGGTGTTTCCTGTTTAGCGTTACTATTGGAATTTGTTTAACTCCATGGTTTCTAACATTATCCATGTTGTGTATTTTTTTATTATTTGTCAAAAAATATATATGTTTTCTTATTAAAAACTATTTAAGACCAATTTTATAAATGTTTTTAGGGCCTTCAAAGTCAAGAGCAAAATCATTTAAATACATAAAACACTTTTAAGAATTTAGTAACTAGTTATTATTCCTTTTTCTATACGATATTAAAATTTGAAATGATTTATTCTTAAGAATGCTTGGACCTATAGTTAATTATGAATACTCGTATATTCTTGCAGAGACGACCACAATCAACTGGTGGAGAGTTTGATAGTTCTAGAAGAATTCTGCAAGGAGTTGGCAGCTATAGCATTCGTCAAGTATCAACATTCGATGCATATTCATAGATAAATTTGTGGCCTTTATTTGTTTGAAGATTATTGGATATACAGAGATTTTGTTGCTATTAATAAAAAATGTTACGTTTCGACAGATGTCTCGTGTCGTTTTGTCTAAATTTTTCTTTTTTTTTTCTTTTCGAATTTCTTCCTTGGCTATACGTAAAGGGTATAAATAGCAAATGAAAACCGAAACCAAAAACTAGGTTTTGTTTAAAAATTGTATCTATATATCAGCTGTCTAGTACCCATACACAAGATCGGCTTAACTTGGGACTAGATGGCGCTGTGTGACTGTCATATGATATTATTATTAATATTGTCACTGGTTTTCTTAACTTTTATGACTAATCCTATAGAATATTGGCAGCAAAACCTCTGTTATCGAATGTCTAAAAACTATTCAATTTAGAATTAAAATCGTACAAGATAGACTCTAGAGTCACATGCATACACAGTAAAAAATACCTTATCTTTTACTCAGGTCAGCGCTTACGAATTTTTGTTATATAATTTTACTAATTGTTTTAATAAATTATTGTTATTGTTTTATTTACTTTGAAATTTTAGCAGGTGGTAGATGTAATGTCTCGCCCTCAATGTGGTGAATGTTTCGCATAGTTTAATAGCTTGAGAAGTCTTTATATAGCTTTTGTGATCTTATATTTCAAAGATGAGGGTAAGAAACTCTCTGTATAAAGTTCGAAAATGTTGAATATTCATATATATTTGTAAATATACCTAAGTACTTTAAATTACAAAATACGTTTAGTTTATTATTGAGTGGAGAAAGGACTAGATTCTGGTTTCATTCGAATGCTCATAAAAATTTACTTAAATCTTTATCAAAATTAGGTTCTTTATATTAGAACTTAATAAGATCCATTAATTTTCAATTTCTTCTCTCCAAATCTGCTAAAAGGAGGCGAGTTAAGTTTTTTCGGTAATGCTCTCGAAACAGAAGGAATTTATTTTAATTATTCATTTTGCAATACATTTTTCCCGCCTATTCCATGTTTTGTTTTATAGAACAAAATATCCTTGTGTTGATTGAATTGTTTCATTGTTTGAACTTTATACAGAGAAGAAATATTACGAATTGGGGTGCTAAATTAATTAAGTAAATTTCACCATAAATTCTAGTCGATGTATTTAACATTCCTGCAAATTGTATCTGTACATAATATTAACTACATTATATATACACATCCAAAATTCGCTATAAAATAAGGAATCAATTGCTATTATATATTTTCATATACCTTCATAATTAATTCTAAACTGTTGTATTACACGTATATATTAATAATAATAATATATTCGCCACAATGCGTAACTGATAAATGTATCCAGTGCAATATATAAAATGTACGTTTAACAAGAATTGTTGTCTAATGTGAATGAATTTAATGATAATATATTCGAATATAGTATTTATTTAATTTCGTTAGATCATGTAAAACGTAGTGATTACTTTCTCAGTGATATCATTGTCACAGATGATGTTCCAATTCTATTTTTAAATTTCAATAATAGAAGTCATAAGGCTATGTGTGGTGTTATTTTGGCTAATGGTAATCCAAACCCAAAATACGTCGCTGGAGCCAAATTAAGAAAAAAACTGTTATTTTTTAACCAAATATTAATAATTTTATTTTTAATATATTAGTGCTCAAATTCATGTTTTTATACTTAGTAGGTTAATTCTGTTGTGAGCATGTCTGTGTCATTAATTTAGTATCTCTTGATAAGTGTTGTTCTGTTCTGTAAAAACCTATAGAATGAAGTGAGACATTTTAAGCTGTTTAATCTCATTACTGCCGACATTTGCCTGATGAATAAAGTTCATTATTGATATAAATTTGTTTGATTTCAATAATCTTGTATATAAGAAATTACTTTACTGGTATTGTGTACAAACTACAAACACGCTTGAGCAACCTTGGTGTTATATATTTGAAATACTCCCTCATCCTCAAATGGTCACGAGTTCGGTCCTCGCTTAACAGTAGACATTCATATAACATACTGTGTAATTTACTTGCAATTATGGACACTTTCGACATACAAAACACTCGCACTAATAAATGTATCTATACGTCCCTGTAAAATGTTAATGTTGGGGATGTGAAGAAATCCTGCCCTCTGGTGGACGCGGAGTACAACACCGGCGCTGTTATAAAAAGATGGTGCAATAATAATAAATAATATAGGAACAGTTTTGTATTTTTATTTATTTTTCGAATACACAAAAGTGATTACACAATATAGGCAACGGTAGAGATATATTTAAACGCCCTGAACCAGCCTCCTAATGCAGGGTGAGGAGTAGGTGACGAAATCATTAAAATACCACCGAATATCATTACATCATTACATTAATTATTATCCACATACTATATTATATAAAACATGAAAATAATAAAGTTCTGCTTAATTCTTTAAGTAAATCCTGGTTTAAGTATGTTATCCTGAGCGAAAAAATAAGGAAATAAACGCATAGTTGCGCAACTCGTTTATTATAAATAATAATAAATGAAGTTATTCATTTGTTGTTAGTACTAGTCATCTTTTTTATTATCTTCTTGACGACGTAATAATAAATCCCATCAAAAACATAAATGTGAAATGATAGCCGAGTTTAATATTATGATATATGCCTTGATTGTTGACTTCTACGACAAAAGAGGTGAGGTCTAAATGGGTGCCAAGTTCAATGGTCTGTCCTGAAATGTATTTATAACAATATAAAATATCACTTCTTATAACTTAGGATAATATACTGTAGCCTAAGGTCTAACTTGGCCAGTTCTCATATACCAATTATTACTTTCGATTGCTAGTTACTACTAATAATAAAATAGGAACCGACAAGTAACTTGCGAAGGCTACAGTATATTTCGTATATGAATAATCATCTTCTTGGAGGTATTAGAATGAACATAGGATACTTAAAAAAAACAAATATTTTTGATTCAATGCGATCGAAGCCGCGCTTAAAAGCTAGTTCTATATAGGATATTAGGACAGATATGGTTTAAAATGAAAAGCAGTCATAAAATGCAATTGTGATTATATTTTCTTCAAAATTAAATAATGCATATACAAATGTAGTAACCAATGAAACAAAAATGTTAAAACTATGTACAATCCTTCAAATTTACATCATGAATATTCGCGGGAAGAAATCACTGTTTTTTTCTACACAATTTCTTGAAATTTAATACATATAAAAAACAACATTCGTTGAGAAAGAGATTAAGAAACTTAATAATTAACTTATCACAGAATAAAATGGAATCCTAACAAGATTTATGAATAATATGTAGAAAATTATAAATATAAAAAATAATAAAACCTTCATCTTCCCGCAGATCAGCGCATACAACATACACACGCTTTCATACATGCTACACTTGATTATACATACTATAAAACATGTTATTTATATTAATAATATAAAATAATCCGCACATAAAAAACATATATCGATTCTTAGTTTAGCCAGTCGACACTAGATGGCGCTGTTTCTTATAATGCAGATTTGCTAGGTACTTGAAAGGATAAAACATTATGTCTTATACGATTATAACTAGTTTATGGTACTTGTACAAAACCAAAGGGGTTTAACAAAGTATTGTACTATATTCTGTATCGATACCAGAGCTTTACAGTAAATGAAAATGCTTCGATCTCAAGTGCAGTCTACCAACTGGAAATGAAGAGACACGACTGATCCCTAGAATATCAGCGCTAACGAGTTGTAAGTAAAACCGGTACTATAAACAATCTCAATAAACTCATATCTATAACAAACTCAAGCCCTAACAGGCGAGCTACTTATCATTGTTCACGGAGAATAAAAACTTCATGTATTTAACACATTTTCTGCCCCATAACTGCAAGGAAAGGTTGATATATATTATAAACCTTTCCCGTTTAACGCGGTCTATATCTATTATACTTTATTACTTGTAACACAGAGACGGCATATAAAATTGATTCAAACCACTATCTCATTTCATATTTTGAGTGCCAAAAAGTATGTCCAAAAGTCCCTGCGCAGGCATTCTAAAGAGATCAAGCAGCTTGAATCGATTTTGTAGGCCGTCTTTGTATTACTTACAAGCGACAAAATATAATTAATACAATTGAACGTATACAGAGCTTACAGAATGTTTTATGATACGTCTGACGATCGCACATATTAAAATAATAATGTAACTTGGATTATTAAATTGTTTTGGATTTATTACAAATAATGAACTATATAATTTTGTTTGTAATATTATTTTAGACTAAACGCCTGACGAAAGCACATATTAAAATAATGATGTAACTTGGATTAATAATTCATTTTGGATTTATTACAAATAATAAACTGTAATTTTATTTGTAATTATTTTTAATAAGATACATTACATAGACAAGATTACGAGTACTGGCAACTAATAAATTTTAATATTTCTTTTGGACCTAAGAATGACTGCTTATTAAAATAGGATATTCCTTATAGCTTGTTACAGCATACTATCAAAGTTTGGTCTGTTGGTTACAGATTAGAAATCGCCTCATAAATATTAAATATCATATAAAATTAAATAAATTAATAAGAGAGACGACAGCAGGCACCCTCTGCCATGTTGGTTTTAAATATACTTAGCGAAGTGCGAGTTTATAAAATATTGAATTGCTACAATATCAGTAGTTGTCCACCCTTATGACTGGAGGGGGGAGGGGATTGTTAATAATGTGGACTTATGATCGCCACTCCACGTGGTTCCCCCTGGAAACCATCGTAATAAATTCTTGGCGAATTTGTCACAATGAGGTCAGGTCATGTTCATCTTACCATCTTGCACGGGTCCCCACCAGCGTAAACCGTTTACAGAGGCAGTTGCACCATTTAATTAATATTCATAAAACAAAACCTGACTATGTAATTAACCTATCAACTGTCCCTTTAGGATTACTTGAGGATTAATAAGGATATATATATTTTATTAAATAATGACTAATCCATGATATTTTTCAGTAATTAAGGTTTGGGCAGACGAAAGATTTTCCTTAGTGGTGAACAACATATGTATTCACTGGATAATTGCAATAAAAATATTCACACAGCTTTACTCAGACAAAAAGAACGTCTAGAACTATTATACGTCTACGCAAAACCTTGTACATCAAAATAGTTATAACTGTATATATTGATATATAAACAAATGACTAACTAGTTCTAACACAAAAAAATATTTTAGGTGTGAATCAAAATTTTAGCTCCAACTCATACAACTGTGGGCACAAAGCCAATTAGTAACATAAATAATTATTAATTAACATAGTTCAAAGCAAAATCCTTATACACAAAGTTACTTTAGGCTGACTGGTTACTTGTCAATTTACAAAATAACATATATACACAACGTGTTTAACAAATTGATTCATTTATAACATGATACATTTTTTACCTATTTTGTCATTTTCTTTCCAACTATCTAAAAAAATAAAAAATGTATATATATATTGTAATAGAACGGGCTTTATAGAGATACCTTGCTATGTATTGACAGAGCTGATCAGTATTGCCAACCTTAAAACATTTAAATAATTACGAAGTGAGAAATCACATTTATTGGATCAATTTTCGCTGTATTTTGACCAATCCGAAGGTCTAAATATCGTACATAGTGAAGCCCAAAAATATCGTAATTGTAAAAGGATCCTTATGTGGTGGGTATCCCTATAGCTCAGTATTTACTTGTTCATGTTCCACACTACACAAACAGTCAAGCCACAGATTTGCAATTGAACAGATATTGGAGTTGCATCTACTTTAAATATTACTTGATATAACAGTTATATAAAGAAAATCTGTGTGCTAAATGCATTAAATAACCTAAACATAAAGTGCGTCAAAGCGCTTAAAAAAGTTTTCACTTGAAAAAGTTACAATAATTAATTAAATTAGCTTTTGTAGATAAAGGCAAATAGTATATAAGTAAATTAAAGTAGATCAATAAATTGTGGCATTTGTCTATCTGTGTAGTGTTAACAGGCTTAAGGAGCAATATTTAAAACATTTCTCATATTGAATGTGTCATTAACAAAACTACATTTATATATATTATATACATTTAATTTCTAACAACTTCCTATTAAAATTCTACTAAGAGTTCGTTTATTTATAAAATATACACGATTATATTAGAAGACCAATATATTTGTAGGCAAAATGGATATTCAGAAACGTATATTTTCATTAAGTATTAATTATATTACACACATAATTATTATGTCAAGATTTTAATATTTTTACCTGGAAATTTACTTTGCAGATTTTTTTTATACTTCTAGAATATTCTATATCCGCAATGTGATCGGAACCAATTACTTAATTACCAAAAATCTGTAGAACTACAAGTATTTTAACCAACAATATAATTGGAATTTTAAAATAACCATGTATTAAAGACAAATTAAAATATATTAACAAAATTGTACCGGGCGTATCATTAAAATCCGAACTATATATTTATTACATTTGCTTATCTAATTATAAAATATAAGGCCCAAACACATTCAAACCAACGTCCAGCGTTCTCATACCCTATATTTTGATACGTGATTTTATAACTAACCCAGATGTATAACCACAATTTAATAGTTCGCAATGGTTTATAATAATAATCTTTTACGATTGCAGCCGTAGTGAATTTGGTTCAATAATTTTTCAAATGTTGCCTAACATATACAATGCTATACTAATGTGATAATAATTCTATGTTTATTTAGCCCGTTCGACACTCCCTACAATAAACAAATGTATGGAAATTCCGGCTGCTTTATTGCCCTATTGAAATCGACTTTAACGTGTTACCATTAATATCGATTTCAGAACGTATAGATTTGAGGCTACTTAGAATTTTTAAAGGAAGGCATATCTTCCTTTAAAAATTAAAAATAGATTTAAGATGTTCCACACAATTTATTTCAGGACTTGTAGGAGTGCGTGCTCTTATAACGTAGTGATTACTTGCTCAGTGAGTGTATCTGTATCCAGCATATAAACTGTAACAATGCCTGCTGACATTCGTATTCCATAGTTAATCTATAAAATTTCCCGCCAAAAGTGTTCAATGAAAGCATAATTATATTATTCTATCTAATGAAACAAATGAACCAACTATATATTTTTGTTTCTATTATTTCTAAAACATAATTAGTACTCGCATTGCTTTATTTCTTTGCACAAGTTATTACTTTATAGTAATTTCTATATCTATAAAGTAACGCAGTTTTTAGGTTATTTTATATCATTCTTATTTTTTTTTAATGTTGCGTGATTAGGATTTCTAGTCGCATTTCTACATGTTCAGACTCTTAATCACACAGTATTTGGGATTAGCGTGTCCTTCAGCTAATATAATAATTAAATAAATATGTTTTATATTTATTAGACTAGTCTACTATAAAGTAGTTTAAATTAAAAATTGTATTATTAACAATTTAATCACAAACTGATATTTATTAATTATATTTTGACAAGTATGTTCGTAACTAAAATATCACGATTTTTTTTAATTCGAATATGAATTTAGATCGAATTTTGTTTTTAATAATAAATATCTATGACAAAGGACTACTGATATGAATGTATCGCCAGAAAAAAATATTTGTACTATAATGTGAATTATGATTCAACTTATTAGTGATTTTAGCAAACCATTATCGAAACAGGACTATTAACATTAAATTAGGTATTAAGTACGGATGTTTTATTTCCTTGACACAAGAAGATCAAAGTAATGAATCCATAAGGATTTATTAAATTAAAGAAAATAAAACTTTGTTTATAAATGTGAAATTCTTCTCAAAACAGGTTTTTTCTCTGCTGTCTCTGACCCGTAAATATGGCAATATTTACTATGTTTATTTTGTTCGACATTTATCATTAGGTACTTTTTCTCTATAAACAGATTAAAAAACAAAATTTGCTTTCGTTCTGAGAAACGGGTATCAAACCTGCAAACCATAGAGGAGACAGCCTACAGATCAATAGTTTGTAGCTTTTATAACCGATACAAACACTTTATGTTCATGAGTTTGTTTGTATTATACTGAGTGTTATTTTTTACATAATTTTTAATATTATATTATGTGTATATTTAAGTATCCGTTGTTTAATTGAATTAGAAAGAAGCCGTACTTAGTTTGATACTAAATCTTTCTCTAGCTATTAATAACTGGGCCCAGAATGTATGAAACCATCTATATTCTATATTCCTATACATGGAGTAGAAACATGACAATAAATTAACGAAATATAAAAAAAAATTGGTGTAGTTCCGTCACTATATACTTTATATGTTGTTTGTTGTTGTTTCATTTTAAAAATTTAACTATAGAAGATAAAAAATTAAAAGTTTTAGCTTAACGAAACTACACTGTGAGAAATAATTGTTTTTTTTTTATTTCATAATTACATATGACAAAGGAAGTTCCATTCTCGAGTTTTTTTTTAATTAATTTAACGAAATATATAGGTGTTTTTTTAATATAGCTACGGTACAGTGAATATCAGATTAGTAAATACACATTTGGAGTTTTTTACGACTGATGGAACCACTGTTAAGTCACTATACAATTAATATAAAATGCGCTATACTACATCATACATACATATACATACAATTGGTTTTTCTATATCAGGGTCATCGTGGAACTATCACCATTTTGAAATAACAATATCTGAAAAAAGAAAATATTATTTAATTCAGTATTATCTGTGCCTGTGATTCTAAAACGGCTCAACCAATTGAAATGAAATTTAAACAACCTTTCTGTAACATTAATGTTAATTTAATTCTCGTTTAGAATAGTTTTTATGCAATGGAAATAGTAGACAAGTTGACTGTCTACCTGATGGTATCTGGTAATTGTCGCCTATACTAACAGCACTACCTTTGGTTATTATTTTTAAACATCCATAGGTCGTTGGTTTATATCCGGCTCGAAGGACCAAAGAGTGTCGGTTAAGTCTACAGTTCTCAGATAATGATTGTTATGCTTGATGATTAGTGGTTTCGTTAAATAAAACCGCCTGGGTTGAATGCTACTTGAACACAGATTTCATTACTAGAGAAATATTAATAATAGCGCGCAGTAAGCAGACATGTGCGGTTGCCCATGCAAATACTATAATTATAATTGCATTATTACTATTGTTTTTCTTTTCAATATACTGACCAGATTATCGGCGCTTCACCACCAGGAAAAGAAAGGCGACTTGTGTTGGAATCGTTGCTGGAACGAGTCGAAGAAACGCGTCGACGTAGAACTGCCGCTCTTGGACCTGCAAACCGATGGCCACGGTAAGATAAAACTATAGGCAGAATAGGCAACTGTCTATGGTCCCCACATTGGTTAGCGATTCCGGGTACGTTAGAAAAACTAATTGAAAATGTCTCCGACAGAACTATCTAGTATCGAGTAGTAGAATTAATATTACGGTATTAAGTATGGTACTTTATTAGTAAAGTTATTGGTTTTTACTATGCTTTTAATTTTCGGTTAAAAACTCTTCGCGCTCTTCATAAAAAAGCCCTGTTTATAAAATATTCTGTATTATATAAATATGAAATATCATTTAGTAACTTGATTTAAATTTTTTAAACAGAGGGTGGGCCTTGTTGACTTATATTATTTCGTAAACTATTTTAGAAATAGTTTCTCAATTCGGCTTTTCATATGTCTATCCTTTACTGCGTTTTTAATTTATTCATCTAAGAATGATAATTTAGACGAAATGTTAGCAAAAGACTTATTATTAAAAACGATGTTTTTAAATAAATTTGATTAAGGAGCTTCCAAACTCGAGTGTATCATATAATAAGTGTGTGTGTTAATTACGTGAGCCTATTTTGACGATGACTCGACCCATAAATGGTGATATGTCTTCAGATCTAACTCGACACTATCTCCTTTCTTAACAACACGAGCTTTATCAAAAGACGTATTTTAGAGAAACAATTGAGTGGCTCGGTTTTAGCAATATTTTTTTTATAAAACAGTTGACATCTGACCTCTCTACGATGACGGCCGGCATCTGCACCAACTGCACTGGACTCTTGTTATCTTTGAGCGCCTGCGTTAGGTTCAACACTTGACCGCGCATCACTGACATCTGCCGCTCGAACAGTCCCTTGTCGAATCCTTTGTCTTGCTGTTAAACGAACGAAACACTCATATAATCAATCGAAAACAACAAATCTTTTGTATAATAATATAAACTCACTCTTTATCGTGAATAAAAGTAAATACCTATTTACAAAAACATAATTTAATATAAATATGCTAATAAAATCTTGTCGAACGGTTTAGCACACTGCCTTAATTCCGATGGACGCGGGTTCGATTCCTCACAGGGCACAAACATTTGTATTCATGAGTATGATCGTTTGTGCTATCGGTTTCGGTGTTTTCTATGTAGAATATGTATCTTTTTGCAAAAAAACTATGTATTCATATAGTACTATGGGTACTACAACAATACAGGCTTCAGCTGGCTTAACTTGGGTCTAGATGGCGTTGTGTGTATTGTCGAGTGATATTATTATTAATTAATTATAAATAACATTATGTTCCCTGAATAAAAATAAATAAATAAATACTAACTTTGAACAGTATATGCAACTCATCACACAGCTCCTGTACAAAATTCATGTCCGACAACAGTGGCAGTACCAGCTCTCTGAAACAAGAACACATTACAACAGTTGAGATGACATGTAAAAAAATATACTTTGTAGCTTAATAAAGACCCGATCATGTCTGACACATTACACATGGCACATGTACAATCAAAACTACAAAATGAGGGGGGAAGGGGATTGCTATCAATGTATCATGTCAGGTGGACCTCCACGCGGTTCTACCTTGAAACCATCGTGATAAAATCCAGGAGAATTTATTACGATTGGCCAACTCACCTGACCTCATGTTCATCTTATCATGCTCCACTGGTGCCCCGCCAGCGTATACCGTTAGAGCAGGGGCGTGCATAAAATGAAAGGGAGTAAAAGGAAAAATGTAAGTTAGAAGTCCAATAAAATGGTGTCCTCATAATATAGTGATGGTCCACTATATTAAGAGTCCAGCGTTTTATTAGTCTTATAGGGAAAGATGGGTAAAAACAAAGATCTTACAAAAAAAGATGAGGAAAGCCTTTAGCTAAAGAGGTCCATATTTGTGCCTACACTTGTAATATTTCTGTCAACACCTCGGTACCCTTCCATTAGTTTTCGTCTCCACATAACATAGATTAAGTTCAGTGATATAGTCAGTCCAATAAACTTACTAATGTACAGCAAATAGTACAATTATTACACCTGTAAACTCACTACCTGATCCTACAATAAATTAAGTAGCGACACCTCATCACATCATATAAAATGATACAGTGATGTGGTGATAACCAATTGCGCTACATATTCTTTCATAGAATCCTTGTCCAGTATTCACAAATACCACAAAAAAAAAACAAATAGGTAAAACAGTTCTAAAGTTGTCTTGATAATACTCACTTGGTCTCATGACTGAAGGGTTGCTTTGCTTGCGGCAACCACGCCCAGTGGTACGGGTATGCTCGCCACGAATCCGGATGTTTGAATGGGAACGCGAGTCCATTGTCTATGGCAGCTATTCGTATTTCTGAACTCGCCCATTCCTGTAACAATAATAAATTTCGTAAAGGATTATTAGAATAGAATAGAATAGAAAATCATTTATTCAAATAAACTTACATTGAAGCACTTTTGAATAGTCATAACATTTTTTTTTTTTAATCTACCGCTCATTCGGAATGCTGTCTCATCACAAGAAGAACAAGCAAGAAACTTGTGTGTTGCTCTTTTAAATAATTTATTCTTACTTACAATTTAAGTTTAAGTGTTTGAATACATAACCAACTGGTTAAACAATTAATAAGAGGAAATCAGTCATAGTGATTAGAGCAGACCAGTCCCTACAAGCAGCACCCGTTCACGAGTATGACGGATGATACAGCCATCACTGCGCTCGACCATATTTTAGGGAGCTGCGCGGCCCACCACGCCGCCACAAGTCTGGACATTTTAGCGAGCATGACTACTCAAAACACCAGACCACGTCATGCGCGGGAAATTGCCATCTGATGTTTATAGTTTTTTCATTTGCATCAATTAATACAAAACCCGCTACGCTTTCATATTTCTAAAATAATTGAATCAAGAAAGCAATGAGATAAACAAATTATAACGTTGTATGCTAATAAACTAATTATTTACTTGATATGTTGTATTCTTATATATACATAGACAACACGATAACATACAAACAATCATACTTATTGTAAATACTCATAGTAGTATTAACATAGTATACAGGGGGGAAAGAGATTATTAGTATTGCGTGTGAGGATGAATAATGTACTTAGTAAGTAAGTAGTATATATGTAAATATATGTAGATTGATATTATAACAAACGAGACAGTATACACTCAAACATTGTACCTATTTGCCTAACAAGCACCACCCTAATATTTGCGCGCGCGGGTCGCAGTGTCCCTATTATTAGCAATGTCAGATCTCTTTGCGGTTCCCCCTGAAACCATATATTCCATTGAATTTCTAACGATGGGCTAACTGATCTGACCTCATGTTGATCTTATCATCTTTCACTGGTGCCTCACCAGCGTAAACCGTTAGCGCTGGCGGGTGCACCATTCCATTATCATCCGAAAAAAAAACAACATCGCATACAGCTATGACGCGCTCGTCATCCTACTGCGGCTGCGTTGCAATATTGTGCATATGTGGCGCATTACGTTTGCGCGGGAAAATAAACTACAAAAATGGCTTCTTCAGCAGCCTTTTAATTCTCTTGTGCTCCTATTTCTTAATTTTTTTATACTACTTTATATATCTGCAATTTACTTTTATGATTACAATTCACAACAAACCAGAATATAAATACAGCCCCTAGTAACATACCTAACACTTATGAACACATGTTTGTACCGTGCAAGGAGTAAACCCAATACTACTATAAATACTGATAAATAAACTGAGAGGCGCGCGCGGTTTTTCTCGATCTCTTTATCTACAATTATTTCATTCTTTCCTGCAGATTTATCCGCAAGAAAAATAAATTTGTAAAGAAAAATTTACATACAGAGGGCTCCCTCAATGGGATATCCTGGTTGCTGGCCGGCGCGTCGTACTTGATGAGCCAGTTGTCGTTGCCACGATCCGTGTTCCGTATAATGTAGTCCAATACAACGAGACGCTCGAACTGCAACTGGAATCTAAAGAAACAAATTGTTTCACGCGCGTGAAATTTATAGACTATATTGGATTTTAATGAAACGTTAAGTAAAGTTTGATTAAAATCCATTCAGAAGTTTTCAAAATTAATTATTTTCTGAGATAAGCGAGCACAAACACAAACAAAAAATCTAAAAACTATTTTGTTTTGTCTCTGTAACATAAGTACAAATTGTATAATTTTTAAATAATATTACATATGTATAAACACAGCTGGTTTCGAACTTACTTCCTCATGACATGTGGGGGCGGAGGATCTTGTTCGAACCTCCTCAGCCAATAGTCAGCGTCTTTGTAGCCTTCCACAAACAGCTGGAATGATCCCATCTAAAAAAAATAGAAAAAATTATAATAACACAAAAATAACGACGCTCACCTCAAACAAATAAAGAATTTAACAATAAACGTATGTTGTGTATGACAATGAACAACATAAACTTTAATACATTGGTGATCTACTATTATACAGCATCGCCACTGTGTAAGGCGATCTATCTCAGCATTATGCCGTGACTATAGACAACACTGATTTGTTATGGATATGACAAACATACATGGCAATAGTCAATTTATATGTATGTTAGTCCATAAAGTATTTATAATATGGACCGAGTTGCCTGAAATAAATAAATAAAAATAGATGTTCATGCACGGAATTTTCATTTGACATTAGACATAGACACTTAAATAAGTATGTAATTTACAGGATTTTTTTAAGATATACAGGCGCATAAAAAATAAATTCAGTTGAATTTCTTGCAAGTTCTTTACAATTGAATCGGTAAACTGAACTGGACGGTAACTGGAGGGAAAAATATTAATCCAAAAACCTTTGACGTTCAAAAGCTACAAAACTTTTTAATTAATAAATAAATGACGTTCATAAGCGGCTAAAATGTCCTACATGAATGACTGCATTTTTAATTTGATTGTATTTCTATTCTACATAATATTAGCAGGATTTTGGTTGCTACTATTTCTTCTTAAATAAATATTTTTTGCATGTCTCATTACTTTAATTAGGATTCTTATATATTTAGTTTTATCTAAATTCTGTAATACTGTTGTGATAATTATTCTCTGCACTCCCTATGGTTGCCTGGTAGAAAATGCCGCATGGTGTTAAGGCCGCCAAACTGTACTATATTTTGTATTGTGTGCATTGAAGTTAAATAAATAAATAAATAATATCTTATTTAAAAAGCTTTTGATTTCAGATGCGATCTTAACGCCTGATGTTATCCACTTGTTTTATTTTGTGTACAAATTTTATAATAACATATATGAACTTACCTTTGGTGGAAGACCCATTCTGTTGAACCTAAGGTTTGGGAACTGCTCCGTGATGGCCCTCTTCAGCCGCGACCTCTCGCGGTCTATCCGCAAATAGTTGAACGTTTCCGACACTAGTTTCACTACCTGAAAGTGAAAATAATATCTGTATAAAGTATCTCAGTGCGACCAATTTGAAGGAGGAAATAGCTTGCTTTGTAATTTGAGTTTCGGTTTAAAAAGATTTTATTCAACATTTGATAATAGCTAAAAATATTATAAAAAAAAGTACCAGTTGAGTTTGTTGCCAGTAGTTCTGATATAGTAATATTGATAGTGTTAAAAAAATATGGCGCCTATAAGGGACCGAAAGGTCTTATGTGAATAAATAATTTTTGTTTGACTTTAAAAACGATAATAATAATATCTCTGGACAATTCACACGTCATCTAGTCCCAAGGTAAGCAGAAATTGTGTTAAGAGTAAGCAACTGGACAACTGTCATTAATACATAGTTTTTTTTTTAAATATATACATTATATATATAGTAAACACCCAAGCTGACATAAACAATCATGCTTATGAATACAAATTTTTGTACTGTGGGAGGAATTGAATCCACGACCGTTGGCTGTAAAGCGATGTGCTAAACAGCTAGACCACCAAATCAATCACAATGGGATATAACAGTAAAGTTAAAGGGTTTGAACCCTCCAACTTTCCGGGTTCAAACATAAACACACCTTACTTTCCCGGAATGGCCACGCATGAGCACCGGAATGACAAAACTGTGTTGCGTGTCATAACAAAAAAAAACCTAAAATTAGACTATGGTTGACATTTACAATCACATTAGATATCATAAAAAAAATATTCATAATAAGTATTATATTATGATACTAGCGAATGATAATTATTTTAATTTTTACGTTATGATGCGGTATTTTTTTTAAATTGAATTAATATCAGTTGATTATTACAAAAACAGTCTTACAGGATTGCATCGTGACATATTTTATAAAATAATGAATTGATAACAATATCACAACATTTTTATCTAAGAATATGTGATGAGGTCAACTAACACTACTATTTAGATATACCTTTATCGTAATTAAGTATTGTGCTAGTAATTATTTCAATTAAGACTCTTTTATGATCATTGGCTTGTTTGTTTCAAGTCTACTCATAAATATTATTTCTTATAGTAGATATATAATGCAGACGAAGAATTATTATACTTATAAATAAATATAAATTATACTATTATTTTTTGAGGGTTTTTGGCTATTGTCTTGGTAAGACCTGTAGCACTACGACCTACATAGATCTATTGCGCTAGTCCTTTTTCAAAGCCACTAGGTACCACTAGGCCCGTCAGGGACAAGTATGAAGGATATTCTTAAGAGCGATGGTTTTTATCTCCTCAGGATTTAGGGTATACTTTCCAAAGGAGATATTTCGTTTATGCATGAGTGGGTTACAACCACATAGGATGTGTAATGGTTTTTCTCCTCTGCTTGATAATAGTATATTACTATATAGTATAGTGCGTTATAACACACGAGATGGGATTTCAGCCTTAATATAAGCACTTTTGAATAGTTATGTATTTTTTATTCTACCACCTTTTATATTTTTTATACTACGATTCTATTGAATTTTAAACCGCGGGCACTTCTAGTAAATCATAGTTATTAGATCAGGCGCCCTACAAGCAGCACCCGTTCACAAGTACAGTGGACCCGCGATAATCCGGCCCCCCTTGTAATCCGACATAGTCTATTATTTATTATTGAATATTACTTTGACAATATACCTCAGAGTGCATATACATACATACATATATAACATAGAATCTTATCACTGGATCTGTAATTTGTCGGATTACGAGATACTCTTTTGTAAAAAATTCCGGACTATAGGGGGGGGACCCTTAGGCAGTACTCTATAATGCAACAAATTCGATGGTCCGACACTGCCCTGCAAAACGTTTGTCGGATAACCGGGGGTCCACTGTATATCGAATTGTATTACAATATTTAAAGATACAATACGCCTCATAAATCAATATCAACGCTGCCGATGCAATTGTTTTATTGTCCTCAATTACAATAGACAGTTATTAACAAGAGTACAGTCCATTTCAATTATTTGAGACAAATGTTCGACCATAGGAGCCCGCGCGTTTCATTTATTTTGTTTTTCAGCCGCTAACCAGACTATTTTTATGTAACTAGAAGGGCATACAAGCTTACGGCGCATATTATGGCAAGTTGTAACCTTTCCTATAAACATGAACAGCACCATAACATTATCATGCCCGTGGTACCACTCAGGGGGTATAATTTCGCAGGACTATGACGTCATGCAAGTTGCATGACGTCATAGTCCTGCGAAATCGTGTTATTTTACTGCCTAATCTCATCCGCTTGCTGCTTGGTGGCTGAAATACCTCAGTCTACCTAAACTTTAGAGAGATGTACTCACGCAGACGACTTTTGACAAAGTCTACTTTGAGTAGCTTCCTTGTAAACCGCAATTTGATTTGAAATATAGCTTCCTGAAATTACAGGGTACACCTTTGCCTTTTGAAATGGCAACTCATAAGATATTCCTTTGAACATCTTATGAGTTCTCAGATGACAACGTAATATCTGTGGTGCTGTATATGTATATAAAGGAACGGTTGCTATTTTTTTTAATGGATGATAATAGAACAGTGCTCCCGTCTGCGCTCAATACACACTATACACTGGCGGGGCACCAGTGGAGGATGATAACAAGACCATGAGGTCAGATCAATTAGTCTATTGTGACAAATTCACTAGGAACCAATCAGGATGGTTTCCAGGGAAACCGCGTGGAGGTTAACCTGACGATGGTATATTGCTAGCAATAGGGTCATCAGTCCTCATTACTAACAATAACAATTGCGGTTACTATTTCTATCAGTGCGCCATTCGTTTTATTTATTTTAATTTATTCAAGCTTTAGTTTCGCGTGTTTATTATATTGACGGTTCGTGTATTTATATTGTCCGGTCTAGCGGTTTAGCTTACCGCTTTACTTCCGATGGTGCGGGTTCGATTCCTCGCATGGTGCAAACCTTTATATTAATGAATATGAATGATCAGTCTGGGTGTTTTCTATCTATATTATGAATGTATTTACAAAAAAAAAGTATTTATTTATTATTATTTATCCTCTATTGCACTATCTAAAATAATATACAATTGTCGAGCTTAATGCAATATGGCATTCTCTACCAGCTAATCATTGGGTAGAAACAGATAGCGGTAGAAGGGCAGTAATGGGAAAAGGCATACTATTTGTATCTATCTAACCTAGGTATATATATCAATAGTATATAATTTATATCAATTATCTAGTACTCATAACACAAGCTCTGTTTACCCTGACAATAGGTGACGTTGTGTGAATTTTCTTGGGGATATTATTATTATTTTTAATTTTAGGAAGCCTTATTTTCGCATGTTATGCATAAATATGTTTCTGTAACAGTGTAACCTTACAGCACGGTCATTGAACGCGTCGCATACATGTATACGAGTACGATAACTCAGTACATTGTTGTTAGTCTTCGCCGCGTTTTTTGCCTTACACGAACATCGCGGCCATATAATAGGTAATCCTTAAACGATATTTCATTGATACACACGTTTCATGCACACTAATTTCAGCCCGTAACTATGTCAGCGTGACCATGATTTGAAAAGAAGAGTTTGACCTTTCAAGTCGATTATGTGAAATTAAATATTGCCATAAAAATACCACCATTCCATTATTATCTATCCCAAATTTTACATGTTTCTTTGTTTTTAATGGTAGTTAATGGTATGGTGCACCGCATGGTAAACGATATTTCCAACTAGTTTAAAAAAAATCCTAGTAGTAGAAATAAAGGTTAAATGTATATTTATATATATAACGAATATTTATATAAAATTTCCCAAAAATCGGTCAAGCCTATTCGGAGGAGTATGACACCAGATTTTTATATCATTACATAGTATAAATCAAAGTCGCTGTCGCTGTCTGTCTCTATGTATGCTTAAATCTTTAAAACTATGCAACGGATTATGAAGCGGTTTATTAAATAGATAGAGTGATTCAAGAGGAAGGTTAATATATATACATGTACAGCCGTACCAAGCCGGAGCGATAAGATGAACAATATAGACTTACCCTGGTCTTTGGCACAATCTTCAGCCCTATCTTGGAGTCGACGAGACTGGCGCCCGCTTCTGACAAGTACCCCTGATTGGGGATCAGGCACGAGCGCCCGAAGCAACACGGGCAGCATAACTTGTGCATCCATTTCGTCCATTTTGGGTTCAGTCTGCCATATGGTTCCTCATCTTTTGGCTTGAAGACACCTATTATTTTCTGTAACGACAGAAATAATTTACGTTAGGGGCCATTCATAATTCCCTTCAACATTTTTTTACCCCTTATCAACCTTAACAACGTATAATAGTTACCACTAGGTCATAAGAGTTTGTGATATCAGTTAATTTATTTATACGCTATGATTATCATTTTTAACTCTTGCAATTTCAAATATGTAAAAAATTAATAATAATAATACTAAACTCTTTATTGTGCACATACCATACAATAAGAAAAACAGTAAATAAAAAAATTATTACAAAAGGCGGTCTTATCGCTATAGGCAATTTCTTACAGACAACCTGCTAACAAGCAATAGGACTAAGGTACATAGAAGAGGTAGATGGCACACACAAGACACTATAATTATTAAACGAATAAATAGACATACATATATAGATATATATATATATATAAATAAACTTACACATATACATACATATATACAACATATTGGAAGATTTCAGAAATAATAGGAAAAAAAAAACAAAAAAAAATGAGCTATAGAGACAGATAATGAGACCTTAGACGATTTTTAAATATTGCATGAGATTGAGCGGATCGAATGGAGAGTGGTAGAGAGTTCCAGAGACGAATGGCTTGAACAGTGAAAGAGTTGGAATAATACGTGGAGGAGTGAGCAGGGATCGTCAGACAAAGGCTTCTGGTACTACGCAAAGCAGCACCCGGGGATTTTGTGTGAAATAAAAAATCGTTTTTAGATATTCTGGAGTAGAGGGATGATTAACTATGAAACTATAAAGTTTAGGGTTTAAAATACTTTAGGCCCTAGAGTTTATGACAACAATGGCTATTCTAAAATAATTGTACCTTCCAAATTCTCATTTCTAATAATATTGTTAATTCACACTATTCATAATACCTAGAGGAAAATGAATTGAACGGTTTCGAACCTGAATAATTTTATGGGAAATAAATGTATTTACCTCAACTGGACATTGTACGGATACCGTTAACACTGTGCGTCGCGATTTTTCGTCAGAAATCTAGTGATGGTAGTTGAATAAACTGCCCGCAACTGGCCAGTACAACTAGTCGAGTGGTAAATACCTTTATTTATCATAAAATTATTCGTTTTAAACCGTTTAATTATATATTGTGACAGTCTTATATGTGCTGTAGTCTTATAATCGCCGATTAGCAATAGACAACGTAATTTCAACGCTCTCTGAAATTTAAATTATGTTTTGTGTCATTGTGTCAAATTACGCCTTGTCTCAAATCTCGTTTCAAGGCGTTCAAGGTCAGGGTATCCCCAACATTCTGCCCACCTTCATGAAGGAGGACTACTGGCCGAAGGGAGTTGTGTACCAGCGCTGCTGTGGCAGATTGCCGTCGTCAGTGCCGTGACCACACAGACAACTTATATTTTATTATTATGTAATATGTATGTTAGTCTATAGACTAACCTACCTTATAAGGTATTTTGTATTTTCATTGTAATATGGGAAATGTAGCCTGAATTAAATAAATAAATAATCCATCACGTTCCCCTAGATACTGATATTGTGTTTACATCAAATGTAGTAACTATATTAAATAATCCTTACATCATATTACATAATGATACTGTACAACGCAATTGCAATATATTTAATACGTACAATTCATTATCGACCTACGTTATCATATCAGTACAGTAATATTTACTAATATTTTAAGTAAAGTTTATCAATCAAGATAAATAAACAACACAAACAATCCTACAGGATAGTCATATCCGAAACTGGAGTAATTTAACATTACATACGATATTAATATTCTCATTTGAATCAGCTTTTAATCTAGTTTTGCTATTCTTGCCGTCTTATCCCATCTTAATCGAGTTCGACTCTTCTAATTATCCATCTCCAGAAGTTTCTTATCTGGTTCGTCATTGGGTTACACAATTTAAAGATCTTTTTTATTGAGCCATTCTCTTTTTCTATACTACGAAGGTGGCAAACAAGCACACGGACCATCTGTAAACGGTTACCATAGCCTATAGATACCAGAGACATTCATATAATGCGAATTCTTTCACGCTTCTTTTGTTTAGTATTGATGTTTAGCACTTTTCTATTTGTACGGTCTACAGCTCTACATGACGTGACAATATCAACGTGATCAGGACTCAGTTAATTGTAGGCCTAGGTAATTCTGGCGGTTTGGAACACCGCTTTTCGTTTTCACACCGGGTTCGATTCCTCGCACCGGTACAAACATTTGTACCGGTACAAACATTTATCGGTCTAGGTGTTTATGTATATTATGTATGTATTTCCAAAACAAACTGATCTATTTGTATCAATTGTCTATTACCCGTAACACAAATTCTGGCTTAGCTTGGTACTAGATAGCGCTGTATGAAGTTTCCTGAGATGTTATTATTATATTGTAATACCACCTTAATAAATGTTTCAATCACACCAAACAAGTAACCATACTCGAAGTTGCCTTGTCCCCGTGAAAGATAATGTTCTATGCTCAACGTGTCCCAAGTCTGAACATTACTTCTCTACAAATGTAGAAAAAGAACAAACTTGTGGAACAACTGAGCAATAACTTCTAGAAATACCTGCTTCTGATATGAGGGGGGGAAGGGGATTGTTAGTAATGTGGACTGATGACCCTATTGCTAGCAATGTACTATGTCAGGTTGACCTCCAAGCGGTTCCCCCTAGAAATCATCATGATAAATTCTAGGTGAATTTGTCTCGATGGGCTAACTGACCTGACCTCATACTCATCTTATCATCCTCCACCTCCGCTCAGTATAATCCGTTAGCGCAGGTGAGTACAGCATTTCATTATTATAAACAAAAAAACTGCGTCGCATAATAACATTGTCTTGCACATAATAATAATAATAATAATCTCAGGACAATTCACATCGCCATCTAGTCCAAAGTTAAGCTATATAAAGCTTGTGTTACGGGTACTAGATAACTGATACAAATACATAGATATTTTTTTTTTCGTAAATACATACATATTATACATAGAAAACACCCAGACCGATACAAACACTCATTAATACAAATGTTTGTGCCGTGCGAGGAATCGAACCCGCGACCATCGGACGTAAAACGCTGTGCTAGACCGCTAGACCACCGAGGTCGTCGATAATAGTTCTGGTCTTAGCTCTAAGAGTGTTCTTGTATATAAGCGTGAAACGAACTATAGAGTGAGAGATTTGCGAACTAATAGTAGTGGCGTAGGCTATCTTTAGTAGTATTCTTTCAAAATAGTTCGTTCGTAAACTACAGAAAAGTAAAGTTAAATAAATAAAATAAACCATAAGAACTGACGCATCGTCTAATTCAAAATAAGTAGAGAAATTACTATGGCTACTACACAATTGACACTTAACTACCTTTTGTTTTAATACATATACAATATACTTAAATAAACACCCCGATCAATAACAAAAGATTATGAATACAACTTTTCTTTTGTGCAGGGATCGAACTTACGATCGTTGGAAAGCATGGCGGTGTGCTAAACCTCCACTGCTTTGTTCGGGTGTTTATAGCTGTTAGTATTGTAGTAGCCCATCCAACAACAAAACGTACAAACGGAAACAAATATAGTTAGTTATCATTGTTAAAAGTAGCGGGAAACCCAAATACTCTTTGTCAAATTGTATACCTGGCTTATTTTTTACATTATCAATTTACATCTAACAAAAGCCAACTTCGGACCCTAGCAGATGTAAATAATTATGTAATACAGTACAAAGCCTTTACATAACTTCAACTACTCACTACCAGGCACAGATTTCAACTCACAACCAAATAATATTACATTAGGTCTTTGCTATAATAAATATAATAAAAGACAGTAAAATATAATTACTCTATAATGTTTATAACGTGTTCTTCCATTTTACAATACAGACTATAAACTGGACAGAGTGTGTTCAGTTTATAGACTGTATTGTAAAATGGAAAGAACGGCTAAATTAAATAATTAGATTTTTATTTATATACAGTACAATTATAGCTGTGCTCGCGGTTGCACCAGCGTGTAATTTTCACCCTATGTATTATTCTGATATATAAGCTATATTACTGTAAAGTTTCATTAAAATCCATTCAGTAGTTTTGACGTGAAAGAGTAACAAACATCCATCCACATTCACAAACTTTTGCATTTATAATATTAGTAATGATTAAGGAATATGATTAAAAAATCCAATTCTGCCATCTTTCTAATATTATAAAGAGGAGACCTCTTTTTTACACATTTCTAATGTGATATTTAAATTGCACAATTCTTTTGCTACATTATTAGCGATTAATATATGCGATTAGAAATTATAAATTACTATTTATACTATTAAAGATACACATGTATTTATGTATATATACATAAAAGTATATTCTAACTTGTATCTTAAAAGTACATTCTTAGATTAAGACATTCATTACACTTCCATATATTTATTTCTAAATCATTCTAGAAATAAATCTATATATTAATACTATAAAATTATAAATATCTTCATTTTATAATTGACATATCTTACCGTTCCAGGATTTTTGACAAAGTACGAGCCACTGGACCCTTGGTATATTCTTTCGGGGAAGATGCCATTGTCGATAGCCACCTCAGCTTGCCACACCAGCTCACTGAATTGTGGGTCATCTGTCAACAATCATTTAAATAACTTTAGCAAAATTACATAAAAATAATAAATAAAATGAATAACATAGTATAAAATGAAGTTGCTTCCGCTTAGATCCTTCACTAGGCAATGGATTTTAATAGGTTTTAGCAATAGTTAGAGTTATTCAAGAGGAAGATATATGTATATAATATATGTACATGCGTGTAAAACCGGGGCGGGTAGCTAGTGAAGAAAAAAAAAATAGCAAGTAAGGTAATAAGCAAAACATTCAATGGGAAATGGAGAGAACTTAACTAATAAATATCTTCTTTTATTGAAAAAATATATTCTTTTGTTTTAACCTGTCATATTTTGTAACTTCAGAGAAGGAAAGTTAGTAATAATAATAACCAAGGACAAATTATACAAAACTATCATTATTAATATTAATAAATAATATGTTCTAAACTAAGCAGATCTTGCTTTGAGTATTAAGCAACAGATAGAAATAATTAAGAACATTTTATTATCTTTTTAAAGAAAATAATAAAACCTATACAAATAATCACAGCCATGAATACAAATGTTTGTATAATACGAGAATTGTTGATAAGTATGGCCAAAAATAGTGATTTGAAATAAATTCGGTATTGTGGTTAAATTCTACTCAAACAAGCTTACATAATGGATTGTAGTAATAAATATTATTCTTATTTAGACTCAGTATCATACTGTAATAATCAAAATTATAGTAATAATCTGTCGTAGTATAGGCATGTAATGCATAGGAATGAAGATAATATTTTAAGGAAGGTGTTACATATGAATGTGGGTGGTTATATGGGCAGAGAAATGCCAAAAAACAAATGGACTGTGTGAAAGATAATATGGCAAAAGTAAATAATTAACAAGATGATTGCGAACAGGGATGAATGGAAGAGAAAAACATATTACGCCCGACTCCAAATAATGGTATAAGGATGGAGCAGATAATGAGGATCATACTGCAACTATATGTTAATAATTTAATATAACATAATTTTGAATAATGTTGATATTCACTATATATTATAATATACACGCCGGAAACGGCAGGGCATGTTTGGAATGACAATTTTAACACTTATGTACACCAGCTCGAGTAAATAAATTTAAGTTAATCTAATTGTACCCAAAGATATAAAATTGTTAGTAAATACTACATTCATGATGACTATTAAGTTCAAGATTGATAGAATATGATTCTGCTTAATATAAATTTTTTTCTATATTTGTAAAAAAAAATTATTTACGTTTATAGCTAAGAACTCTTGTGGAAACTACAGTTGAAAATCTTTTTCAATATCAAATGTTGTTATCTTGTACTAAACTTAACTGCTAATAATTCTTTAAAGCATTAATATGTACTTAATTTACATACAAACTCATTACTTACTTTATCTATGTTCAAATTTCACCAACATTGCAGTAATTACTAAATGCCTTCTGAATGAAACAGTTACTCATATTTCACAATACTGTCCAAACTTTGTTTTAATATGGGCATAATTACAAATCTTTTAGATAGTCTGATGTAATCTTACAGGAGTGTTACATTCTATTAGGACCAGTGGCATTCATTTTAACTGAATGCTCACACATTATTAAGTAAATACTATAGACCAGTGTCTCCCAATTTTAAGGGGGCAAAATCGCAAATGCAATTTTCATTGCATGTTCTGTTTCAAATGTACTTACATGTTTCATTATCAATTTCCTAGTGATTTCTTCCTAAAACTTATTATTTAAGTTTCTTAAGTGAACAATTAAAAATTTTAAAGTTATATATGTTTATATTATGTAAAAATACTAAAAAGCTTGCTTATACTTTTGTCATATCTGTAAAGGAGGTAAAATCTAGCCCTATTTCTCTTAACTAAGTATTTATTGAGTAACAGATAAGTGACAGCAAACAAACTTACTTTACTTCTTATAAACTATGCAACAGATTTTAATATTCTGTAATTTAGTGAATTAATTAGAGAGAAGTTTTACAGGTGTAATACATATGTATATATCATTAAATGACTTTAGAGTAGATCAAGGGTTATTCAGAATATTAGTTAATATTATTGCAATAAAAAGGATAAATTAAAATCAATAATATAAGATAAAAAATAAATATTCATATAATTTATTTTTAAATATAATGCAGTTTAGATTGTTAACGTTAAGTGTGTGTCCCTGACAATACATTATGGTAATGAACACTTAACTAAAACAATGGTGTTAAGTACTCATCTTTTTTCCATTGTATTAAGTAATGGTAGTAAATTAGACAAGTGGTTTTTATTAATTCACCATATATTTAGTGCAGGAACATGCATCATTCCTTTATCATCAATCCATCCATAAGAATGCACTATATGTAATATTACACTGTTATACCATCCTTATTAATATTACAAATATATATTTTTTTATTTAATGAGGCCTTTGCTGTAATTTGGGTATTTAGAACTAGAGTGCTCTTAATCCAGCTCCAGTCCTTTTCAGGCCTTTTGGTAGCCTCTGGGCTAACTTATTATTACACTCAGCTATATATGTTAGTAACTTTTGTTTTTGTTTTTATGTCTTGGCAACTTAACAAATCAACCAATCATTGTTTGAGATAGGAATGGATATTGTTACCTTTTATTTCAGTGTGTCAGTGTCTTTTGCATGTACAATGTTATCAGTACAACATTGTTAAACATGCAAATAGATTGTTGTAGTTTTTTTATAAAACAACCTTCATATAACAATGTATCTAATTATGTATAGAAATATTTTTTAAACATACACTAAAATTTACACTATATATAATATTTGAATTGATAATGCTTATCATAACATTAATCTGTCACTATCTATTTACAATAAACTAGAAATTAAAGTTTGTGTCAACACTTATATTTAGAGCATGTGTATATATATTTTTAAATTGATTTATTCACCCATAAATTAATAAATATAAGTTTGAAGGAATTAATTAATTCGAGTAGTAAAACTTTTAGTCTTGATAACTTTATGTATGCTATATTAACTACTTTGTTATTAAAACATGAATTAGTAATTTGTAAAGAGATATGTAAAGACATTCCTACCATATGGTCTTTTAAATTGGTATCCAACAGTTTCAAAACTATGTTGTTTTAACTAATAACAGTATATATATACATTAATAAACAAGTATACACACTCACCACATTGAAATGTAAAATCCATAATGACTTTATTAAAAGAAAATAACACACTGAAAAGTATTCTACTTACAGCCGTCACACTTGGCTGAAAACATATGAGTCTGTTGCTACATTCACAATAGTTATGTGTGTAACTTAGCTTGTATTTAGTATACCATGAAGTTAGAGTAATCAATAACATTATACACACATTAGTGTTATGCGAAAACAACACGATTTTGGCATAATTAGTACCAAGGGTGTAACGTAACGCGTTTCAAGGTAACTTTTACGACGTTACATGTTTCTCTAAATCCTAATCATTTAAATAATCGAAGCCATACAATTTATTAAGAAAACAAACAAGTGTCTCTGACTAAGTATAGCTATTCAGAGTGAAAAACCATATGTTTACTAAATCATATTGTCATCTGTACGTATTAATTAAGCGAAATTATGACTCAGTGACGACGATTTTGTACTAACCTGGGAAGTGATTGAAGGAAACTTCGAAGTCGCCACGACCGCCAAGAAGCGGTTGTGACTCTCGATTGACCCCTGGAGAATCCACGGTGCCCTCGAATCCCACGTCTGGGACTAAACAAATCTCTTCTGAACTACTAGACAATGATACCACGCCGTCATCGGTAGGCGCAATTGTAGAATTTGGTTTGTCGAAGTCGAGATTTAATAGAGTCTCTTCCGTACTCATGAGTAATGTTAAACAGAGAATCTCTACTGAGCCTCATTTATTTCGTATAAACGTCTTTGTTCACAATCATTTACAAAAACACTTGACTTGATTCAGCAAATTAGTAGCAGAATAGAAACAGAAACCACAGAGGCATAGAGCAATCAGTTGACAGTTCGATTGAAAGACAGTTGACGTTCTGATTGAACGTCAATAGAGAAATTTGACATGTCGACTTACAGTTGATCCTATTTTTTGTGAATTTCTATATAAAGCAAAATAAGTTTACTGACACAACCGTTCGATTTAAAATTAATTTATTGCCTTAAACTATTGGATATTGCAAAAAAAATCGATATAAAGTTTAGTACACTCTCAAAGAAATATATAAGTTAAAGTCAAATGTAAACGTCATTGGTCTTTTTTATTTAATTAAAATATTTTGAACTACTATAATCAAATCTCTTCGTTCCATTTTGTCGTCTGAATTCAAATTCCCAGGGACAGATTTCGTTTAATATCTTCTTGAAAGCTGTAACATTTAAATTTCATATTAAATTTTGAATCGCTTATAATGCGCTGTTTTTTGAGAGTGGGTAGAAATATATAATTTAATACAATGTATAATTTTTCTACAGGTTACATTACACATACGTGGATTTCAGTAGGAGTACTAGTTACCTATTATATGGTACGAATTACTGTCTTATTTGCCACGTTGGCAGCGACGCGTATAAAGCGACAACACGAAACCGCAGACGTAGGTATTTAATGTTTGGCGCCATGGCACGATACGATACTGTTATTTATAACGTAAAACACCCAATTTCTGATTAGCGTGTTTTTAAATCTGGCTATTGTAGTAGATTGATATTCGTATTGACGTAGTGATGAAATCGGGTCATAAATATACATATTTAATTTGGAATGTATATAAATATATTACAGCATCGAAGTCGAAAAATAAGTAAAACCTTTTTTATTCGCTTGCTCTAACGGTATAAGGTGGCAGGCGAGGAAGATAGGCTGATATAGGTGGACGTTGGCCACAAGTGGTACATAATTAGCAACATGGGCCACTATTTTCCATAAAGTAGAGCTTATTCCGTGAATATTTTATAAGTATGTAGTATGAATAAAAAAACACATAATTAATATAAAAATCAATTTCATTTGGGAGGAGAGAATTATTAGTAATAAGGATTATATTTATAACCTGCGAGAATCGAACTCACGTCAAAGAAGTAAAGCGGTGTGCATAACCACAGATAACATAATATTACATAAAAAAACCGCTATTGAGACCGCCAAATTATGACGATTTTATATAAGATCAAAGCACAGTACCTGTGTCAAATCGGCAATTGTGTTTTTGTAAATCACACCTATTCTTGAACGTTACAACATTGCCGGTATTGTAGTTGCAGGCGCAGAGTGGCGCCATTTCATCTTTCACAGAACACTCTATATTTGAACAATCTAAAGCCTTCTGAGCTTCTAAATCATACAAACTATCATCTACCATGGTTGAAGGGGTTAAACTTTCTTCTGTAGTAAAATGATCTTTCTCACTTTGTAATAATATTGATTTTGAATTATCAGAAGTTACTTGGATGAGTTCTTTCAGTTGTTGATTTTCTAATGCTGGTCTGTAAGTCGTTGTTCTTATAATTCCACAGCATGATCTTCGTGTTATTATTGGCAAAGGAAAAACGCCAAACGGCTCCATTTTTATTGGCAGAATTAAAAATATAACTGTAAAATAAGTGAGTGTTGAGTAGCGTTTCTGTATTAGGAAAAAATATAAAAGAAAGGTATGCTCAGTGTGAAATTCATGTCTTACGATTTACTCGAATTCGATCCATAGTTACTGCAGTTTATTGAGCTAATTATAATATAACTGTGACAACTATAGACTTTAAATCCTAAAAAAGGAGGTATCTATCAATTATGTACAATGGATTCCAAAAAATATTAACTAGATACCAATGTTGCTTGATGAATATTTATATCTCCTCCGATCGATCCCTCGTTCAATTCAAGCGGCGATCGAAATTACGACGGCCTAAGCCGAGGTTCGAACCTACAATGCTCTCAGACTAAAGTCGTATCCGTTAGGCGGGAGTTGGCCTTCAGCCTTTCCATAAGTCCTTCCACGGGTTTGGAGTGCCATGTGCACTCGCCTCCTATAGTCCGGTGAAGCTGTAAAAGCTAGCAACTAACTGCATTAGAGTAGTACGAATAAAAAATAATTATAGTAAAAAATCAAATTCCAGCTCATTTATGGTAAACAAAAATAGTCTTCAATTGATTTTAATATGTACCCATGTTATGTAGGTACGCATTAAAAAAATAGAGCCTAATTGACAAATTAAGTACATATATATTTAATTCTGAAAGCGACTATTATGTACATTTATAATGGCTATGGCCTATGACGTGAGACACCGGAGGAGTCACGTGCGCTTTACCATCCTTAAGAAACTTTAGTATACCCTTCTTGAAAAACCCCCGTCTCGTGAGAGAACCTCGGCAAAGAGTTCATTCTACAATCTAAGTGTACGCGGGAGGAAGCTCCTCTGAAACACTGTCCGAGACCACTTAGATTCCAGCGTGTGATGAATTCTGTGTCGATGGCGAGCGGTGCGATATGAATACGACACATGCGTGCGATGCCAGGACTAAGATGTCATGACTGTTATCCTGTAATTTCACCGTCTTTAACTGAAACACAGCTTACAAAGCAAGCTGCTTGATGCCTAAAATAAGTGGACAGAAGTATGTATTCAATCACAATCAATATACTCACAACTGATCAAAATAATATAAATTATTTTAAATTCCATAGCCAGTCCTTTTTGCGCCTGTTCAATGAGACTATTTACTTATCGACTATGTTGTAAATTAATCAATTGTACCTAGTTTCTTCATTTAATGTCAATAATATATAAATCATTTTCTTAGTACGATATGATACGCTAAACACGCTAAATGTTACTCGGAACATAATAGCGTCCGTGGAGTAATAAAACCTATTTTGATTAAATTAGAGAGGAAATTTTTCACGGATCTCAAATAGATTGATTGATATTAAAATGAAATAAAAGCCCATTAAATTTAAAAATCAAATTAAGAAATAATATTGTATGGTTATAATGTTAGATGGGACTTCATGCGGCAGTCAGAAGTCAGAGGTATTATCAACTGTTGACATCACGAAAAAAGCAAAACTCGACAATACTTGGATGTGACGGACGGACGGACGGAGACTTGGTGGTCTAGCGGTTTAGCAAACAGGCTTACGTCCGATGGTCGCGGGTTAGATTCCTCGTACGGTACAAACGTTTGTATTCATGAGTATTATTGTTTGTATCGGTCTGGGTATTTTCTATACATCTTAAGTATGTATTTACAAAAAAAAGTATATATTTACTAATATCAGTTGTATAGTACCCATAACACATGCTCTGCTTGACTTGGGACTAGATGGCGTTGTGTGAATTGTCCTGGGTTCTTTCACATAGCTTCACATATTTTATCGTAATATATTTAACAAAACAACATAGCTATATACCTAATATAACTTTATTCATTTTAGAACTAAAACTTAAAACGCTTTTACAAAATTATCTAATTTTAGTTTTACATATGTATAGGGAACATAATTCAAAATTGGCACATTTTTTAAATCAATCGATCTGTCGGATAAAGTGTACGTGAGCAAACCAAGCCGACATGTTGGTGTTGTGTTGGCCGACTCGACAAAATAGCTTGTCAAGAGGGTGACCCCTTGTCTACCATGGAATAGTACTTCTACAAGCTTAACTAAAGTTTTGTGGAAGTTAAGTGAATAGAGACGTATCTGAATCCGACAGATCAGGTAAACTGTGTCCAACAACTTTGTTTGTAGTTAAATATAATACATAAAATAAAACAGGTTTAGTCACAGAAATAAAACATCGCACACAAATCAACAAATCAACTTTCATTATTAAAGGATCCATCAAATCCCTCGGAATCGGAAAAACCACGAAACTCTTTATCAAAAAATCCTTTATCGGCATATCCCTCTTTGCCATATAATCCCTTCCGACGATCATGATGGAAGTGGCCCTTATGAAATCCTGCACCAGCTCCAATTTTGTATCCTCGCGCTTTCGCGTCTACTTTTTTAATGGCACCATTAGTCTCATCGTCTTCATAAAATTCTTTATCTTTCTTGTACTCATCTTTATGGTGAACTCGATGGAAGCCTCGTGTTTTCGTACCTTTCCTATATTTTCGAGTTTCATTTCCTTTTATTCCAATAGCTGTTCCAGCCAACGCTTGAGCTATAGCGTATACATCATCGTCATCGTAGTCTCCGTCATCATGTGCTCTAGTAGCTTTATAAAATTTCTTTAAATCCTGCACATTATGTTTAGCTTTCACTCCTTTACTGGCAGTATTCTTCTTTTTAAAACCGTTGGTTTTTACATTAGTATTAGATTTATCGTTTACGCTTTTAGAATCGTCAGCTTCATCTAGAAGTTTAGAGAAATCATCTAAATCCTCCTCTTCGACTTCGTATTTCAAATTGGAAAGGTCAGTGTCTAGATTGTCGAATTCCAATGTGCCCAGGTTGACCGGCGATGATTCAGCCCAGTAACAACAGACCGTCAATGACAACGCTATACATAAGTTCTTGTGCATAGTGCTCTAATTTTTTATTAGCTCTTGAGCAATTGAAGTAGGTTGCGACACTGACATACATGCTATCAATCGGGTTTATATAGCCTTTGTTGGAAATATACCGGCAAGGATGTTTTTTTGTAAGGATGAGTGCTGGGCTGTCGTTTCTGGTTCCACACTGTTAGATTCGTAATCGGTGCAACGACACGGATCGGTCAAGGTTAATTCGAGTTATACGATTGTAATGATCTAATCGAGTGAACATTACTATTTATTTATGTTTATAAAATAAGGGGTCAAGTAAAAAAAGTTAAATAATATTAAAAGAAACAGCATAGAGTACACTTCCTAAAATCTGACGAATTAGTCATGATAACGACAACTTAACTTGACATTTTCATTTCGTGTATCTAAACAGTACTAGACAATTTTATTATGAAACTAGCTATCCGACCCAACTTCGCACGTCTTCGCTTGGAAATGTATATATCAAATTTCTTTTGAATCGCTCTATCTATTGCTAGAACTGCATTAAAGTGCATTAAAATCCGTTGCGTAGTTTAAAAGATATAACCGAAAAGACAGCGGAAGCGGCTTCATTTAAGTAAAGATTATAACTTAGATGACAAAATTGAACTAAGGTTGTAGTAATACATCGCGGAAATGTTAGAAGTTTAAAGAAATTACAAAAAATATATTTTTTCCAGTTCCACTAGTTTCATCACCGTTTTAAGTATACCTTCGGAAAAATCTTACCTTCATATTGATCGCTGAGTTCACAATAATCACATAATTGCATTAGTTCCATTTGATTTTCTTTAGTCTTTACAACTACTGAACTTAAGTACCTCAAGGTTAAATAAATAGTTAGGTACTTATTAGATTTTATACACTTATTATATCACTAGTTATACCAGCGGTTTCATTCGCATAAAATTTGTAGCCTATGTGTTATTTTGATGTATAAGCTATATTAAAGTAAAGTTTCATTTAAATCCATTTATTAGTTTTTGCGTAAAAGAGTAACACACATCCATCCATCCATACTCACAATCCTCCGCGTTTATAATCTTAATAATTGCTGGCAGCTACCTTGGACAAAGAATTAGTCTAGCTACTCAAAGAGGGAACGCTGCCAGTATCTTCGGAACTTTGCCTAAAGGGACCCCTTTTAATAATATATTTTAGTTATTGTATTATATTTTTTAAGCTTTTTAATTTTAGGTTGTAGTTGTACAATTAAGTTATATAAATAATATAATTAGTTAATAATTAAAAATTGCGAAATGATTTTGATATTTTTTACTTAAATAATGTTGAACTTTGAAATGTTGATACCGATGTGGGTATTAATATGAATATGTACATAGCGTTAGAGTAGTAAAAAAAAATAGCGTTGCGGAAACATGAACCCTGCGAGAAGTTGAAAAGAATAAGATTAGATATATGGTGCTGGAGGAAATTGGGATATCATGGACTGAATTCAGCTAAATGTTTCCAGCCTCGAAGAACTCGGCATCGATACCGTCTTTCTACTTTAACACAATCGCGCATCCTTACCTTCTCCGGTCATGGCTCACGAAGAATCGACGCATCCATAGAGCAGCTTGTTATACAGGGAAGGGTTAACGGTACTCTACCCCCCTCCGATCGATCCCCCATCCAATTCAAACTGGGATCGATATTACGACGGCCTGAGCTGAGGTTCGAACCCCTAGCGATGCCCTCAGACTAAAGTCGTATCCGTCAGGTGGAAGTTGGCATTCAGCCGCTCCATAAGTCTTACCGCGGGTTTGGAGTGCCATCTGCATGCACAGACGACCTCGGTGGTCTAGCGGTCTAGCACACCGCTTTACGACCGATGGTCGCGGGTTCATCGGACATTTGATTAATGAGTATGATTGTTTGTATCGTCTGGGTGTTTTCTATATATAATATGTATGTATTTACAAAAAGAAAAATATGTATGTACATGTATCAGTTATCTAGTACCCATAACACAAGCTTTATTAGTGGCGCTGTGTGAATTGTCCTGAAAAAAAAATCGTCCGATGAAGCTTCTGCGGCCAACAATATGTGACACTGTGGACGACCCTTACGATGGACCGTTCAAGTCAAAGCAACGGTTGTCGTAAGGCGGCGACATCTGCCTTTCACTCCACTACATAATGACCAGGACCGTTCTGTCAATAGCGTATGGAATATGAATTTCTAAGTGCATAATATATAATTTTTGCATTTTTCGAGAATAGATCAGCTACTGAACTATCAAAATATGTTAGACCCTGAACGAAGTTTGTGCCAACCGCTATGAATATTATAAAATAATTTAAATCTCAATGATATGACATTGCAGTGTGATTATTTTTCAATTAACTATGTTATTAAATTGCCGTGAACATAAATTACATTTACATTACAAAAACCATTAGTCGTAGTGGATTTAGACTAACGGATCAAAACCTAAGTGTAAAATCTGTACAAATAATAATATTAAGGTGTCTGTTTGTAATTTCAAATTAGCATCTTTTCACTAAATGTATATGAAAGTATAAATACAAAAAAAATTTTTAGATATTTTATTAATTTCAATAAAAAGTAGTTAAATTTCCCACAGATGAAGTCACAGCTATATTATAAAGATTTTTATATATTTTATTAGATTTTATAAAAAATCCGTTCTAGTAAATAGGTCTTGGTGCTGGCAGTTTGAATTATTCTTTTCATAATTCTTATTTCAAACATTTTTTTTATTTTATAAATTATTTTCGACTGAGCTTTGACTCTTACGGAATGAATATATTGTATAATATTTATAGTTATTGTTTGTTTTTTATGAAATAAATGCTAAGGAACTTTTGCTCCAAATAGAGAAGAAGTGAGAAGCTGGGGCGGGTTGCTAGTATTTTATAACCAGCTATCAGTGGCTAAAACATTAGGTCCTACATTACAAAGAACATAGTGCCCATAAAAGAGACTGTTGCTGAATAGGTATATGATTTTTCTTTTTTACGTAATTTGAATGGGAAACGAGCTGATGGTCCACCAGATGGTAAGCGGTAACTGTAAGCTATATACACGAATATGAACAGCTCTATCAGAGAACATATATGAGTTGCCTTTCTAATTGACTAAGGTATTACGTTTTTCACGACTAATTTTACTGATGCTGTAACCTATAAACTAAATACTACTTACAAAACAAGTTGCTTCTCGACTGAAATATTATAGATACGTATTACATAACATGTTTCATAAACAAATAAAAGTTTTTCTTAAATTATTTATTCACAGATAAAAAAATGTAATATGTAGAGGTATCAAAAACATAACAAATTAATCGAAACGTTCGTTAAATAATTAACAGATATTTACAAGTATCACAGTATATAAAATATCGACGGTCTAATATTCGTCGTCGTCATCATCGTAAGCATACTCCTTCTCATGTCCACCAGCGCCTTTCTTTCCATACTCTTCTTCTTTGTCGTAATGGCTATCGTGACCGGATTCATCAGAATGACCGCTATCAGTATTGTCATGGTCACCTTTAGCATAAGAACCAGCTTTTCCAAATTCACCTTTGTCGAAACCAGCTCCATGATGGCCACCCTTTTTATGCCCACCTTCCTCTGAACCATGATGTGCTTTCTCATAACCATGCTTATTAAAATGACCGCTGTTGTCAGCAACATCGTAAAAGTCGTGGTCCTTCTTGAATTCATCCTTGTGGAAAACCTTGTGATAGCCGGTAACATCTTCCCCCTTGCTGAAGTACTTCTTATGTCCTTGATCACCGCCTTTGTAGCTGCCACCAGATTCGTGATGCTTTCCGTAGGAGTCGGCTTCGTCGTGGTGCCCTGATTTTTCACCTTTATTCTCGCTATGATAACCCTCGTTATGTTCCTTACCATAATGTCCAGCTGCACCTTTCGCATGGTGACCTTTGCTCTGATAACCCTTGCTTCCCTTTTCTCCATGAGCCGCATGATGTTCTTCGCCGTAATCACTACCACCTCCTTTTTCAAAAGAGTGGTCATGATCTAATCCATCTAAATCTCCTCCTTCAATATATTCGTCTGATTCTTCGCTACTTTCTTCATCATCCTCTGCATCTTCTACCACTATGGGTTTCGCAGCTATGTATGGTAGAGGAACAGGACCAATTGCGTAGGTGTCCACAGTTTTCAAAGGTTCCACAATTGGCAGCGCAGGTACATAAGGGGCGGGTTGATAAGCATGAGCTCCTAATTGTATAAGACTTGCGGGGCCGTTATTATCACTTCTATAGATGTAGCCAGTTGCTGCTGGCGCTAACTGTAGGGCTGTGCCGACAGTCGCAACGAATAAAACACCTAATGCTACCATCGCCATCTTGAGATGTGTAGTGTACGACAAGCTGTGCTGTAATAATTTGATATCAGTATTGCCCAATATTTATATCAGGGTTATAGACAAAAGGTGACGAGTGTGCGTTACACCTTTCTTGTAACCATGTAACAATTTGCTTATCAGACGAGGTTAGAGTTGACAAAAGCGTTGGTAATGAAAAAGCTAGTATTGTGCAATATTTTGCGGTTACAGTAGCAGTCGACAACTAAGCGTGAAATGCTTTTTTATGATGAGCCTACGCAAAGCAACAAAAACTACGATCATTCATTATTTTCGTGACTCACTTGGTCTACTTATGGTGCCTTTACTGTATATTCGACCGCGATAATCGTGACCAATTAAGCTATAAGCTAAATGTAATGAAAAGATTTCCTTTTTACGAATGTGCTTTAATATTATTGAAGAATACAAATCCTGCAATCATATTGAAATTAAATTGAAGCAATATGTTTTAAAATGAGATCTATATTACAGGATATAAATATATATATACATATTATGTATATTACAAGGTACAAAAATATCTACCTTGCTAGATCATAGCAGCGCTATGTAGAGCTACATACTAAACTTCGACTACATGCAGAGCAAAATTATTGTTTTATGCACTAGACACTTTTTTTGTACATAATAAACGTAGAAATGGTTCAAACGCAAATGTTTCCATCACGTGTTGAATCAAACCATCGACCATCGGAAGTAAAGCAGTATGTGTATGTATGTATTCGCTAGACCATCGAAGTAGCCAGACTAGTACCCACTCTGGTTTCCCCCGGGTGCACTAATTTTATAAGATTTTTTTTATTAGGTAATAATACACTTTCCCCGGACTGATAGAGACAGTCATCTTTGTGATAAATAGTAATTAACTTATGAGATACTAGTATTCATGCTTCTACCAATAAGTCCACGTTGTGTACAATTTATTTTATTTGATTTAAAAAAGATTTTGAAAGTATATACTTACACAGATTATGTCACTCTGGACCTTTTAAATATATTTATACAAAATTTTAGATAGATTTTAGAAGTTTTATCTTTGTTTTTAATATTATAGATAATTTTAGAACAGATATAAATTCGGTTAGCGTTTTTAGTCGCGTCTTAGTAGTGATTAAGGGAAATTAAACTATATATACATCTTCATCTCAAATATGAGTGTATGAAAATTTGCGTTACGATTGGGAACCAAAACTCACATTTACTTGACAGTTATATTATGTTGCGGCCGTATTACATAATATTTTTCAAATTATAGTCTACTAGCTGTGCCCGCGGTTTCAGTCGCATGAAATTTACAGTGTTATTTTTCTGATGTATAAAAAAATACAATAATATAGCTTATATTACTGTTTTTTTTTTTATCAAAATCAGTTCAGTAGTTTATACGCGAAAGACTCTTCCATCGCAACATCCTTCCATCCATATTTACAAACTTCAGCGTTTATAATATTTAAAAAATAAGATTATCAGATATAGAATTATACACACTAATGGCCCACACAGTTTTCTATATAAAAAGGACAACATAGGATATCTATTATCTCAAATAGCAGACAAAATCGCAGGTCACATAGTACTGTATATTTTTATATGTACAAAGAGAGTCTACTATGTGCATAAAAATTTTCGTTGTTGTTCATTATTGATAGATATTTTATTTTTCAAAGTGTGTTTAAAAGATATAGAGTACATTTTTTACTTATTTGACGGTGGCGTCATGGTGTAGCAGTGCAGGTCTCTTCAATGAATGGTTGTAAATTCCCACACAAATCAGTTCCGGTATTTAGTAAGTTTTATTATGTATGTATTTATAAAATGTAGGTAAAACTTGTTTAAAAGATAGCAACTAAGCGGTGTTTATCATCATCATCATACGCCCACATGTTAACCACTGCTGGACATACATCTCTCCCAAGGCATGCCATTCGGCACGAGCATCAGTCCAATCTTTACCCGCTTACCTGACCTTACGTATGTCGTCGCTCCATCTCGCTGCGGGACCTCCTACGCTACGTTTGCCACGGTCTACACTCTAGAACACGCCTCAAAGGATCGGTTCTGCGACAGACATGAGCAGCTCACTGCTACTTCAACTTGCAAATTCATTCTATGTCCTTAGGCACCTTAGGTGACCTTAGTTCTCTGGCGAATTACTACGTTTCGAATTTGATCCCTTAGAGCAGGGTAGGCGAACCAATTTCACGCGTACCATTGACGGCACGCGACACAATATTTTGGGCACGTCGTCGATCAAAAAACTGTTTGAAGAAGCTGGCTCATGCTATTTTAACAATATTTTCACCTACCTATGCGTGCGAGTCATTATTTTCAGAGATGAATAACATTAAAAACTCGGTTAGAAGCTGTTTGACAGATGAATCCATTCAGCATACATTTTGCTAAAAGTAACATCGTACAACCCTGATATAAATTATTTGTCACCTAACCTGCATCAACCGAAGCACACTAATTTTACAGTAATTTAATTTATGCGTGTAATGAAAACAATCCTAAATGTACCTCTTTTGTTTACTTTATTTATTGTTATTATTTTCCAAATAATCAGAAAGTCAAAATTATTTGATGGCACGTCAATGACCCCATTAAAAATTTTTTGGAAAAAAATGGCACGTTGATGCATAAAGGTTCGCCACCCTGCCTTAGAGCCACACCAATCATAGCTCTTACTATAAGCAGAGCTTGTAACATGGATAATATTAAAGGTTAGTAGAGGCTATAAATTTGGAGCTAGATAGTGCTGTATGTATTTTAAACCTTTTATTGGAAACATATAATGATGATCCTTCATTTAATCTGTTTTGGTTGGTCGATTTTTGGAAGACCTGTCTAAATTACTATTGTTTCGTACAACTTCTTATTTTTAATTATTTTAGGATTGATACAAATATTGTATACAGAATAAAATAGGCATTACTTTGAATGTATGATTGATTTAAGACGTAAACTGATTTTTAGGTCGTGTTCCTAACTTTAGTAAATTGTTAGACAGAAGTTTAGGTAGAACGTTAGAGGGCAATCTTAATTAATGATTTATGCTATGCATAACAGGTAAAGTAATTAAGTTTTCTTTTTATTCTTGTCTTGTTTTTGGATATAATTATATATAATGCATTTTTAATTTTTTTATAACTTTTTCGGTCGGTTGTTTATGAAACAAAATCATAAATGTTTAATGTAACGGAGACACCTCGGTAATACATTTTCTACTTTTGTATATCAATGATGAATAATCATAGTAAGAAAAAGCAAATTCGTAGATATCTTATATTTTATGCCTATTATTTATTTATACATTATTTACAAAATACTACCAAAAGTCAACAATATAACAATAAACTTTAACAATCCATCATTAATGTTTAATTTCGTAGCCATAGCTCTTGAGGTCATGTTTCCCGCCTTCAGCGCCGAAATCTCCGTGATTGTAATGTGTGGAGTCGCTCTTCCCTTCCACGGAATGATCGGATCCCTTCTCATCCCCGGATGCTTCATCATGGTGACCACTCTTTCCGAAATGACCTTCATGAGCTCCTGACTCGTGCTGTTCACCTTGTTTGTGTGCTCCGGCATCTGATCCATGATGTGATTGTCCTTCACCATATTTGTGGAAGCCGCCATCATGCTTCTCACCATCGTAAAAGTGATGGTCTTTCTTGAATTCGTCTTTGTTGAAGACCTTGTGAAATCCATCGACCTCTTCTCCTTTACTGTGGGCAACTTTATGCCCGTGATCTCCTCCTTTATATCCATGTCCTTCGGCGTGATCTTTCCCATAGGCGTCCCCTTCATCATAGTCTTTGTTGTGACCCCCTTTCCGTGATACTGAGAAGCTTGCGTATTTTTCCGTGTGGTAATCACCTGCGCCTCCTTTATCGTAGTGGTGTCCCGATGCGTATCCCTTTTCATCTTTTCCACCATAGTTGTGATGTCCTTCAGAAGCACCATCAGCTCCATGTTCATGGTAAATCCCATCCCTGAAGTATCCTAAATCTTTAAGATAATCAGCAAAATCATTATTATATTTTCCAAAATTAGCAGCATATTCATTGTAAATTTTATCGTAGTTATCATTAGCTATACCGTCAACATGATCGCCTTCCTCAGATACCTCTACTACAGGTTTAATATATGACGCAGCCTTATTTTCGTCTCCTTCTTTGGCATAAAAAGGCCCGGCAGCGACCGGTATAGGAGCCGCGAAAGCATCTGGCTGTTTATAGATCTTAGACAAATGTTCCATTACTTCATGCTCTCCCATTTCGATGACGTGTTCGGGTCCATGACCGTCTTTTTTGTAAATATACCCCGTCGCAGCTGGCTGTAGATCAGAGCCGGTTGTCCTGACCATCACCATTCTCTCCACCGTTTCCCGTGTCTGCATACACCATGCTTGCACTACTATTACAATTATGAGGGGTATTCCTTTAAGCATGTTCGCGGCGTTACGGCGACTTGCAGTAATGACTGCAAAGGTCAAAGCGAATACTTATATAGTGAACATAATACAGCATAGATCGTTGACATTCGTAAATGGGCCGTTGGAGCGCTCTCTAGATTGGGCAACAGTCTTCGGTGTCAATGGTAATGAAAAACCCTGTATTAATTTATACGGTGCATTGCTGCGCGTTCAATAATCTATTGGTGCAAAAAAAAACGACCAACGAATATATTAATGCACTTTACGAACGAAGGACAGCTATTTGGTATTAGGAATATGGACACTGACACAGTTTCTAGTACTTATATAGTATTATTTGGAATTACAAAAATTGTGTTCATACTTAGGTAACTATAAATTAAATATACTGTATATTCTTTTATGATTTTTAATATTTACATTATCTATAAAAATTTCAAAAACACGTAGGTAGATAGTCCACAAGAAGTCGTCTATCTAACAGGGCTAGTTCAAAAAGAAAATACCAGTTTGTAGTAAGTATAAATAGTTTGTATTATAGTTTGTAGTATCTATAGATAGACTACATAGATGACAAGTAGTTTTTGCGTGAAAAGTTACAAGCATCCATCCATTTATTCATCCATACTCACAAAATTTCGCGAGATAGATAATCAGTTAGGTCGGCAACGTGCACGTAACACCCCTGGTGTTTCAGACGTCCATAGGCTACGGTAACAATTTACTATTACTAGCTTGTTTGTCTCCAATATATATATTACACATTAAAAATATCGTTCAATTGGAAATCTCTTCAATTCCGTTGTCAGTTGAAAATCCTGCCTACAACGTTAAACAGTTATATAATAGATAAAATGAACTCAAAAAACGCAAAACTGAAGTATCGAATACGGAACTCGAAAGCACTTAACTCAGTTTCTCTATAAGTTCCTAAATTAATAGGTAGCTATATAGATTTTATAATTAAATTAATTGTCAGATCTAAATATCCGAACAACTTAATTGAAAGCTCAAACACAGAATACTGATTATAATTGAAGATTTTCCATAATAACCCTGGAATCAGGTTATCAAACCCGAACTTGGTGACATTGTGAATATCTCGGGAATATATTTTTCTAAACAAATAATCTGACTAATATTATAAACGCGAAAGTTTCTGAGTAGTGAAAGAGTAACGAAACATCCATTGTTACTCTTTCACGCAAAAACTACTGAAGGTCTTTTAACGAAACTTTACAATAATACTGCATAGAATAACACATAGGCTATGATTAAAAAAGATATTATGTAAATTGGGCGAGTAAGAATGACGCAGACGAAGTTGCGCGGGTCAGCTAGTTAAAAATAATTATGAAAATCGGTCGATAAAATTGACTGAGTGACTGATTGATGAACGTATATAAAAAAATAGATAAATTAGAAAAAAATTTAAATATTTATTTTTAAATAGAAATTCTGTTTACAAACTGCATTGTTTAAAGAAAATTCTTCTAAAATTGATAGAAAACATTCCACCACCAATGAAACTTTATAAAATATTGTCATAAGATCTGACCTCTCCACAAAAACTACCTGTTTTTACGAAACATAAAACTATTAAAGTAATATCCACGAAGACGTTGACTTGAATAAATTTTCTTTTTCTATTATTATAATTCAATTACATCTAATGATTAGAAAATGAGGAAAAGTTCTTAATTTTCTCTCTAAGTATTATTGTACCAGGCAATTTCTTTACATCCCTGTCTTGTTCAAAATTAGATTCAGTCTCTTTATGATGTTGTGGGTCCATTATTATAAAGTCATTATGATTTTCTATGCTCTCGGGGTTTGTACGGTAGAACAATGCATACGGTCCATTCTCATCTACACCATCTTCTTGATCACCTACTCTTGATGTTTCTATTTTAGAATCTTTCACTACATTTTTATCATTGCCTATATACTTTTTCAAAGAATCTGACATGCCATTGCCTTTAATTTCATAACTGGAGTCGGTGTCCCTTTTTTTATACTCATTTGTTTTGAAACGTACTCTATCGGCTATTTTTTGTGCCATGTTATCAAGAACTTTAGACATAACTTGAGCGTTATTTTTGTTATGCATAGACGTTTTGTGGAACGTTTTATCTAAAATGGCAGTTATTGGTATCCTTCTATAAACATCATCAGCTCTACGTTTTACTGATAAAGAGGCTACTTGACGATTGTTATTCATTTTGACCTTTTGTGAACCCGATCTTAATTGTGTCTTTCGATTGACATTCCCTTTAACAAAATTGGTATCATACTTGTTGATTTGATTGTGTTGCTTTAATTGTGAATTAATTAGTCTAGACTTGAACTGATTAGATATTTTATTATCTTCAAGTGGCTTCATATATCCTTTTGCTGTTACGTTTGGATGTGGTGCTTCAGTAAACCTTTTAGATTCCTTCAAATGCTTATTATCAATCGAGGTTGTACCAATTTGATTTGGTGCTGATTTCATAACTTTGAAACGATTGTCCACTGCGTGTTCTTTATTTCGTTTTTGAAATCTTGGATTGACTGGTGGAATTATGAATTTGCGTTTGACATCAATTTGGCCAACATTAGGATAAGCCTTAACACCGCTGCTCATACTGACATATCCCATTTTAGGACTGTCGCCATAAATATAATACATTTGAACAGGCGCAATAAGTATAAAATGGAAATATATAAATACGTTGATAACTTCGTGTAGTATCTTCATATTGATTGTTTAAGACTAAATTAAAAACTGTAAAATGGTTCTTATACATTTCTCTCACATGTATTGTTTAACTGTTTACTTTATTGGCATGTTGTAAACAAATAAACAATAGTAATGAATGTTTAATACGAAGATCAGATATATGATATTTTTTAAATAATCTTATTTAAAATACAAAACACCTATTTCTTTAGATATGCCTTATTTGTATTTTCATTAAAACATTTCGAGACCTATTTTGTTAAATACTAACTACTGTTTTTATACAAAATATATTTAAAATACTATACAAAATTGAATTGCGCGGTAATCAGCAATGAATGATTTATTTAACTTTAAATGGCTTTATGTTAACTTGTTTATGTAACACAATTATGTTAATAAATTCAAAATAATACACTCAGTTCAGGTGGCACAATTGTACCTATATGTTTAAATCTATTGTTACAATTTTTAACTAGTTTATAGTTACGTATGCAATCGTTTTTAAACAATATTATATAAATAAAAACAAATAGCAATAAATTACATAAGTAAATACACAAAACCTTAACATAAAAAATAACAATTAACCTAATCTGTATAATGTCTGTTGTGAATACCAAAGGAACCCCAAACGCAATAATATCAGCAACTTTAATGTTATCAAAACAAAAGATACAACTTTATCACATCGACGTTCATCTCTTACATTGTTTCAATTACTAAGAGGACAATAATTAAAAACATTATAATGTACATTACCGTATAACCTGAGACAATGGAGTTAGTCTTTTAAACGAGTGATTCGGTGTAGTACTGTCTGATAATGAATGTTTTATCAATTATTACATTCACAATATGCGTTACATTATCACAAACTAGATTAATTGAAAGGCACATCGTTAATAAATCTACAATTGATGTAACACCAACTAAATTGTCGACACCTACTCGATTAACAAGGCAAACTTTCGAAGAGGATGGCTTAACAGGCTTCTCGAGGGAAATCAACTTTCAAACCGATGATGAATATAGCAATATACGGCCTTTTGACAGAAAGGCTAGATACTCTTTTAAATCAAAAGAATTACCATCAATGTCCCAGAAGACGCGTTTTCTTAGAGAATCCAATGAACGTATAAACATAGGTAGTCAAAATAGTTCTAAAGCAGAGATATCAGATATTAAAACAAAGATAGAATTAGTGAAAACACTAATACCCAAATACAAAGATATAGACTATGACGAAGATTTTCAAATGAAGGTAAATCAATTGCCAGTAAGATTGCTTGATTCTGGCGAACATGAAGATGATGATTTTAATTTGGACGATTATGATTTCGATGTTAATCATGATGAATTTGCTGGCAGAGGTAAGCCATTGGAACCTCGAACAAAATTTAAAGATACCAAAGAAAGAAGTCGTCTGACACCGATGCCTAAACTTGTTATTGAGCCACCACCCGATATAAAAATACAGAACAAAGGAGTCATACCTGTTATGGATACAAACAAAAAAGAAAAAGCTGATAAAGCATCAGATAAAATAAAAGAAGATTACTATGACGACCTAGTGACAAGTACTAAGCCTTCGGAAACTGAAAAATCACGAGACGAAGAAGAAGAAACTGGTAACGAAAATGAAGAAAGCAAAGAAATACTTGTACGCAGTGTGAGGTCACCATGGAGTGACAGTTCTTATGTAAACAAAATGGGAGGTCAAGCTACCACTGTCGTTACAAAATTATTGGGGATATTGCCTATGTTTCCGGAAGCTCCACCGGATACGTACTCTGACAGTGAATCTAGTCACTCTAATAACCCTATGATGGACCCCTTGACTTTGTTTTTGTTCTAATTCCCTTATTGATCAGTTTTATTGGCCCACAAGTATTATCAGATTTTTAGTACATTCATGTATATTATTTTAAGCAATGAAATTTTCAATATATGCCTATAAAATTATATTGGATTTAATTTATTTAACAATTTATTACTCACTGGTCAATAATGTCAAATAGCACTGTCCTCGATATTTTATTAATATATATTAACCAAACTGTAAATAAATATAAGTCCAATAATAATAGAATAATAGAATTCCAATTGTCAATGTTGTGGAGAAGGCCTAATACCTATATTTAACATACCTATATATATCTAACATACCTAAATTTAGCATATATATTTTAATAGAAAGTAACAGGAGGCGGACCTACCGCCGCCTCCCGGTTTTTTTTTAGTTTGCTATCAATTTTTTCTTCACCGGATAGTCAGTTAGAAATATAAATTGATACAGAAAGATTTATTTGATTTCGACTATATTTTTGGTTTATTTAAAATTGTAATAATTATAAAATATTATTATTACCTACTGAGGTATATAAAATAAGCACATATAATATTTTATATTATATTTTAATAAATCATAATGAAGAAATTAAAAGAGTTCCTTTGGATGACTACTTCTAAACAATATTTTACATTGACCATGCAAAAAAGACTTTATGAAAATTTAATTTAGAAAATTGGAACAAAATTGTTTTTTTTTCTGTAACTGGGGGTTTATTGCGATGTATATGTAATTATGATTTCTTTAAAGAAATATTTCAATATAAACTACTACTATAGTGTATATAAAACTTATTTTTTAATTGGTAATCAAAGTAAAAAAAAAACTTATAAATCTAAGTAGATACAGGTAAACAGTCAAACTACGGTATTATACATCTTCTGCTTCTTCCTTAGCCCATTAATTTGGGGTCGGGTCGGAGTAATATGTTTTTTTTACATTCATCCCTACAATATTATTGCATTGATTAATTATGGTATTATAAATAACAGTTAAAATTAACACAATGTTTACCCACAACATTAACTTGTCATTCACACTAAAAATGGACCAATTTAAAGTCGAAACATCTCAAATTACATATCATAATAGCCACCTATTTCGACAGTTTAATTTTACTGGGATATAATTAAAAATCACATAATCTAGTTGTAGGTATGCTATAAAACAGTTCTATTTTTATTTATACTCTAAAATTATCACTGTAATCAGCACTGTTACTTTGAGCTGCTTTCTTAGCTACATCTCTATATCTATTAAAATTGCTATCGTATCCATTTCTGAAATCATGACCTTTATGACTGTTTTCAAACTTTTTATTTTCTGTATTACCAGCTTTCTGCGATGCACTTGCTTCATTGCCTATTGCCGCTGCTGCATGAGATTGTAATAATCCTCCAGTACCTCCATTGTGAAGAGATGAACTACCTTTTTCATCTGCACGAACAGTATTTCTATTATTATCAAAGAATTCATTATCCTCCTGATATTCATCTTTATGATAAACTCTACGGAATCCTTTCCTATTCTCTCCTTTATCTTGGTTTTTATTAATTATATAATTACCATCTTTTTTATGTTCCTCGGCACCAAATTTATTTGCGAATGAGTCTACGAAATCTTTGAAGCCTCTATAATTATTGTTAGCGTTTTCATATCCCTGCTTATGCTGTTCATTTGTGTGTTCACCTTTATTGTTTTTATCAAATCCATGTTTCTTCGTATATCCTTTTTCAGTTGAAGATTTCCCTTGTTCTGCTCTCGCGTCGTTTTCCACGTGATTGGCTTGAGTATAAGTTGGATGTCTCGTAACCTGCTTACCATCTTCCAAACGTCTGTGTTTTCTCACGTATTCATCGATATCAGGATAAGATGTTTCGTGATCAAAATCTTTGGCCCAATCTAATCCTTTGAAATCTAAGTGATCATCATCACGATTCTTATCAAAATAATCGTTCAAAACGAAAGAAAAAAATGGTTCATTTCCTACTATAGGATTATCGGTAGATACCTCACGGTAATATCTGGGTGTTGAAACTGGAGGTTCATATTCATTTGAAATATCGTAATCAGCATTTTCATATACGGGTATAATATCTTTTGGGACATCTACAACATAACGTTTATCTTTTACTTTTTCTATATCAGAATCCATCTTCATGACTTCATATTCATATGGACTATGATAATAATAGGGCCAACTGTCATAAGCACTTCTGGAACTAGTTCTAACATCGTTATCATCGATATGATAATCGCTCATGTCGTAACCAACTTCGTTTATGCTGTTGGCTCCAGATGGATTATAGTACATTACCGATTTTAGTCTTTCATACATAGCGTCCGATTTAATTTTTTCAGGGATGTATTTAGAATCGTACATTGTATCTGCCTTTGCTTTTTCATAGTCTAAGTCATATTTTGTAGGTTTTATATTATTAGTCTCAGAAGCAGACTGGCTTATCATTTTCGCTTCAGATTTAATCTTCTCATAGTCGATGTCAAACTTAGTTGTTTCTTCAATACTAGGCTCGGTCACAGGCCGTGCAATCATAACATCTGTTTTCGTCTTTTCGTATTCAATATCAAATTTTGTAACGGGTTCAGCATAATGCTCAGTTATTGGAGACGTGTACTGAGATAAACCGGTCGGCACTGGATTTCCGCTATGCGTCATCAGAGGATCATAATATTTTGATAGTTCGATTGATGGATTCCTGTGTTTATCCATAGCGTCGTTACCACTATACATGTTCAATGCACTTCCACTATTACCAAACACTGCAAATGTTCCAGGATCATTGTTCATTTTACTATAAACATAACCAGTTTCATATGGAAGCGCGTTGGACCGGGATTTCCTTGTTATATACATGCTGTGTTGTACTGCCTGAGTATCAGAGTAAGCTCGCATCACAAACATTAAGATTATTAAACCTCGCATTGTCTACATTTACGTGTTTTCATTTGCCGACTGCGACGTTAACTGGAAGTGTCCGTTTCTAATATTGTTTATATTAATTGTTTATTATTTCCGTCGGCCGCAGAATAACATTGTTCAAGTGACAATGGCATCTAGAACAGGTCACCAGAATATTGTGAAATATCCCGTATGCACAATACTAAATAATTGGGATTGGCGCTCATTGAAAGTTAGTCAAACTTTAAGACTTTCAGTTTATTTTCAATAACTTGCCTAACTTTATTGAAAAAGCAATAAGCAAATCTAGGTTAGGTACCTACGAGATACATATTGATTGGGTACATTTTATATTCTTGTACCTGCTATTCTTAAAATAGCAGGGACAAGAATATAAAATGTACCCAATCAATATGTATCTCATATATTCTAGAAATACTGTTTACTCATTATTTATTGATATTAATATTATTATTAGAGAAGAGCTATATCCCGCGACGGTAGTCTCATATATTCTGATAAAAACAACGTTATGTGTTATATTTTTTAGTGATAACAAATACTCATAATGCTAATTCGTTTACGTGATATTAAACTTGTTTTATTTAAATAAAATAAATAGTATTTCAAAAAGAAAACTCTCGCTACTTCTTATAATATTAGCTATCTCCCAGTAAATGTCTCATCAAAATCAGTCCTGCCGTTTCAGAGCTTTGTAAGAGCAAACAGATAGAAACAGATTTTTTTTAATTTTTATTTTATGTATATACTTTCATATAACATACCGTAAATAATTTCATATAACATACCGTGACAGGCTGTTAATTAGAAATAAAAACGGGCACTTCAATTTTATTTATTTGTCTTAACCAATAACAAGTCGCTGTAATAATAATGAAGTTTTTACGATGGGTTGACTGACCCGACTTCATACTGATTCTATCATCCTCCCCTGGAGCTCCGTAAGCTTAGCTGAAGCTGAAGCCCGCACACTATTCCAAAGAGAAATAGTGTAGGGAAAGTGGATTGTTAGTAGTAGTTACAATAGCACTACGGCCATCATGTTACCATATTGTATATTTCCTTACCTTCACGCTGTTCCCCCTGAAAACCATCATGATAAATTCCTGGTGAATAACCCCAATTGACTTGACCTCATATTTATGTTATCATCTTCCACTATCTCATCATAACATGTATCTACTAAGTGCTATTCATTACCATTTTGTGGTTGGATGTTTGCTGGCAGTTGTTATGCTAATCCAATTTTAAAAAAAGTTATTTCACTGCTATAAGACGCGCCAATTATGTATTTCTAGACAATTGATGTAATTGTATGATACTATTCCCCATTGAGTAGTCTGGCGGGCTGTTTGTCTGCGACCACGACCGATCGAAGGTCACCATTGTTACTCCGTTACGGGCGCTTAATTGTTAGTGATTTTGAACGTGTTTATTAGCGCGTATACGCATTAGGTGGCGTCCTAATTATTGTTATTTCTTTAAATAAATAACTACGCCATTTTTTCTTATATATTATAATTTACTAAAATAGTTTATAAGATGTTTCCACTGCACTGCATTTTTATTTCATAAATATAAAAATGAATGTTTACTAACACAGTATGGATGTAATCCGAAATAAATAAAAAAAATATATCAAATCAAATCAAAAATAATTTGTTCATGTAAGACATTTTAGTTGCTTATGAACGTCACGTTTCATCTATTAATATTTTTTTCTCTACCGTCCAGTTCAGTAGATATACACATTCAATTGAGAAAAACTGGCAAGACACTCAACTGTTTTTTTTAAAGATAGTTTATTTACATTGCACTTACACTTATGTCATTGTACTTACACGTATATCCATTCATGTTTGTCATTTAAGTAATCATTTAGTGAGTATTAGGCTTTGCTTAACAAATATTATATACTTTTTTAAATTAGATAATAATGGAATAGGGCACCCGCCTGCGCTAACGGTTTATGCTGGCGGGGCAGCGAATTTACCATGATTTCCAGAAGGAACCGTTTGGAGGTCAACCTGACTGTTTGTTACTAACAATCCCATTTCCCCCTAGGGTATATATAAAACGTGGTAACATGATGGCCGTAGTGCTATTCAGGTATAGGGGAGGGTTATCACGCTGGACTATCAACATGCTTGCCATTGCCAGTTAGTGCAGTATTTTTTTGGACAGGGATCGAACCCGCAACCATCTATAGAAATCGTGGCACCACTCTGGTTGTCAATGACATTTTATTTGAAAACCTCTGGATGGAGGTCTTATAAACGAGTGATTAAAAATTGTCAGGTTCCTGCAGTTAATTTACATTAGGAAATTAATTTTATGCATAACACATGGCTAAACTCACTTTGCTTGACGTTCCTTGTCATCTCACCAGTGTTATAGGTATGTTTTATTAAATTTATATTAATAGCATACAACTTTAGTTAATTTAGATATGTGTCTTCGTAGTAATATAATGTTGTAGCAATATAAAAACAAAGCATGCTGTGGTTACCTACAAATACGAGAACAATGAGTTTAAAAACCGTTAGTATATATAGAATCATGATATATTGTATTGCTGTACCTATATTATATTGATAATGCTTAAATATAAATAAATACTTTAATAAGTCACAATTTCTGTCATGTAAATCCGGTTTTAGATGGTATATAATAGGTACTCTATATGCCTAAAAGGATATGATAACAAATAAAACAACCAAATGTATGTCTAATAGACAAATATTTTATTCAAATACTTTAGAATTCTCGAAGTTTCCAAATAATTATAAAAATAACATTTTCTAATATATTTTGTACAGATCAAGCCTCACTCGTGGTTGAGTCGCCGTATTTCTTCGTACAATACTAGATAACGCACTATGCGTGCCTATAACATATTATGCTATAATCTTTGAAGCCAAAGATTCAGGGCCGCGCCACCCCTTCTCTGTGCCAAGGCAATAGAGACGCCGGATGAAATGTCAGCGACAATTATTGAAATTATTTTTCTTACATAATATATACGTTATAGTCGAACTATTAATAAATAGGTGGTACGAGTCTACCAACATTCACGGCTCTGTTTAACTTTATATTATTTAAATTGCCCATAACAAGTATATTTACATTATAAAATTTTCTGAAGTGTAACCTTTTCTAAATTTCACGGGCATTATTTATTCATAAAATTAAGAAAAACCAAAGTATCTTACCACGTTCTATTTTAATTGAGATCGCGATATTTTCAAGGACGTTTCAACCACCATGATCACGACGTGGTAAGATCCCATAAGGTGATTTTCATTAATTAAATAATGACCGCGTCAAAATAAAAAAGTTTATACTTCAGGCAGTTAAAAAATATACATATTCATGTCGTAATACGAAGACAGAAAAAAGAAGCGCTATGTAGGTTTGGTTGGCTGGTAGAGAATACTATTAGCATTAAGCCCACCTATTAGTTAGTAGTTAGTACAAACTTCAATAGTTTTTAATATTACACAGGTTGATGGTAGATGACGCGGCCCTGCAAAGGCTCGTAATAAATTTTCTCAAACATGGACGACACTAATAACCGTGTACATAGAATCTTATAACAAATATGAGGTACAGTAAGTTTCATATAAATCATAGTGGCAGGGATGGTTAAAATTATCTTAAGATTGCCCATCCGAATTTTCGTTCAGTTTCGGCGTAAAATTTCGATTTCGATGATACATTTACCAAAACCGAAATTACGTTTAATTACGTAAATTCGGCTATTTATTACTGATTGGGTATTTATTATAATCAAGACGGATTCTCAGAGTATTTTATTAGTAGACAACATTCGTTCCGATTATCATGGCTATTAATCCATTAATAAAATATAGTATTAAACATTTATAAATAATTAACAAACTAACCGAAACTATAAAAATCTTAGTTTCGGTTTAGACGAAACTGTAACAGATCCTGAAAATCGGTTTCGGTATAAGCCGTTGTAATTATTGAGTAAAAAAATTTGCTAATTGTATATGGAAGCTTATTTAGTGTGAATAGTTGCATGCATTTAAAAAAAATTGATACCACTGTGCCTACACTTGTAATATTTCTGTCGACACTCGGCACCCTTCCTTTTATTTACGTCTCCATATAACTTAGATTTAACTCCGACGTCTTCGCGTTGAGTGTACGCGTTACGAATAAACCATACAGCACACTATCAAATAAACTTACTAATGTACAATAAATAGTACAATTATTACAAGTGTACGCACACCACCATACAATTAAAAAAAACTTTGAATGTCATCCAAATTATTCAGATCTTTGGTTTTATGATACGTTTGAAATGGTAACCGTATCAGAAAAAAAAATATTTGTGACGTTCACAAGACTTTGAAATGGACAAATGGACGTTAATAATATTTCATGATATAACAATTCCATTACTTCCCAATAACAAAAATCGGTTTTCGAATCGGAAAATATAGATAATCTTCTATCGATGAGATAAAATATAAAGACACGAACTAAATCAGAATTTAAATATGGATTTTTTTTATTGTTGGATTGTAAAAGCAACAACCCAAATTTCAAACGAGTCATTATCGGTTGATGATTTAACCGGTTAATTCAACGGAGTAGTGAATACATCTTAAGGGTACATTCCACTATTATAATAATATATTCATACTGTTAGCTCTCCTGAGTCATTTATAAAAAGGGTATTTTATAACACATATATATGAGAGTATAATAGCGTCCACATATAGATGCTACCAAATTATATGCATTCCCTGCTCCAGAGTACAGTATTAGTTATATATACTTCATAAAGAAATTTCATATTCTGCTAGAATTAATTAAAAAATATTTATAAAATTCTTCAATATATGTAAGAAGGTATACTAAAGCTGTTCATTGATACATTATAGTACCTAATTTATAGAAAACATACAAATGGATATTTTATATGAAAAAATATTATATCAGGGCTACGAAATGTCATCATTAATGTAGCTGGAAATGCAAATAATTTGTAAGCGACCTATATAGTATAGTTATAAATTTTAATTAAGACACATAAGTTATTTTTAAACTTTCGTGTTTAATATACATTATTTATATTATTGTCACTAGCCGTGGTCACGAGCCGACTGGCAGCTCGTGACCACGGCTAGTGCAACCTAGTCGAAACCTCGAGAAAGATAAATACCTTTATTTGCCATAAAACTAGTTCGTGTTAAGACCCGGTTAATAATATAAATAATGTAAGACACATAAATTATGTGTTTGTCTGTCCAGGTAATTAGAAAAATAATACAACTAGTATATTTTCAAGTGTTAGTCAAAACATACTATATACTAATATATCTTTTATAAATTCCATCTTGTTCCTTAGATTAATAATAACATTCAAACTAAGTGACAAATAAGAAGCCAGCCATAAATTACGCCACAATTATTTTAGTCACTTTTACTCCCTCCCACCATTGTCAGCCACAATGACCCAGCTAGTCACACTAATATTTTTTTCGGACTATCCAATGCTGTTGGCCCCTGCTGGCCTTTACAGCTTCACCGGACGATAGGGGGCGAGTGGCACTCACACACTTAAAAGGACTTATGGGGCGGCTGAATGCCAACTCCCGCCTGACGGATATGACTTTAATCTGAGGGCAACGCTAGGGGTTCGAACCTCGGTTCAGGCCGTCGTAATTTCGATCCCCGTTTGGATTGGATGCGGGATCGATGGGAGGGGGTCACACACTTTAATAGTTACAACTTCGTGTTTATATACTAAGATTGAATAGTGACGTCACAAAATCTCAGTAATTTCCCAGGAAGTTAGGAGGTGTATGTCCTAGAGTTCATAGATACACGAAGTTTGTAACTCTCCGTTGTTAATACCACACTTATCCCCCCAATTAAAGTGTGACATGATTTACGAATGGCCAATAAGAGTTCATAATGCGTGAGATTTAAAAGATACAGATGAGGTCCTCCAATCATATAGTAAAATACAGGGTAAAGGCTAAGCCGAGAGTCAATGATGGTATTATTATTATTTATGCAACAGAAAAACTTTCGCAAACAAGGAAAGTGGAAAATAAGATTTTTAAAACCTTCTTACAACTATCAGACGTATTTAGTATGAAACGTTCAAATTGATATTCTGATGTCCACTTTGTTTCTTTGTAAGATTTAAAGCAGAACCTCAAAGTATACATCATAAGAATTGATACCGTGGACTGCTGTATAAAGACCCGATTAACCTCATATTATAGTAGTTAATAGTGAAACGCAATAGTAACTGTTAGCGAATTAATCGCATAGGACAACAATAATAATAAAAAATTTACATCAAACGGCGCGAGCTGGAGCTTATACACGCTAGCTGCAATACGTAAAATTTGTAACATCTATTATTATTCCAAAATCATGTACGGAACATTTTTTTATGACGGATATGGCAACACTTTTTAGAATACAATGTTAAATCAGTCCAAGTCATGCACAAAAGTATCGAAAAAAATGCATTTTTTTTACATGGTCTAACAACATTTTTTAACAATAAATACAAAGTAAAATTTATATTTTATTATTTTATTTAATAGAGAAAAATATTCATCATGAAAAAACTAATAAATTTATTAAACTGAGTAATAATTATAGATAGTTTTGTTGTTTCAAAATTATTCCAATAGTCCCTTACAAAAATATCTATTGGTATAGACTCTATAAACGTAAATGCCATAGATATATGCTATAGAGTTTTGTCTATGCGTTTATGTCAATCTGACACCGTTCCTATCAATATCTGACTACAACTAAGAACAAGAACTAATATACAATCCTTAGTAAAATAACAACCAAACTTATTGTACATACTCATTCTTTGACAACATTCATAAATAATAAATATTTTCGAAACACGACCCTTAAACCAAAGACTAAAGTTGAATATTTAAATCGAAATTCATATGTTTGAGTTGACGTAAATTAATATTAAACATGCGATATGTTTATCCGATTATTACCAAAAACAATAACTAAAGAGACTTCTATATTTTGTAGTACTAATATAAAGATATAAAATATGGTTATGCTCTTTACTCATACGTAAGATTGTAGTTGAGTGAAGGATAGCGATACAATTTCGACAGACGGTTTTTGTCATAGTTCTTATGGATTGTAGAACCTTCTTAGATCAATATGTTAACGAGTTTAGTTGCTATATTAATTAGTATTATATCTTAGTTCTTATTTTTAGAAGCTATAGATCAACTACGTTAAATTTTGAACACAACTAGCAATAATCTAAGATCGATCCATGCCTTAAATCGTTTCAATATGTATCCATGCGTATTCCTTTCCGTTACTTCGAAACAGTAGACATGTTCTCTAATAAAGGTAAAAAAAAAAATTTTGTCTATGGTATACCTTCATTTTATACAATAAAAACAATCAATAGGTAAAATCGTCTATTGCTTTATTATTTACAGTATTATGACATTCGTATCAGTAGCGATGTTGTCCTTTTATTATTTCATTAAAATTCATGTGTTTGGGCCATTCAAAGAGATTCACAGAAATTAGATATGTCACAGAATTTTCCTTGTCACATTTGGTCACATTCTCAAGCGTTCTCATAGTCTAATGTAACGTCACATATTTTGAAATTTGATATCAAGACATGATTAAATTAAATAGTAGTTACAAAATCAATTTCATATTCATTTACCATTGCTTCAACATAATGAAATCATCATTTAAACAAACCATTTTAATAATTAGATGTAAATAAAGAATGTGACGTTACATAACATACGACTTGTCCCATCCTTAGTCTTATTAGTATATTTATAGACAGCTTATCTATCTATACTATTCTATACCATAGACAAATATAATGAACCTAAATATACAACAAGTAACGTATCTAATGTTTCAAAGACATTAATCTATATATAATCTATTTAGGTATCTAATATAATCTATATCTAATTCGACTAATAATTTCAACGCCAAGAGGTTTCTAGTCGCTCCGTACACCGAGACTAGAGGCAAAGGCACATAAATAACTCACAACAAAACAAAACAATGATGTTTTAATTAAAAAATTACAATGATCAAATATCAGCACTGGTATTTTTAATTCACCGAATGAGACGAATTTAGTATTCTATAGATTCACCGTGCGGGTACCGGGTCCATCATGTGACAGAGAGGGAAACTCCAAGCAGTTCCCGGGACTTGTGACCCGGGTGAAGGTTTAAGGAGCCCCTTTGCCGACGTACTTCAACACTCACCTTCACCGCTCGTAAATCTCTCTCTGCCCAGACAAATTTGGTAGGAGCCTGCTAATGCAGCTTTATATATACAGTCTCAATAGTATTCACTGTAGTTCTACAATATTGATAAAATATCGTCGTTAATAAGACATTACTAGTAAATAACCGCTGCTTGGGCTACATTAATTGGTATAAATTATATCTTCTGTAGGTATATGTTTGTATGAATTTGGTACAGGAATAGACCTATGTCTATTCCTGTACCAAATTCATACAAACCAGAACAGTGAACACCATACAGGTATATTAAGGACACTTATCAAAACCTTTCTCAAATCTGCTGACAATTCTGAGTATACTTTCAGCAGAGTTAGGAATAATAATTCTTTTAAAGACTTAATACAGAATAATAATTAAATTCATAGATAAAAACGTATCTTACTATTACTATTGCTTATGGTGCTGTTACTATAATTATGATATAAGAACCCATATAGGATATAGCCATAAGGCTCACCTGAGGGTAAGCGATTGCCATCTTACATGAGCGCTAATAAAGAACTAATAGGAATTGTAAATGTTACCAGTTCTTTACTTTAACTGCCATTTCAACAAAATATGTTTGTTGTTTCAACAAATCATTCTATTCTTTTCTGACAATTAAAACATCATTGTAAATACACTACTTAGAAAGTTAATAAACTATATAATCATAAAAAAATCTAATATTTGGTGTTTAAATACTAAAATAAATTAGTTTATGAGCGATTTCATCTTATTTAACGAAATGAAGAGATCTCATTATACAGAGTCAATTGCAATGAGTATACAAAAAGAAATGTTACAATATATATTACTGTATACATGCTTATGTTATGTCACAATCTATATATGACATTTTCTACTTGCATTTGACATTGTTTTTACCCTAAATCTGGGCAAAACACTCTAAGTTGGCAACATTGTTTTATTAAATGTAGCTGGAATGGCAAACAAACTAACAGCGCGCCACGGTAATCATATCATCATGTAATACCTGTGTGTTACATTACTATATTACTGAAAGCGTTGCCATTCTATAGGACTAAGATACCTTTTATACTCTGTAATTCCTCTGTTATATCTCAACCTGCAACCGAAATACAGCTCACAAAAATAAACTTATTTTTGTGGCTAGCTTAAATGGCTGAGACAGAACAGAGCATTCGACTTTATACAAAGTCTACCACTGGTAAACTGTATTCTTAAGAAAATAATATTTTTTTTATTTATTACGTTTTACAGCTCTGGATACAAGTCCTTTTAAACCCTAGTACACTAAACTCGAAGTTTTACAACACGTTAAGGGAGTGATGCCTGCTTATCGATCATACAGCCATGCATATTCGAGGGTAGTCATGTGTAAATAATATATAATTTTATTACAGTACATTATGCATATTTATATTAATTAAAATTGTTTATATAATATTAAAAATGTTATTATGCTGCTTTCACTAAAAGTACATAAGTAATTTAATTCACAAACAAAATCAGTCACATGGGAAGCTCACGAGTAAAATCACAAGAGAAAATTATACTAAAACGAAGATAATTATAACTAATCGAAAACTTACTTTATGACACATTGGTATAAGGACTGAAACCCCTTGAGCGTAAGTCTATGCTACGGTTTCGTTTCGTTTACAAAAATAACTATGTTTAGATTAGTTAGTAATAATATGTAAACACTATAGTACCTTGTCATAGCAAGCAGCGCCATATAGAGCGCAACTAAGTAAATTTATAATACGAGTACAAATAGGTATATATATAAATACATTTGTGTCTTGTAAATACGTACAAAATATACATGTATACATGTCTGACATGTTTATGGATATTGCATTGTGTGAGAATCGAATCTACGACTGGAATGGTAAACTAGCTAACGGTCCTACCTGATTATATGTAATAACCATCTGATATCATATCATCATGTGACGCCCGTGGTATAACTCAGGCGTTGCCATTCCAGAGCACTGAGATGTCATGAATCCATTGGTATCACTCATGCGTTGGTATTCCAGAGGACTAAGATGTCATGACCCTGTTGGTATCTCCCATGCGTTGCCATTCCAGAGGACTGAGATGTCAGATTTTCTTAAACCATAACACATCTTACAGAGAAATTTCTACATATTACCTATATATTGTTAACAAATGACAAGGTACAAAAGTGTTTACGCATTATTCCTACTATTGTAACATTTTACGTAAACAATACAATTTTGAGAGCAATTCTATACTAACGTAACCTTAGGATGATCGGTGCGGTATCTTATAATACTACCAATTGGTGACTGCACCTGGAAATAACAAGAAAAAAAAGTTGATAGCTTCTCTTCTTTTGTGTTGTAAATCTTTATTACACCCAATAATAATAATAATAATTACAGAACAATTCACACAGCGCCATCTAGACACAAATTAAGCTAGGTAATGTATGTGTTTTGGTAGTAGATAACTGATACAAATACATAGTTTTTTTTTTTCCTAAATACATACATATTATACATACAAAACAGCCTATTTTTAATAGGGATATTAGTACGTAAATGTATTTAGTTACTCAACCAGTTGTTTATTTAATATTTTCTCTATTTGAGTATTTAATTGAATTAGTGATATTTGGTAGTTTATATTCACACATAAAAATGTAAAAGAACAACAAAATTATTTAAAAGAGCAACACGCAATTATTCTTCTTGTGATGAGACAGCTTTCCAAATGAACGGTAGATTGAAAAAAAATGTGATGACTACTCAAAAGTGCTTAAAAGCAAGTTTATTTGAATATATGATTTTCTATTCTATTCTAAATTTATATGGCTAAACGTTTGCCGGGACAGCCAGTATTATATATGTGATAGTGTAATTACCCCACAGAAATTGTGTAGTTACCTCACGCATCGAGCGACTGGTTGGCGAGCGAGCCTTCCCATGCCGCTTCCCTGTGCAGTGCCTCTTGGCGTTTCTTCTCTGAAAATATAAAATTGCATCATCAATATGTGTTACATTATCAACCATTAATATCTCCCACTAGACATATTTTCTGTCTGCAGTCCTGTTCAATGTTATACCCAATCAACTTCAGTCAGAATTATAATAATAATAACAATATTTTAGAAAATTTTTTTCTTCATCACATGATGATAATCATCATATAACTCATCCACGCCTGGCTATGGCTCGCGTGTTTTTGAACGTATTACCCCCGTAAAAAGGGAGATATATAAAATATATATATATAAAATTAATAACAATATTATAGTTGTGGATATGTGCATACCGTACCATAATATAGGATATATTTCTATTGAACGTAAGCAATGATAATAATAGCAGTTTTTCGGTTTCAGCCACAATACTTCTTAATATTGTGTATATGTTTCATTATTTATCAAGTACTTGGGGTTAAAGTATGAAATTGCCGTTCTATAGTAATAGATACTTTGAATTGACATAAAACCTTCATGCTCTGATATTTTCGAGTGAAGATGTGCAACACTGATTTTCGTCTTTCAGTTGTTTTTTTTTATTTAGCTATGACGTGAAAGATATGTAGTTCGAAAATTCGAGTTATTTTTTAATACAAAATCCGCCGCGAAACTAACGCGGCCGAAACTAGCTATATTAACGCTCCGCTTGGAGAGAAGACAGCTAATGAACGCACCGTGCGTGTTTGGTTTAAATGCTTTTCCAATAAAAACTTCAACTTGAAGAACGAAGCAACTGGAAGACCGCCCAAACAGGTGAATAACGCTGAATTGATGGAGATGGTGGAGCAGATCAGAGTCAGATTACCCAGGAATTTGCGGCATGGTTTAACGTTATCTTATCTACAATATTGACTCATCTCCATCGAATCAATAAGATAAAAAAAATGAAAATAGGTGCTTGATATGCAGAAAGAAATGCGTGTTCTTCAGATTGGCAAAATCTGCAGATTTTTGTTCTGAGTACATTTTGAGCACAAGGCCAAGTTTACTTGGGGGTGTTACCTCGTGCACGAGTGATGAGTCTCCTTTCTTCGTCTCGCTCCTGCTGCGCTGTACTCAGCCGTACACCCAGCGCCCCTGTCACCAGCCGCCGGGCCAGCGCAGTGCACGTCTCCGGACGTTGTCTGTCGATTACCGTAACATTTTATCAATAACGGCATAGCCAATTATTAATATTGAATAGAAATAACTTATATAGAATAGTTGTAACGGAGGTATAGTAATATATATATATCTATTATATATTAATATATATAGAGATGAGATAGTAATTTTCAAGCTAAATCTCTATGGGGTAGGCAGAGAAATTCATTAAAATAATTAAAAATTATGATCTAAAATATAAAATTTAAATATTCCCTTATTACTTAGGGGTTTGAAAAATAGGTCCGTACTATACTCGGTTCTATTGAATGTACACATAACAGTTCATAAAAATCACTCAAGGCGTATCGGAGAAGTTTTGTTACATACACGAGATATTTTTATATTAGAAGATAGACTACCTGCGCCCGCAGTTTCTCCTACATGAAATTAACCTGTGTTATTCTGATCCATACGCTATGTTATTGTAAAGTTTTATTAAAATCATTCAGTAGTTTTTGCGTGAAAGTGTAACAAACAGCCATCCATCGGGGGGAAGGGGATTGTTAGTAATGTGGACTGATGACTGACTGACCCCATTGCTAGTAATGTACCATGTAAGATCGACCTCCACGCGGTTCCCCCTGGAAACCATCGTGATACATTCCAGGTGAATTTGTCATGTTGGGCTAACTGATCTGACTTCATGTTCATCCTATCAACCTCCACTGGTGCCCCGCCAGCGTAAACCGTTAGCGCAGGTGGGTGCACCATTCCATTATCATCCTTAAAAAAAACATCCATCCATCCACACTCACAAACTTCCATGTTTATAATATTAGTAAGATATATAAATACACATATATAGTTCAAAATTCACCTGTACGGTTGTAGATACTCCGCACATTTCTTCGCTTTATTCCTGGACTCGAGTGTAGCGGCGTGCAGTGGTCGACACCTCACCAGTTGTCTCTGTGATGATAACACCTCTGCAGCTGGAATTAAAACATGTTAATAATTATATTATGGTCTTTATTGTAGAGCAAAACCTACTTATTGCTAATAAATTGCATGTAGCCATTAGTGTAGCACACAGGATATTTAACCCCGAATTGACAGTAGATTTGACGTATTATCTATACATCTATACATATAAATAAAAATGGCGTGTCTGAATGGAGAGTGTTTGTAATATTGAAATAAAAGTTTTTTACTACATGCATATGAATATAAATATGGAACGTACACCAAAACATCATTTTCTATAATTTTTGTCTGTCTGTTTCTTCCGGCTAATCTCTGAAATGGTTGGATCGATTTTGACGGGGCTTTTTTTGGCAAGTAGCTGATATAATAAGGAGTACTTAGACTAGTTTTATTTTAGAAAAATAAAGTTAAATTTCACGCGGACGAAGTTAGCAGCTATATAGCTGTACCCGCAACTTCGTCCGCGTGAAGTCGTATTATATATATATGTAATATAACTTATATGAATAAAGGTATTTTGATTTGCATTTAATGTTATATAGATCATCGTACGTACAGGATTTTTAACTCCGATCTGATAGTAGATTTGACATATCAGAAGAGTCTGTAATAGACCTACATGATCAAAGAAATTTTCATTTTTGATTTGATTTGATTATAATATTATACAGATCATTTCTGATTGCCGTATCGATGTTAGATACTTTTACTGTTAAACTTGCTTTGACTTCTACGATACAGGCATAGGCTAGTGTGGGGTCATAGATAAAATGTTACTTAAGTTAAGTCTTCAGAAATAAAAGTTATTTTTTCTTAAAAATACACTCAAAATATTATTAAAAAAAATCAGGAGTAAATAAAAAAAATGTTTAACGACGGTGACGGTGGTTTTGCCATTTAGCACAACGCCTTATTACCGATGGTCGCGTTTACGTTTATTATTCTAGCGCGATACAAACATAATATGTATATTCATAAGTATAATTATATTGGTCTTACTAGTTTCTTCACAATAATATAATAATAAATTATTTATTCGTTTCCATTAACGTCCTCGTTAGTCTAGCGGTTTAGCACACCGCCTTACATTTGATGGTAACGGATTCGATTCCTCGCGCGGTACTAACATTCATGATTATGATTGTTTGCATCTGGATGTTTTCTATGTATATTATGTATGTAATTATAAAAAAAATATGCATTTAAATCAGTTGACCAGTACCTATGGGTACTGGGCACAAACTCTACTTAAGTGTGAGTCTAGTTGGCGCTGTGTGAATTGTAATGAGATATTATTATTATTCTTATGTGATTACTGTTCCATTAAATATTAGAAACCAAAACGCAGTTAGTGTAGTCAGAAGGCATACTTCGTTTAAATGTAAATAGTCATCATCATCATATTTTAGTCTTAATGAACAAAGGCCTAAATTCAAATCCAAAAATTTGAAATATATTATAAACGGTTTGGTTTACTTTTAGTATTAAGACTAAAATATTCCAGAACTTTTTACGAGATACAAACGTTTAGAGCGTCGTAAAATTATTAATTTTGTTGGTAATCAAAAACATATTTAATGACATTTCTATAATATACGTATCTATCTATAAATATCATTTTACATAATTAATTATCATTAAACATTTATGCTTATTCAGTTAAGTAGTAAAATTGTATAAAATTTATTTGAATAACAAATTGTCTAATGTGCTTAGCTTCCAATCTCATTTACATATATCACCAGACGCCTTCCGGCTTTTGTTGTGTTCTTTTACAATTGTGTCAGGTCAGTCTTCATTTTAATTTATCCCAAATTACCTAATAAGTAATATGGAGATATTGAAAGTAATAGTTTAACCAACTTGGGTGCGGTTTTTTCGAATGAATTGTGACACGCTTCACTTATTTTGATTACTTTATTCCAATTGGTGAACAAAAACTTTAAATTTAAAAGAGAATTAATGTGTTTCAATTAAAACAAAATTAGGTCACGGCAACCGTTTTAGTTACATGAAAAAGCGTACGAGAACAGATTGCAACAATGCTTCAAAACCTCAGATTAAAAACTTTTTTTACGCGCCAAAACAACACAGTGCAGTGGTAATGAGCCGCGACCTACACAGCCTACTTTCGGCGCAACCTCGCAAGGAGGTTCAACAACCCGCGTGACGTAACGCTGCGCCGAGCAAGTGGCACGATGATCGAGCACTGTCTCTGTTGCGGTAGCCGTACTGGGGCAAGTCACGCAACTAAGTACCAATTTGAATATGGAATATTCTAGCTAAAGTCTAGAATTTATGTTGCTTATAATTTTGAAAATAGAAAATTATTATTTTTGTGAATTTATATCAGCATAGCTTAATATTTTTTCACAATAGATTGGATACAAACTTTTGAAGTAATAACTATGGGATTCTTTTTTTGAAATTGGTCATTTTTACACCTATGTGTGCCTTGTGGGTTGGAATATTATTTGTAATATGGATTAATTACTAGCAATGTAGTATGTGAGGTTGACCTCCACGCGGTTTCCCCTGGCAACCATCATGTCAAATTCCTATTGAATTTGCCAACACGGGCAACTAACCTGAACTAATACCTGTCTTATCATCCACCACTGGAAACGGTGTCGTAGGTACGTTTCGTCCGGACTGAACCTAATAACGGGAATCTAGTTTAAACAAGCTACTTAGCGGCAGAATTACATGTACCATCGCAAACGACCTTGTACAAACTCTCCTAGAAATGAGAGTGAAGATAAAGAGATCGACAATAAAAGTATTTTATTACAAATAAAGAATCTTGAATCTTGAATCTTGAATCTTGAACAATAATTCTTACTAGTTACTAACCGGGACTTCTTCTGCCTTGTTTTTGAGACAACGAACTGCTTGTATTCGTCCTTGTTACACAATCAATTTTCACGTTTCAATTAAGACTCGTTAAGCCGTTTAGTCTTTAAAAGGTAAACAAACTCAAAGATTTCACACTTATATTGTTATTCATCATTGCCTTGCCTTTATCCCATTATTTGGGGTCGGCGTATACTACGCCGACCCCAAATATCCTCATTCATCCCGTCATCCTCTTCCACTGATCTCTATCATATCTGAGTATACCCGTCATATCTGAGCTTACTCTCCTTTTATTTATATCATTTTTCACACAATCCATCCATCTTTTTCTGGTCGTTCTTTCCCCCATCCGTCCACATTCATATTATACACCTTCTTTAAATCATGATCTTCGCTCCTCAGCATAACACACGATTTACACGTCTTACACACATGATTTACACGTCACGTCACGATTATAACAAATAGTAATATTATGACAAAATCCGCGGTTAAATCTAGTATTATTTTCACTGAGGAAAACTGCCTCAATCAATTTAATTGCAATTGAATTGTTGTATTTAAGCAAGAAACAATTAATTAAGATCATAATTGTACGTTAGGAATCTTGTCTATTCATTGAAGAGATGTTAAAAACTTTCACAATGCATTCAAACAACTTCCGTGGAAGGTAAAAGGGGATATATTCATATGATTTCCTACAATTTGTACTTAGAAATACAACCTGCTTCATAAACATACAAGGACTACAATCGGCCTGTTTAAAAGAGATAAATGTACGTAGATAGATAAAATATACCTTATTTGTAATATACGGTAAAGTAAAGACAAGCAATATATGAAAGATGACATGTATACACACAACAAGCGGCCTTATTGCTGAAATCAATCTTTGTAAATAGATAAATGTTTCCATGCCACAATATTTAGTAATGATTTATAAATAATTTTTCATTAAAAACTCAGATTAATCAACAAATATACTATGTAGAAAGACGTCTGTGTGGGTATGTCAGTCACCTATTTCACGCTAAGTGACTGACTGTCTGGTCATCCGTCTGTCTGGTGAAGATTTGTGCCTCGGGACGAACCCCTTTGTCCCGGCATGAACTCCGGGGGCAATAACCTCCGGGTAACTTGGTTAAAGCCTCTAGGGCGAGTATACTTAAACTACTTTACCTAACTTGCTAAACGTAGTGCCTTACTTGGGTACAATTTTTTTTCACGCTGATTATATTGCTTTGTAATGTGTTTCGATTGAAAGACGTGACAAGGCAGTGAAATTACTGGACAAAAGACATTATATTTTAGTCCCCTAGGACTAGGCAACGCGTGAGTCATGTCTTATCTTTTTTTTTTCGGACTACTCTAAGGCATTTGGCCACAGCTGGCCTTTACAGCTTCACCGGACGATAGAGAGCGAGTGCAGATGGCACTCCAACCCCGCGGAAGGCCAACTCCCGCTTGACGGATACGATTTTAGTCTGAGGCCATCGCTTGGGGGTCGAACCTCGGCTCAGGCGGTCGGAGAGGATTCAATTGTTTGCCATTAGATTATTAAGCAAGACCCGTCGACGAGTATGATGAACGAAACCCAGTGCATATTCAGCATGTAAAAGTAACTTTTAAACATTTAATTAATTCTTACCGTCTGGGTCCCGTCATTCCTATTTCATGACAAAGTCCGCTACAAGAATTTAATTAACTTTCGCTTTGTAAGAGAGTTGAGTACTTTAGATACATCTTAAAAATGCTTTCCAAAATCTGATAGCAAATCCTTAAAACACGTCACGAACAAGCCACCACACGATGCAGTCATGTTTTCGTATTAAGTTCATTATTTGCGACATATTAAACAAGTTACCAAATCGCAATATGTTTTATACATTTACGCGTTGTAATTGCGCAAATAAAAAGCGCCAATGTCAAGGCGAGCAATGTATTAAGAACTGAATACACAATGGTCGTACGGTGCAAAAGTGGAGCACGCTAACGAAACTGAAAGTGGAGTGTGGTACAATTTATAAGAGGCACGACGTTTTAGTCCGCTGGAATGAGCAATGCACGAGTTGCGGGTGTCACATGATAACGCTATTTCCGAGATGCTCTTCATATATAGGGGATATTCAGCACATGCCTTCAGTATCGACGT